GGTGTATACGGAGTAGAAAAGGGGTGTACACCGAGTAAATATAGGGTGTACATTTAGCAGCGCCCTCCTCTCTAGCAGGCTTACTCAGCACCTTGTGTATAACTATATCTTTCCTCCTTCCGCTCAATAGCTAGCTTCTTCACCTTCATCAATACAACAGTTTTTGACTACACACCTTGTCTTGATCCGCTTCCACTCTGACTGTCGCTCATCGTCATCTAGAGGTTGAACCTTGGCTTTCACCTGAGAGGTCTTTCGTGGATGATCAACTTGTCTTGCTTCTTTGAAGAGTCAGAGAATTCAAAATTCTCGACCGACGATGATCAAGACCTCATAGTGACTCATTCCGTCTCTTCAACCCTGGTTATATTTTTGAGGTGACCTTTCACTACCATTCATCATCACTTCTTGGCAGCCCCCACAACTATTCAAATAGGTCCACTCAGCCCACGAAAAACCAAGATCTTTCCTACTCCACCACCTCAACTTCAAAATCACCCTGTGGAAACGCCATCCATCTCACATCTCGACCCCTTCTTCATCGCCTCAATGTCTTTACTTCAATCACCCAAACCTATAGTGAGGAGCCACGGGGCAGCCACAATGCTACAGCCATTTCGGCTACTGGACTTTCCCCGCGAACTCCGCAATCGGGTCTACTTGACAGCCAGCTCTGCTGCCTACTTCAGGACGGCTACCGCCTACTAGGCTGCCTACTGTGCTGCCTACGCCACAGTAGCTGCCTACGTCTCCTGGGCCTATATTTTCCTATCCTCCTACATAGCAATACACAAGATTTCTCATCACTTTTCACCAGCTGCCACTACTACTACGTAGCTGAGGAAGGCATCTTCATCAAGGATCTGTGGATATCCCAATCATTCGACTGGGGTTTCTCGACGCACCCCGAATACCGTGTACACGACCTCGGCAGGCACCAGTCTCTATTGAGCATCCTCCTTGCTAATAGGCAAATATACCAAGAAGCATCCGAGACCTTGTTTTCACAAGTAACTTTCACCTTCGTCGCATATGATTCTGGTCCTAGATTGCCGATGCGATACCTCAGGAGTCCCCATGCACTCTCCAAGAAACGGATGACACTTATTCGATCTCTGGAACTGGTCTTATTTGACGGCCTCTTGGAAAGTGCTCTCTGCGGGATGCCTCTGCTTGAATGGAAGAACTTCTTCCTAAGCCTTCGATCGTTACCAAAACCTTCGAAATCTAGGTCTAGACTTTCGCGAATCCACAGGGTCATACCCCGGTTGGCGCATTGACAGTCGGAGAAGAGATCTAATTACGCTTACAAAGAGCCTATTAGCCATCAGCTCATTTGATGAACCTGTTTGCCAGCTAGACAAGCTCAAGTTACGCTTTGAGATCTTGGACCCGCATAAAATCTTGGTCCGTCGCTACTTCTGGTACGACCGGTCCATCCTTGAGAACTGGAGAGGTCTCGATGACGAGAGGGCCCGCATCACGGCTTGGATGCAAGGTTTCATACGCGCATTACTCAAAGATGGTTCCAAAATCCAGTCACCGGAGATCAGTTACGCAAAATATATTTACGATTTGTCGTCTAAATTCAATTACCGAAAAGGAGTCGGGATTGTCGCAGCTTGCCACATCAAAGTTGGCGGCAGGTTCGTTCTGACCTGTTCTGATATGTTCAATCTAAACACCGAACTTTGGCTTTCTAGGGATTCTATAGATCGTGTCTGGAATCGCTGTGCGACAACCGCATCTTATTACGAACAGCTTTTATTCCTAGATAATGTTGCTGGCAAAACGGAGGACTTTGCGTACGAAAAGGAAGCGCAATTTCCTTAAGAGGTCAAGGCTGCTCACGAGCCTATTACCGAATAAAAGGCTGGTCAAGACAGAGATGTATCCTAAGCCCTTTGCATCTTATCGGAAATTTCATGATGCACCAAAGCACCTCAAATGTCGGTGAGCGAGAGTGTCTAAACTTCTGGCAAGGCACTGCATCTAGCACCAGGAACGATGTCGATCAAATGCGATCACCGATACGAGTTTCAGGAAATAAAACCCACGTGTCCACGTGGGACATACTGCAAACCAGTGCCAGCGTATCCGGCACGGCAAGGTTACTCCTCGTTCTCAGCACGAAATCTTGATACCGGGTGGTTACCTTAGGCCGCTGGTCATGCAATAGCCTGGTACGCACAAGTCTGGATAACGCACTCGCAACTTCTTACCTTCACCCCATCCAATACTGAGGCAAGATACGGGGTGACGTTCATTGGATTGGCGAAGGGCAAGGTTCCCAAGGCTGAGCTTCAGCCTTGCCACTTTATCACCAATCTATTGAAGACTGTTCTTTTCTCTCTCTTATGACTGTTCTGCTCCTCTTTATCTTCTTCCGCGATGAAGTTGACTTCACTGCCTCGTTATAGACGATTGGCTCTCTCAGTCAGCCTCACGTAGCGTTCAAGTACCACTCCCGTCCAGCCTCATGCACCGCCGAACGCCCCTCCTCCGATTCCAGCTACTGCATCTTTGTCCAACACTTCTAACCGCCCGCCAAATCTTCCCTTTTCCGCACGTTGCTGTCGCTCCTCCAAGACTGAAGATCCTAGGAGCCTGCCTAGGCACAATCGTCTTGCTGACTGTCTGCATCCTCCTCAGCGTCTACGATGGTCGTTCCCAACCTTCAATCCGGTGGGGCATCACTCTTAATGCTGTTCTTGCGTTGCTTACAACTATTATGAAGGCTGCGCTACTCATAATCGTCGCCGAAGGCCTCAACCAGGAGAAGTGGGCGCGTTTTGCAAATCGACCGCTATGGAAATATCCTCTGAGCGACTCTCAAACCTTGACTATGCGAGCCTGGGTGGATTTGGGAGCTTGTCTATGTGAGGTTGGCGAGGGGGAATGAGGGGTTGAGATTGACGGCGAAGGGGTAGAGTTATCATGGAAGAACTGAAAAGTCTCTAATCACTAAGTAGATTAGTATCTACTCTGCCTGTGCATTTTGCCCCAGATTGAAGCCCGAGAGGCTGGGAAAGGGTCTAACATGTTAAGTAGTGCTTTGAAAAGTTTGGCCGAAGCATGCCTGGACCCTTCTGAAGAGCTTGTCTTAGGTCTATTCTTTGAACTACCTTAGACGGTACAGTGACAGGCCACATATCGGTGCACACTCCTTTTTCACTGCTTGAGTCACTCCCGTGGGTGTTTCAAACTCTAGGCGCCGTGCCAATTTGCCAAGTTTCATGCAGTGAACCCTGAATTGCCCAGTGGTACTCCCTACTCAAATACAGGTATATTCTTGCCATGGGCCCAGACTTATGTCCTAGTACTGTACCATCTAAGATCGGCTCGTACTGGGTGGTTTGGTATAACCAAGACAACAGAACCATGGTTAAGACCGACGTCCTGTTGAGTCACAAGCTTTCGATTGCAATGGCCTCGATCCAGATGAAGCCCAGAGGAGAATTGATATCGTCGCCGAATCAATTTTGAAGGATCTCGAGAGCCTGGAAAATGCTATGAAAGCCAATCCAGAAATCCGATCGGAGAGGCAGAATTTGATAGAACTCTTCTGGGTTCCTCCTGATACCATATCGCTTAGAAAGCGGTCTCACGACATCGCACTGGAGGAGAATTCAGAGATGAGCCATTCTGGTGGAGGATCTGGTGGAAGTGAACAGAAAAGGCCTTGTTAGTAGGAGGCTTCAGGGTAGACTGGGAGAATGCGCAAGAAGTCGGTACAGCGTCAAGACAGAAGTTTGTGCAATCCTGCTCACCTGTTCGAAGTCTTGCGCTGCATTATCCGGATATTCAGACGCAATGTGAAACTCAAGACAACACATAGAGAGCTGAAGACGGTGTAAACTTGGGCCAATTTTTTCGCCGCCAGATGCAATTATGAGCTAGGATCCTTCGAGCAACCTCCAAGCTGAACTTCGCACCGCTCTCGACTCAGATGCCTTAACGTTGGCCCGCGCTCTCATATTATTGCCCTCAGTCCAAAAATATCTTCCCAAGTTCAAGAATCCGTAGTCACTCAACAGGTCCCTAAAGCTCCATTAGCAGCGAAATACTAGAACCGAAAAGTGAAGACGCACTAGAGCTGCCTAGGTACTCAAACAATACACTTGAATCCATTCCTCACAAACGCGCAGCCAGCCCCGAGATTGCAAGTGCTGCGCACTGGCGTCTTCCCGAACCCTATGCCCGCATACTCCATCTGCATCCTTATCTTATTCGGATCGCTAGACGGAAGATGACTCTTAACAATGACCTTATACGGTATGCCCGCAGCACCGAGGCCCTCATTATACGTAGGTGCATCCGTGTGGCCGATCAGTCTGCAGCTGCTGTCATAGATGCCGAAGATGCAGTCGAGGAAGATGCTGTCCGAGGCTTTCTTGTGACAGCGGAAGACAGCCTGGCAGTATCCTGAGCCTTGAGAGATGCAGAGAGGTTCACTTGCTAAAGTAGACGCAAGAAACGTGGCGAGGATAGAGACTGTGATGAGTTTCATAATGGGGGGGAGTGGGATGAAGATGAGTGCTTTTGTGATGAAGATGATGCGGTGAAGATGGATTGATGAAGGTAATATAGAGAGACTTATGTCCGCAGAATACCTATTACTCTTATATATACTATCGTTCAAAGAATCTATTGTCATGAGAGGTATTGGCCATCCCGTTCAAGGGGGCTCGGGCCTGACGTTGCTTCCTCAATCGAATGTGACCTAGATACTGGAGCACATTGTCGAAAGCTGCCATGGTCAGCCTGTTTCAAGCCTCACATCTTCGCACAATGACCCTTCCATCGTCGCCATGGCCTCCGCGCGCTCACCGCGCGCCTCTTCAGACCGCAGCTAGTGGACGCCAGTAGGGATGACCCCGGCGAAGTCACATCGGAGTTAGTTAGGAGATGAGGTCCCGAGTGAATTAGACCTTCGTGCGTATGGAGGGTAGCAGAAACAGTGTGCACAAAGGCTGCATACGTCCGGACGGTGGAAGTGAAGATGTAGATTTACGGACCTAATGTTGTCCGAGATAACCCCCCTTCGGGTTTAGCGTGCTTTTCTACCCTTATACAGATTAATCAGTCAGGCAGTCTTAAACCTCTCTCTAAAAAAGCGCACATACACTCCTACTCACTCCGCAATTTTTCCACCAAATTCCCCCTTCCCAGTACGGACTGCAACGGCCGCCTTGCGTAGGGGAATGGTGCGTGCCTTCCTCCCCTTATTAAACTCGACATAGAGAATGTCCAACCTCAACCCACCCCTCGCTCCCCACACAAACATGACACCAGAATACATCATGGGGATCGACAACCTTCTTGATCTGCAGCAGTCTTTCGTAATTAGATCCCCAGAATGCTTGCTGAAAGTTGGGTTCGTTCCAATAAGCCTATTTCGTCAGTGATTGCTCCACAAACAGGCTGAAACGGTATACCTCATTGAGATAAGCTCCCGAGGCAGGAACCAATTGCCGGAAAGCTTCGGTCTGGACCTTGTCAATGTCATACTCGACAATTGCTTGCTGAGCTTCATTGAGAGGTGCCCAGGTTTGAGAAGTCACTGTAAGGTGTTAGGATTTTTGATTTATGATTCAACAACAAACCAGCTTGACTTACCAGCATGAATCAACGCTTTTCTCCAAGCAGGGTTGACAGCGTCGCTACCACCTCTTGGTTTCGCATCCCAGACACCTTTGCCGGACACCATATATAACCTCCCCCCGGAATCTCCGAGAAATTTCATCAAAGCATCGCTGAAAGCATCATCTGTCAATATCTCTGGGGGTAGAAGCCGTGATCCAACCACCTTATCAACTCCTGCTCCGATATCATCGGCGTACACGAGGAACATACTGTAGAGGTTTGGAAAGACAGTCGATGTTGTTTGAGTGACTGTTTGGTTTGGATACGTCTCATTGATATGAGCCCAGAAGGGTGCCCACATGTCCTCCAGCGCGGTGGGCGAAGCAGGTTCGAGCAAAGCGAAGATTCCTTTGAATGACGCCACATGATCTCCAGGCTCGGCGGCGCTAATGTTGGGGTAGAGATATGTATACGACGAAACGTTCGCGGCAGAGAGGGTAGGAAACTGAGCTAGAAAGTACGCCACAATGTCCCAGTAGACCGTTGAGTTGGGCTCTGCTTGGAGGTTGAAGTTGTATATTGCAACTGGGGTCGATAAGATTGTTCGAACAGTGACTTTCGTCAGGACTCCAAATGTGCCTCCCCCGCCCTGAGATGTCAGCATCACTGCAAAAGTCGATAGATAACTCGGTACTCACTCCTCGAACAGCCCAAAACAAGTCCGTGTTCTGACACTCGTTCGCTGTGACTATTTCGCCTGCGGGTGTCACCATCTCAACCTCGTAAACTTGATCTGCACCTAGTCCGTAGATGTTTGAGATGGGGCTATGACCACCGCCAGTAAGATACCCACCCATAGTGACTTCCGGTCCCAGCCCATCGACGACAGTTTGGTTTCGCAGATTCAGGTTGTAGTATATATCGCTGACATATGACGCCGCACCGGCAGTCACCGCCGTAGTGTTGATGGTGGTATTGCAACCCTCTGGCTGGAACCCGTCATGATATTCGTATCCTCCGACCATGTATCTCGTCCAGATTGAGAGAGAATACGGAGCTGAAGTTCTATTTCTCAAATTAGACATTCATCGCCTCCCAATTACTCAATCTCGAAGGACCCAAATCGACCAACTTACCGCTTTAGGTAGTCATGCCCTGAGGCCTTAACATTCAACCTCACATTATTCTCCCGCGCAAAGTCCACTGTGAGTTTAACATCATTCGCCGACGACGCATTGACTACATAGACCGGATATCCTAGCCCACTACACGGCGCAGATGGGTCTGGAAGACAGGAATCGTTGTTCATATTGTTCCACGCTGTGCTGACTGGGTTGTCCTGATGGAAGGTGAAGGTAGTCCATGAAGCCGCGATCACGGCGCAGGTGTAGTTGGAGCCCGGGTAGGAGGTGTGACAGGCGGATGCAGGTGGAAGAACGTTCAACAAGCGCCCGGAGAGGGTTTGGTTGAGAGAGGTCCACTGGGAGATACTGGGCCAGGATGCATCGTTAGGCGTTGCTTTGCATATTGTGTGATGGCCTTGAACAGAGCAGAGGATTGATGAGATGTGGAAGAGTGTCCAGAGGAGGGGTAGTAGACATAATCCTGCGAAATGCATCTTTATAGTTCTGGGAACCTTGAACCGTGGTTGAAAGTTTGAAGAGAACGATGTTGGAGTGAAGTGGGAGAATAAAGTACCAAGAGTGTACCTCGCAGCCTTGATATATATACGCACCTCAGATTGATGGCCAAAGCGGCAGACTACGTCTGCCGCAGTCCATCTGTTTTGGCCCCATCTTGCCCATCGTGTAAAGCACGGTGTTCGTTTATTATCAATAATGGTTGCGACGGCCGGAGTTTGTCTGTTCGTTACTGCGAGAGAGGGAACACTAATATCTGACTGGTTCTGGAATTGCGAACGCCGCAGTTCTTTTTTTTTTCCCCGTACCACAGAACAAGAAAGTAAAGAGAGCGAAGGAGCGAGCTGCTGAGGGTGCTAAGGATACACGGCAGGCCGAGCAGTAGCTGTTAGGTGAGAGCTGAGCTAAGAAGCTATTTGCTGTAGCAGCTACAGCCTACCGGTTCAAAAACACCAGGTATTGTTGTGATAAATGATAAGAAGAAGAATAAGGCTCCGGCGTCTTTAGGTCGGCCCCAGCTCTAGAAGCAAGTTCCAAAACGGTTTGATAATGACGAGGTCATGACAGAATGAGAGAGCACCGTAAATTACCTTATCTCCTAGCTAGAGGCAGACGGGGTCTTTGGCGCGCTTACGCGAGACCGGGGCTTTAACTACTCTTAGTATTGCGGGGAAAGGCCCCCTCAAAACGGCGTTATAGAAACGTCCATTTTCGGAGGGGTATTTACTAGAAGCCTGCGTTTATCTGTAAGGGAGTCAAGGTAAAGCCAGAGACGCTAACAGGGGTGAATCAAGTGCCCCCGATTCTATCCCTGTCCCACTCTGTACTCTTCTCTTTCCCATCAACACACGCAAAAGGGCTCTCCATGCATCAAGCAGCAGGGACGCAACGACACCAAAATCCACTTTATTCGCTGAGCTTGGAAAGCTAGAATACTGCCCAAGATATCACTACGCCATTTCCCCCAAAATCCATCGTTTATCCAGCTTGACTTTGACTTCCTACAGCTCCACCACCTCCCCACCTCCCTACCCATCAACAAGCCTAATCCCCTTCTTCTCCACACTCTGCTCAATCCTCGTCGTCCTCACAATCTCGCTCCTCGTACTATGAAACCTCCCAATCCCCATCTTCCCCTTCCCCACAACCTCCTCGCTCGCATTCCTGTCCTTTTGAATACTCGCTGAATACTGTCTCAGCTCCAAATTCTCGTCCGAGTAGCTGGAGTCGAGCTTCGACATGCCGATGGGGCCAGGACTCATGTACTTGGCGAGTGAGTTCAGCGCCTTGCTGTTTGAGTATCGTCGAGGGGTGCTCGCGGGGTCGGAGCTGGGTTTGCTGGATTTGGTGGATGGGCGGCCGACGCCCCGGCAGTATCGGAGTAGGGCGGGGATGGAGGGGCAGCAGCCGACTATTACGACGACGGCCATTTCAGAGATGCTGGAAGGGGGTTAGATTTGGGGATCTTGCGGAGCTCAGAGAGGGGAGGTAAGTCTGTGTGCTCCTGCCCAGGTGCTTGGGTTGCTCGACATGCGTTCAGAAACCGGTTGGTGGGGGCACTCTTCTGATAAGTGGACCATACGCTCTTGTAGTTCTGTCGGATTCTGAAAAACACCTCGAAGCGTCCCAAACGATGGCAAGAAAGTCTAAGAGGTGATGCTCGAGGAGCATTGGGATAACTTACACCAACATTGCCGCCTTCGAGCACATCCAAGTAAAGTCCGGCCGCTTCAGCAGGATAACGCGGAAGTAAATCCCCACAACTCCAATGATACATGCGCTTCTCAAGTCAGCAACGTTCCCGAACCATCGGAATCCACTTACATCGACCCAACACCAAAGACCGCAAACACCAACAATTTCCTCGTCACCGGCATATTCAAATGCCAAATCGCCCACGCCGGCAGCAACAGCGCCTCAACATCCGACACCACATTCAACACCCCACTCACCAAGTTCGACGCAATCGCACTAATACACTTCCCCTTTACATTCGGATCCCAAATCGCCGCGCGCGGCCAGCACTGGAACACATACGAGAAGAATAATCCTGTGTAGAAAACCGAGTTCGCGATGATCGAGCCCATGACGACCCAGTACACCATGTTCTTCTCCCACGTCGTAAACATGCGCTTAATTTGGAAGAGTACTGATAGCTTCGCGGCCAGCGTGATGGGGCTGTAGAGGCAGTACATGATGTGCAGATGGTACATGATCTGCACGAGCATGGGGGGCGTGACGTCCCACATGTGGCGGCCGTAGCCGTAGTCCTCGTTCCAGAGGAAGAGGCCGGTGTAGGTGACGACGCCAGCCCAGGCGGCGTAGCAGAGGTAGTCTTCGAGATAGTGCTTCCGCAGGACGAAGGTTTTGGCGGCGAAGCGTGCAGCGACGAAGAGAGTAGTTGTCGTTAGGATGACGGTTGATGCGATGATGGCGGCGGGGAGAAGAGTCGGGGGATCGATGAAGTTGGAGACTTGGCCGTCTGGGGCTGGCATGACGGAGGTGGGAGTCGAGGATGTTGGCGCCATGATGACCGTCCACGTGAGGTCTTGCGGGCTGGAGGTTAGTTCATAGGGATTGGACGAGATAAGTTATCGAGGTATGGTGACTTGATAGTCTCCGACTGAAGGGGAGTCGGGGACCGCCTCGCTCTAAGAGGGAGTCCAGGAGACTGGCGGACTATAGTACAGACAGCCCCCAACCTCAGCCGCATGTAGCACAGCGATAGTCGTAGAATAAGGACTGCGGCTTGCGCCATCGGCGTCCGCGATCGATGCGGGAGGATCGCGGGCGACTGGCTGAAACTAGTCTTTGCATATTTGTAGAAGTGTGCGATGCTGCGGTGCATTCCGGCGGAGTTCTCGACGTTATTATTGGACTGGTGTCAGAGTCCCAAAGCAGGCACAACGGAGAGCACAAAGAGAGAGAGGGGTTTGGGGGTTGCTCATTGGGATGTCATTCATGTAGTGCGACTTGTAGTAAGTCGTACTCAGCCGTTGACCCAGCGCCGGGACGACCTATAGGTGCGTCGGTGCGTAAGGCTGTGCCCAGCATAGCGTTCAATTGGACGGGCGATAGTGGTTCGGATTAGCTCCGAGCTGCGTCCATGTCGTCTGGTGTGACACTTGCCTGCTGCAGTTGATTGTGGGGTGACACATACCGGGGGCTTGAAATGAAAATGTCAGCCCGTCAAAGCACGCTGCATTTTGACCACGTAAGAGGCCATACAGAGGTGCGTACAGCACCATTTGTCAGACTATATCATGTGTCTGGTATAGTGATCTAGTGCTGTGAGACGTTGCTTGGAGTGAGCACCTCTAGGTGGACCGGATTCTTTGACGTCTTGTGCATTTTACTAAATTAGCAGAACATTTCATTGGTTAAAACTCCTCATTTTCGGCAACTAGTCAACCCTTTGTTCCTATCGTGAACTCCATAGCATTCGCTGTGGCCATTCTACCGTTATTTTGGAGGTTTTATGCTCTTGTAGCCCATCGATTCGCCTGACATGGGCATGTTGCCATCTCTGCCCGTCGGCAGCCGACTCCTTATCGAGGATCCAAAGTCTCTTTCAACGGCATGTTGGGCAGGGCCGGTGTCAGATCTGGAGCTGCATGTTCGTGATATCACTAACGCCGTGAATTATACGTGTTCTTGAATGGAGTGAGTATTTCATTTTACATTAATTTCGTATTTACGATCATCATTCCGTCCGGTATGCAAGCTGTGCCGTTGACTAAGTGGAAGATATCGGCTTCTTCTGCATCGTCTGAATGAAGACCTGAAGTGCGGTTTCCGGCTCTGCGACAGGTCAATACGAGCCAATCCTCATCTAGTCCCGGGGGGCACTTACGATAATACGGAACCTCATGCCCAGCTCCATAGACGCGAAGGAACGAGAGATTGCTAACGGTCTTGAAGGTGCCTTTTTCCGTGCCCTCCACCGTGTACGGATCAAGCGACTTGTTAGCAAATGTAGACGTGCCGGAGTAGGTTATCGCATTCGCGACGTCGAGACCACCGAACCAGTTGCAAATCCAATCAGCGTCGCCAGCCCAGATAAGGGTAGGGAGCCCAGTCTGCACTACTTTGCTTAGCGTAGCCAGGAATGAGCGAGGATTGTCGCCAGTGCTGGAGAACTTGTTGTAAGGCGCGCTAGGGCACTCCTGGTAAGTGGACTTAGCCCCGATCGCCTTCACCACGGAGGATGTCGTCAAGTACGTCTGGTATGTTGCTGGCGGGTACGGGTCGTCCGAAGGCTCGCGGATATCGTACACGTCGAAGTCACCCACCTCCGACAAAGGTCCCTCGATGTCCTGGTAGCACGTGTTGTCGGCATTCTGGCATGCGGAATTGCTCCCAGAGCTCGCACAGCTTTGGATTGCGGGAAGACAATCAGAGGTGTAAGTGCTCATGTACGAGTTGTATTGCGACTTAGTAATCAAGGCCTTGTAGGTGTTGTTGTAGCTGAACTGGATGTAGGCCTTCTCCTGGATGGCGGCGTCAAACCAGCCGTTATTGATGCCAAGAGCAACAATAGGAATCTTCTCGCCAGTCACGGTTCCAGCGTCAATAGCGGCATTCTGCTGCTGGACGTAGTAGGCGAATTCAGGTCCGTAATGGCCACCATATGATTCCGTGAAGATTCCGAAGCTTTCATTCAATTAGCGTGGCTCGGAGAAGACGGCACCATCACAATTCCTTACTCTCGGTTCTCGTATTGAGGGAATTGCGCATAGAAGGCCTGTAGCAGCTTCCAGACGTAAGGAGCAGCAGAGACAGTGGACGTCACCGAGTCAGTTCCGTAGGAGAAGCCAACGCCGATGGGCTGATCAATGTAAATCATGTTTGCGTAATTGTTAAAGCTGTTCGTGTTGTTCGTCGGCGTGCTCGCACCGTTTTCGAACTTGCAAGGTCCATTCTCTTGGAAGAGGCCAATCATGCTAGACTATAGATATACGGAGATATCAGTAGGCATTCACCAATTAGGACTGGCACAAATATTGGATCCTTCTGATTCGCACGTATCTCTAAAGTACCACTCGCGTACTAGGGTCTTGAACACGACCCAAATCGGTCTTGAAACAAGACTGGAGTGGCACTTCCGGAATGCTGACGAAGAAGGATCTGATTTCTGCACCTGCGGTTGACGTACACATCCCGGCCCCCCGTTGAACCACGCTGCAAGTGGTGCTGTGGTGGGGTTGTTCCGTGCCTCGAAGAACCTTTAACCTTTAGTAAACGATGAGCCCGCGTGGGAGGTGATGTCCTACCAGAACCACATATTCATATTCGAGCCAACTGAGAGGTAGCCGGAGTATTGATTGACTCCAGCGCTCTTTTCGCAGATGCCCGAGTTCTTCACGAACTCCAACTTGGCACCTGTGGCCGCGTGTTCAAAGACTTCATATGTGACGCCATCCTTCACGGTAGTAGAACGTTTGTCCTTGAGAGGAGCAGCAACTGTGAGACCAATTATAGCAGCGGCCGAAGCTAATAACGAATAGGGACGCATGATGAAGCGCAAACGAGAACTGAGTGAGATGCGTGAGAGGAATGTAGGTGGCGATCAGCCAGATATATACCTTTTGGAATATCGTACCATTGCAACGATTCGACTGAGCGTTTGCGAAACGGCGGCATGCCATAGACATGCCATGCCTAACCCAGCAGGTGTTTCTAGAAGCATTCAATCAGAGGGCGGCCGCTGCAGGACGCCGGGAGATGGGCGCCATCGGCAAGTGCATCCCCGGGCATGTCGCGTCGTGCTGCGTGCGGAGCTGTCGTAAGAGGGCAGGTGGGGGGAAAGTACCGCCGTTAATATAGAGAGCAGACGAATAGGGCAGCTGAAGTAGACAAGCATTGCCAGCGAAAGCTTCCAACTAACAAGATTTACAGGGGCGCGATGAAACAGCTCAGGGCGCCATACGGGATAGGCAGCTGAGAGGTTGAGGCATCGCGAGCTAGCGATCGCCGTCTTCCCCACTAAGGCGGCAACGCTACAGGCGATCTTGTGTACGGGGCGGACCTGGTCTCGGCGCGTGTGAGGAGGATGAAAGGAGGACGTGGTGCCGTTGGAGGCACTGGGAGCACACGATGCGCCGATAAGCACTCGGGTAGCTGCAGCGGCCCCGGCTTCGGTGCGTCTTCGCTGCCTTAGTGGCCGAGAGCTTATGAGCTAGTATGGCTGCTGATTGGCCAAAGGTAATATAAACAAGTGCCTGAACCCCGTAACCAGTATCACAGGCCTTGAGCACGGCCCGGATCCCACCGAAGCGCTGCTCTTTGCTATCGTGCAATATATTTGTGTGCCTGTTAACGAGTGCCAAAGACAGACTTGAGGTGCTGCCTGTTTCTGGCTATAGAATCCGATAGTCGGAGCGCATTAACCAGGGCGTGCAAGGCAGTAGTATGTGTTCACCGTCTTGCCACTACTGTGCAAGTGGTTCGATTGACTCTCAACAACCAAGACGTCGGAACTTATCGTGTCGAGTCCGCGAAAGACACTGAAGGGCGCTGAGCACCAATAAAGCCATGTACCGGTAAGAAGAAGCACTTGGGAAGTCGCCAAGAAAGCTGAGAAGATGGATTATCAATGAAAACACGTTCCAAGCATTCAGCAATGCAACATACCAAGTTGTGCATCAATGTCGATATGCCTAGCGCTCCTTGGGCTGTATGAGCGGCCAGTTTAGGGATCTAACCGCCACAAGAGGGCCCGCTTAGCATCCAAGAGGAATGACCTCAGCAGACTCGTCGATGAAAGTTCAATCGCAGAGTACAGCCCCTTGGGGTATCTGTATATCGAGCACGGCCCAGAGTTCACCGGAGCATTACACTCTGCTGGTATCGTGCAATACAATTGAAGTGTTGCCGATGGGTGCTAAATCGTTCGAGATGCCCTTTTGGAGATGGGGCGATCCACGACACTAACCCTAGTTCTGATTACGCTGACTTCAATATCTCGTGTCAGGCAATGTCAACGGTGGTCGTACTTTTCGCAATATGGAAATGGTATCTGGAAAATATGGTTTGAATCAATATCATAAGTCTACCTTTTACCGACGGGGGAGTTCAGAGTGGGGCTCTTAAAACACTCGAGGATTAGTTTTTAAGCGTATTTGAATACCTTCTAGGGCACTTCAGTGCATTTTACAGTGCACTAAGATGGATCTTTCCATGACCTTTTGCCAGTACTGAAGCGCTTTTGGGTACTTAGACTGATTGAACGACATTTGAAAGCTCACCATCTTAAACATTATATAAACTCACTCAGCCAACCAAGGTCAACGATGGTCTGTGCACAATCTACTTTCCTGTACTAAGCACCAGATAAAAGGAGTTCCGTTGCCTTCATTTTGATTGTTGGGGTATCTGTATTCCCCGAGCCCATCACCGAAGAGGTTCCCTCCTAGGAGATGCGGGATAGTCATTATTCGTAGACCGTCATCGGATCTATCCACCAGATCCGACCACCCCGAGTCCTCCTCATAGTATGTCATCTTCTTCCAGCCCGTCAGCTATAGGCAATGGTATCGACTCTGGGGCGACAACTGGCTGCGCGACTTCGGTTCCGGTGCCGTAATGTGACGAGTCCTGTGTCTCTACTGGAACTTGTACCATCTCTTCATCACTAACCCATCCGTCGTTCTCATCCTCCTCCAACAAGTCGAACGGATTCTGGTCCTTCTTAGGAACAATCCCGCCATTGAGCTCCTCCCACGGCTTCCTCCTCTCCTTGACGGTCTTAGTCCTTCCCATACTCTTTTGCACCTTCACCTCCATCTTCTCCATAAAATCAGCAGCCCGCTCCATACCCCTAGCTTGGCGTAGTCGCTGCTGGCGCTTTACCGGCTTCGACTTGGAGCGTTTTGATATGCCGGTAGAGACAGCAGCGAGAACATGGGGTTTAGCAGTGCCCCTGGAGGACTTTGGTACAGGCGAAGATGGGCGAGGCATGGTCTTGATGGATTTGTCGAGGTTGAGGGAGGGTGAGGCAGCGCGACGAGCAGCTCGGGAATGGAGAGCGGGCTCTGTGTCGAGTTAGCATATTCGAGTCTCCGAGGAATTGTGTGAGACCAACGTTGCTTCTTCACTTTTGCTGTTTTGGCCATGGTCGCGGGGAGTCGTGCAATTCGAGGTAAAATTTCTGAGCAGCGGTGGTGTATTGAGGGCAGTAAATACTTTCAGTCTCAAAGTGGACGTGCATATTTGGCAGAGATTTGGACTCAATTTGGACTCAATTTCGAAAATTGCCAAGATTTCAGATTATGCACGAGCATTATTTATGCATGACGTGCACGTGATCCTATCCAGACTTCTCTATCTCTCGCCGTTGTCCACGGGTCAGAGCACGCGCGTATTCACTACTCTGACGCCGCCCGCTTTTGCTTCCCACCACGTACACCGACGCAGCGCACACATCTCGATGCCGGCTACCACACTCCCGCAGCGCTGTTTGCTCACTCTTTGTCGAAACTCCACCCGCTGGCCTGAATGAGACCGCAGCCCGTTCCGCCCCCGACACCTTCCTCTCTACAGCTATGAGCACCTCCAACTTCTACTCCAGAGCGAAGCCCCCACGCTACATAGCTTCGCCGTCGTCGGATACCTATACAGCTCCACAGATAATTCTGACTGTGCTCGCCGGGTTATGCGTGACCTACATCGCCTTGGACTTCTACGGCCTCCCGGTTCGATTTTGGTTGCTTGTAGCGCTTGAAATGGCCTGGGAGCGCTTCGTAGACCTCGTACCGGAGAGACTCATTTTTGCTCTCGACCCATCGTCGAATCCATACTCCAACAACTCGGATGCACAACTGGAGAAACCAGAGAACATGCAGGCAACAAAAAGCGAGGTTCTCCGGAAGGCCCTCCGCCTGGATGGGCTCGGCTTGTTCAAGAGCCCTCAAAGCGATGGGCCTCTGCGTGGGATCAGCACGTTGATGAAGGGGACTCCGAGTGATGCGCCGCCAGGGCTAGGAAACTGGGACAACTCTTGCTACCAGAACAGCGTAATACAGGTGTGCTATGGATGATCGTACTGGTGAACCCTCCTTCTAACCCGCGTCACCTAGGGTCTTGCATCTCTTCCTTCCTTGAAAGCATATCTCACATGCACCACCTCCGAATTCCCCGGCCTTTCATGGAGCACGACAAACGGAGCACTATTTGATACCATATCTCGGCTGCACGATCACGAGAACTTCGGACAGCGGCTCTGGACTCCTGGCAAGCTCAAATCAATGAGTAGCTTCCAACAACAGGATGCGCAGGAATATTACTCGAAAATCTTGGATGAGTTGGATAAGGAGATATTGAAAGCCCTGAAGGACGCTGGCACATCCAAGTCTCGTGGCCTTTCGGATGCCGAAGACCTGGTCAACCATTGTGATTCAGAGCGCACACAAACTGGACGAGAAGATAACGGGGACTCTACACCAACAAGCGACATATCAAAAAGCGGCCATGCGGGACTGCAAAACCCCCTCGACGGCTTGCTAGCTCAGCGAGTAGGATGCATAAACTGCGGATACACCGAAGGCCTCTCCATGATACCATTCAACTGCATCACGGTTCCCTTGGGGCGTGAGTGGGTCTACGATGTTCGAGACTGTCTCAGCGAGTACACCAAGCTGGAATACATCGAGGGTGTAGACTGCGCCAAATGCTCTCTACTCCGCACCCAAAAGACACTCCGCAGCTTAATGGAAACCCAGAAGGACAAAATGCCCGAGGGTCTCCGCATCAATGTCCAGTCGCGTCTTGACGCTGTCACCGAAGCATTGGATGACGATGACTTTGCCGATAGCACCTTGATCAAAAAGTGTCAGGTGCCCAAAAAGAGCTGGGTGTCTAGCACAAAATCGAGACAGGCTGTAATTGCGCGGCCTCCCAAAGCTCTCGTCATTCATGTCAACCGCAGCGTATTCGACGAACTCACAGGCGCCCAGATGAAGAACTACGCAGAGGTGCGGTTTCCGAAGGACTTGGATCTTGGCCCCTGGTGCTTAGGTAGCCGATCTGGACGCGATGAAGAGTGGACAGAGGATCCAAACATGTCAATGATTGCTGATTTGGACGAGGACTTGGAACCATCGCCCTTCAAATTCACTCTTCGGGCCGTCGTTACTCATTACGGCCGTCACGAGAACGGCCATTACATTTGCTACCGGAAGCATCCTACCATCAGCAGCGACTCCAATGACCGAGTGGTTTCGAAAGAGTCGTTTTCCGATAACGAAAGCGACTCACCCCAACTTGACCAATCTTGGTGGCGTCTCAGTGACGAAGATGTCTCTAAGGTGTCGGAAAGCCATGTTCTCGGCCAAGGAGGTGTCTTCATGCTATTTTACGAACGCTGTGAAAGCGATCCACCTCCACCTTCACAAGTCTCTTCCGGAACAGCTATCGACTCATCATTTGATGCGCTCGCCATTACCTCGCCATCTACACGCAGTGTTGCCGAGATGGATGACGGCTTTGATATGGCGCAAAGTGCTGCTGGGGTGCCGCTTCCAGAAGATGAGGATGACAGAGAGCTTGATCCATCTTGTCAGTCCTATGTTGCTCCCTCCGATCCAAGTCGTGAAGCGACGGTGGAATCGACGGACATCGGACCTAAATCCTCATTCCCGCTTGCGAATGTTTCTAACAGCATTCAGTCTTCTCAAGCAGGATATTCTAGCGCCTCATATCCAACCTCGCCGCCCGACGAACTCATGTCTTTATCGACGAGCTCCGATAGGCAAGATCTCAGCTTCTCAGAAACCAATGGCTCTCTCTCATCACAAATGACCAGCGACGACGACGTCGTCCCCGAAGCTGACTGTTTACCTGTGGATGCACCTGCACGTCAACCCTTGGCAGCCCAAAGCCCAGCGTATATGAGAACCGCAGGCACGTCAGGCAGTCGCAGGAATAATGGGTCTAGGTCTTCTCTGCCGATGGTTGCTGCTACATAAGGTTTGTCTTTATTTTTGTCTTCAAACTTCATGACCGTAATGGGTTTTACGAATAGCGTTGGATCACTAGTCTGGCGTTTTAGGGGCCTTTGCCGTCACGGCGGCGTTCCGGCGCTGCATGAGGGAATAAGGGTAGGCGTTTTCGTGGTTGCATTTGGGGTCGGGCACACTAGAAACCTGCCCGAATATTGAGATGATTAATAGAATGTGGTGTCTTGAAGGTGTTGTCTTGGTGGTTTGTTGCGGCACGATCTGGACCTGGTTTAGCCAGCAGTCTTACCAGTACGATAATGAAATATGACCCCATCTTTCGACTCGATAATCTCACATCGACCTCATGGTCTTTTGTTTCTATGCATACCTTCATTTTCATGCGGATCACGCCTGTTGCTTTGTTGCAGAATGTATTGTGTGATAATCTTTACAGTGGTCGAGCGGGTGAGCTTAATAGGATCTTTCATCACCTGGCTGTGCGCCTGAACTACCGCGCGTTTGTATCAATCCTGATCACGGGATACCGCAGCCTGAAGTGGCTCGACGGAGAAGTCAGCAGACCGAGGAAGTCTTTGGAAGCGAGTCCAGATTCCAGGCCGAAGAGCTCTGAAGCATCCTGAATGAGCAGTAGTAAACGTTCGTACAAATAGATGAATAGATATAGAGGATAACAAGGCGATACCATAGGTGGGACGCTTATATCTAATCCCCTCTTCCCTTCAACCTCCTCTTTATTGCGCTAACGATGATTAGCCATGCTTTCACCAGATCACCTCCCGCGCTTCTGCCGCAGAGCATTGATGATCCCGTCCTTAGCTGGTGGCTCAGCGTTGATGGCACCCCTCTTTCGCCAAGGCAGCTATGTGGCACAGCACAGCTACAAAGGCTGTTGCCTTCACTCAGTTTTATCGCCAATCTCAATCGTCCCGGCCTCCTTCGTCAAACTGCAAGCACCTCAGGCTAACCTTCACAATGGCAATATCTGCCCAGGCCAGCTTCTTGATTTTCAATCGCACAGCCATAAGGAATCTCCACCTGACCGATAATTATGTTGTTGTGTACCATGGTAACCATTTTACTGATCCCGATGAAGTCGATGTCCTTGATATTCGCTGCCAGCATAACGGAGCCGAGACGTGTGAGCATCGGAGAAGACTACCAGTAGGACAGGCATGGAAATTCGACTCCTGCGGCGACATGCTAGCAGGAGCGTAAGGAAAATTCAACGAAATCGGGAAATCGGGAAATCGGGATTTGGGATTTGAAGACATGGTATGCTCATTAGTCGGTCTCGAACTCCGACACACGAATTGGGTTCTATCCAGTGACGAAAATACTAAAGAAGAATAGCACACAGTGCGCAATTCTTGCTGGTGAGGCTGGTGCGATAAGTTGCGTCTCATTTCCATATCCGACAACGATCATATCGGGCGCACATGATGGAGGCTTGATCGTATGTGACGTCCCTTCTGGCAGACGTCGGCATACTCTGAGAAAAGGCCATAGTACAACGCACACCATGGTAGCCGCCGAGGTAGGCAACGGACATCCTCTAGCAGTCGCAGGTCTCAAAGTACAGGATGATCTTCTTGTTTCAGGGACTCGTGGCGGGACGGTACAGCTCTGGGATCTGAACAGTGGCCAGTGCATACATATATTGGAAGGCCACACTGGCTCCGTTTCGAGAGCGGAGTTCAGTGCCAATCGCTCTCTGCTCGCGACAGGGCAATCAGGAGGGGAAATAAGACTCTGGAACGTCGAGTCTGGGTAAGAAATCACGCCGTCAATCTCGCCTCGAGACACAACTGACGTGCTGGACGATACGAAAAGCGCGTGCATCGCCACATGCAGTGACCACACGTGGATAGTAACGCAATTATCAACCGATCCGGACAACCCAGGCCGCCTTGTCTCAGCATCAGCAGACGGCTGGATCCGAACCTGGGGCTGGGAAACCGGTGCTCCAGTACGCGCGCTCTGGACCGGTGATCACTCCGCGGGCAGAAACGCTATAAGCGGAGTCTACTGGACCAAGGAGCTGATGGTAACCGCGAACGTTAACAGGCTGCTCCGGGCGTATGACCGGCAAACCTACCAGCCTCGCTTTGATCTGAGGGTGCGCCAAGATCCCATTGAGCACGTCGCAAGGCGAGGCGATTTGCTTGCCGTTGTGGCGGGAATTGAGAGCGGGAAACATTCGGTTGAGCTGTATGACATTTCGGGACTTGATAAGGAGCAGAGTAGGTTTGTGAACAGGAACGAAGATATGGGTGGGACGTCTCTGATTATGAATCTGACTCTTGGGAACCTTGCGACGCATTGAGAGAGGGATGTGAGAGGTTGTTGTGATCAATATAAATTTTTGAAACGACGAATAAATGAGGAGATTCCTTTGCAATGTGGAAACGAAGCCACTTACCTACCCATTCCTTAACATACCCACTCGTGCCACTTTTTACACAGCCCCCTCACTGTCCAGCCCCTCCTCCTTTACTTCCACACTACAAATAGCCCTTATCTATCACTCTCAACTTTCTCAGTCAAATCCAACGACTCAAACTTATCCAGTCCGGCTTCGGTTCCAAAACCGTGGGTCTGCATCGCGAGGTGAAGATCTACTTCTCGCCAGAGATAACACTGATTCAAAACGCACAAAGGAGCACAGGAGGAAGCAGGAGACTCTGGGGTCCAGTCACCTCCGTCGCCTTTTCTTTAGGATACGGGGCACTCACTTTCCTCTGGTACATCCAGTCAATCTTTTCGGACGCCGCTAGGAGGAAAGAGTCCGGAAAGACGAGGTCATACAAATCCCAGTCAATCTGCCCGCTTCTCTCCGGGCGATGGGACGAGGGGGCATGCAATGGGTCAAAGCTGTCCACTTCGTATTCGCACAACCTAGACATGGGCTGCTGAAACGACTCGTTGCTAAGATCACCGTCAGAGTCGTAAGGCTGATTGCCGGAATGATCCACGTGAGGGAACCGTGGTTCAGACGGAATGAACTCCATTATCCAGTCCCTTTTGAGGACCTCCTTGGTTAGATCATCACCTTCGCCCTCGGTACCACAGTGGTTTCTATCGTTATGAATTCCCTTCCGGTCTTGCCTATCTGCTCCCCCAACAGCCTATGGGCTAGCCTTAGTTGATAGAAGGCTCCGATAACATTGGTTTGGATATACACGAGGCCAGTGACTCGGTATAGGTGCGATTAAAAGTGACAGCGGGATCAGAGTTAATGGGTGCCTTACAAACTGTTCTATTAGGCATATGCGTAACCTTACTTGCTTAGCCTATCCACCCATCCCACCCCCGATACATCACCCTCAGCCTCTCTTTCTCGGCCTCACTACCGAAGATAGTCTCCACCGCACCCTCACAGAGTTTCCTCACATCATCTCTTCCAAGCCTAAAATGCTCCGCCGCAAGCCTATACTCCTCACTCAACGGGCTCTGAAAAACGCCCACATCATCCGTCTGCCCCACCATTAGCAACCACTCTCTGCTCCCTGAAACCACATCACGTCAAGGATAACCAGCAGCAAAACTCACACTCAACGCCACCCCGACCCTAGCACCCCGCCACCACCCAAAATGATGTCCCTCATACCCCCCCTCCCCATGCATCTTCAGCTGCACATTACAGCTCAAACACAACTCCACTCCAACACCCTGTCTCACAATCTCATCTTTAATCTCCCCTTTCACATGAATCACATGCCCAATTCTTCCCGGTCTCCACCGCAACAGTTCCCACAACTCCTCGTCTGTTGCTGAGGCCGCGAGTTCTGCGAAATGCAGAGTAATCCCCAGCCCGGCTTCCTTTGCGCGCTGGAATGTAGGGGCGAACTTGGCAATGCCGCCGACGGAGGGGTCGCCGCAGAGGTCGAGGCCGACGACGCCGAAGGGGCGGTGTTTGAGGGCCAGGTCGACGGTTTCGTGGGCTTCAGCGAGGGAGTTGCGGCGGTCGATGGAGAGGATGAGGGCGGCGTGGAGGGTGTTTGCCGGGTCAGCGTTGTGGGAGCGCAGGATGGAGAGGATGGTGGAGACGTAGAGGTCTTTTGTGATGCTATGGGCGGGGCTGGCGCGTGGAGTAGTGCGGAGCTCGAGGTAGACGACGCCGTCGGCTTGGAAGTCGGAGAGGACTCTTCTGGTGGAGAATCTGGGGCGATTGGTGAGTTGATGGGTTGATGGATGTCGTGATGGTCGTTGCAAAATCTGAATATGGACGGACAAGAAGCAGAAATGAGGCACGAAGGCACGTAGCGACACGCAGAAGCGGAATACCAAAATGCGATACTGATAGCTATGGAATGGAACTAGAACATACTCGATGCTTGGAAGATCACTACATAGCTGGTAGATGTACGACGAGAAAAGCGGAAAGAATCTGAGACGCGACGCTATCGTTAGCAACCTACAAGACCATGCCAAACGTCACTCAAGCTCGAAAAGTTCGTCCGCGACCGATCGTACAACACATTTGACGGTCCTACAGACGCCAGATAAACAGCTGACGTGAAACATGCTGCAGACAGCGGTTGAAACAGGATTCTTTCGCACTGTCCTGAAATGCTCTCACGGGAGATCATACAGCAACCATGACATTGGCCCAGAGAGCTGCGTGCCCTTGCAGACTCCAGGTGGTGTGACGTTGGCATTAGGCTGAGACGCGCCGGAAAGCTTCAATCGAGTGTGTGCCTTGGATCTCAGGCATCTATGCGTCCTGCTCTAAGGTGATATCAAGTATCATTCACCGACCAGGGCCCCCATTAGGGGCGCGAATCGCTGCGCAACCAGCCTCGGACGTTTTCGCGGGGATTCATACAATGAGAGTGGCATACGTCTTGATGTCATGCAAACCGCCTGGCGGTATCGCAACGAGCGGGTCTTGGAGCGCAAGGCGGGGCTCCGCGTCCTTCTTGATGCGCCAGATGTCGTGCAGCGTGCCGCGACTGATGCTGCCGGTGAGGTGGGCGTGAAGCTGCCGAGTCATGGATTAGCAATCCAAGGTCTGGCGGCTCCAACGCGGGCCGCCGTCGTATCGCAGCGAGGGCCAAGGGGCAGAAGCAGTGAAGCAGGTACCTCGATCTTGGGCAGCTTGCTGGTGAAGGCGGCGTCGACGGCCATGGTGATGTGGATGGAATTGAACAGCGCAGCTGAAGGCGGGCCTCGTGTATAGAGGTCGTCGGGAAGGGTTGGCCGTCTGGTCGGGGGCGGAGGAGATGCTGCGGGAGTGCGTCGCCTGCAGCGGTGGCCGGACAGCGGGCGGAGCTTGGCCCGGAGCGGGCAAGCGCGCCTGGGCGTCTCCTTCTCCAATGTGCCTGCCGCGAACCTCACCTCCAGCCATCGCAGCGCACCTCTCCACCGCACAGCCAGCTTCACCGTGTCCGGCCATTGTCCTCGCGCCGCGCCCAGTCGCCCTTCTCTGCGACCGCCGGACCCTCCCAGCGTCTCTAACTTCGAGTCCCAATCCACCGCCGCGAGAGGAGCCCCCCTGATCCGCTCTGCCTTACCCGTCCGCGCGACGACGTCGTCCACGCCGCCCGAAAGTTGCCAATCATGGCCGACATGAGTGCCGAGTCGATCCAGCAGAAGATCCAGATTGCCAGGCGTGATGCGGAGGCTCTCAAGGACCGCATCAAGCGCAAGAAGGATGAGCTGGCCGACACCACCCGTACGTGCTCCCGGCCTGGACTCGGCCATACCTCTGAATATATACTGCCCCCATTGCTAGGAGCGTCCATGCTGACCTGTTCACCATAGTCCGCGATGTCGCACGACAGCGCGTCGATGCGCTGCCCCGCCTCACCATGAAGACGAAGCGCACGCTCAAGGGCCATCTGGCCAAGATCTATGCCATGCACTGGTCGACCGACCGCCGGCATCTCGTCTCCGCCTCGCAGGACGGCAAGCTGATCATCTGGGACGCCTACACCACCAACAAGGTCCACGCCATTCCTCTCCGCTCCTCGTGGGTCATGACCTGCGCCTACTCGCCCAGCGGCAACTACGTAGCTTGTGGAGGACTCGACAACATCTGCTCCATATACAACCTGTCTGCTCGCGAAGGCCCCACTCGCGTTGCCCGCGAACTCTCCGGCCACTCTGGCTACCTCAGTTGCTGTCGTTTCATCAGCGACCGCCGCATCCTCACTTCGTCTGGCGACATGACCTGCGTTCTCTGGGATCTGGAAACCGGCTCCAAGGTGCACGAGTTCGCCGACCATCTTGGTGACGTGATGAGCTTGAGCATCAACCCTCTGGACGCCAATCAGTTCGTGTCCGGTGCCTGCGACGCCTTTGCGAAGCTGTGGGATATCCGCCAGCAAAAGTGCGTGCAGACATTCGCTGCCCACGACTCGGACATCAACGCTATCCAATTTTTCCCCAATGGAAACGCTTTTGGTACTGGATCCGATGACGCGTCTTGCCGCCTGTTTGACATCCGCGCCGACCGCGAGCTCCAGAGCTACACTGTGAGTCCCTCCCTGAACGATGGATCCAGTTTCAAGCTACAAATACTGACAACCTTGGTTTCGCAGATTGGCGAGCCCGTATGTGGCATTACTTCGGTTGCTTTCTCCGTGTCGGGACGACTACTTTTTGCAGGCTACGACGACTTCGAGTGCAAGGTGAGACTGGGAAAACTTCGGACAAGGCGGAGAAGACGCTAACGGTTCCAGGTCTGGGATGTTCTTCGTGGAGAGCGAGTGGGCACGCTTCAAGGTCACGACAACCGTGTCAGCTGTCTTGGCGTGAGCATGGATGCAATGAGCCTGTGCACGGGATCGTGGGACTCAATGGTGCGTTTCGCTGTGCTACTATGATTCGAAAGGACGAGACTTGCTAACAGTGTTGTAGTTGCGTATCTGGGCATGATAAGGCTGCTCTACACTGCAAGATGTACGACGATAATGGTGTGAGCCAGCAGCTTCGGGCTGTAGCTGGTCCAGACACAAATAATCCTCAACCTGTATGCTTACTACCCTCGACCAAGCAACAACAGTACAACCACAACAAAAATTCTCGAATTTATCTGCACCGCAACGTCTATGCGGGCAGTCAATAAGACAAGGGCAAGATGGATATTGGAGGGGTGCGGAGTAATGCCGTTTTCGCGACAGCTTCCGGGGCGCTCCGGATGGGTTGCAAGTTCTCTTGTGCTGTTTTAAACTTCTTTTTTCTTTCGGACATGTTTTGCTATGTTGGGTGGGCTGTTTTGTGGCTGCGTCGTACATGCGTCTTCCCCGTGTATTCCCCGAGTTCTCTAGCACCCGTATTCCCCGTTGGTTGAAAAGCACAGCACCATTTGGTTTTCTTCGGTCGGGTGCTCGGCCGGTTTCGTGTAAGTTTTTTTGAGTGTTGTGTGTATCGAGCAAGCAAGAGGACGGATGGAGGTCGGCACTGGCTTTTCTTGACTCCCCTAGCATGCATTTATGGAACCTTGAACTTGACCCAGCGGGCTTTGCGGCGTGATCTCTGCGCTACTGTACCTTTTCTCACAGTCGAACACCGGATGCCGTCGGACATTTCTGCCTCTGCGTGCTCCCTTTGCGTCCGCCTCCTTGGCTATATTCCTGCTCGACTACCCCGATGAGTTGGATCGCTACTGGCATTGGGCAGGGCCTGGCGGTGTAGTAGTTGACGAGAGCGTCATTTCCACGAACTCGGAAGAGCAATCTCTGCACTTCGTCCCGGTCAGGCAACACGCAAGGAGGTGGCTCGAGCTCGGGGTGCACGCGTGAAGATGGCCCTCGAAGCGGCCGCATTGAGCCCGATGAGTCAAGTTCTCGTCCAAGCCGTGGCATGACTAGGGCGGCAGATGCCACGATGCGTCCCTTTTCTAACAGCGTCCTCGTCATGCTGGCGTGTCCTCTAACTGCATGCTGGCACGCTCTAACTGCAACCTGATGGCCCCTTGGAGGTGGACACGGCGCTTGCGGGGATCACGGGTTGGATTGACGCAGGGGGGCCTTTCTAGAAGCCTTCCGCTTGCGTGTTAAGGGCGATGCTGGCCTTAGCATTGCGCGCCCAGCAGCGTGGGAATTGGCGGAGCGGTGCAGGCGCATGACGATGCTGTTAATGCCTAGGCACATGAGGGAGCCGGACTCCAGCTCCGGCGTGCGAGGCTGTTTCAGGCGGAGCGTGTCCGCAGGAAGCCCCCCGGGCTCTTGGAGCTGGAGCTGGAGTTTGAGTTTTCGAGGATGGCCTCGTGGCGCGGTCTGAGTGCTGCAGGCGGCCGTGTGGGAGAAGATCAGCCTGATGTTTCATGAGGCCGTTGGTCTGCACTGGTGCCGCGTGTTTCACCGTGAGATTCGAAATGCCCGCCGCGCGTGGCAGAGGGGCCCGGGACCTCCTGGCGATCGCAGGCCTGTTCCTGTATTATTCTTGTCACCAATATCTGCGCCCTCACCTCACCTCAGCCCTAGCACTGCACACTAAGCCCACGCCCTCTCAGGCACCAGGGGCACAAGCCAGCGGGGACGCCCCAGCACGCCTCCACCCGATCCACTCGCCGTCGTCACTGCGTGCTTCCTTTTCCTCCCACCCCTCGTCCCTGTGTACTTTCTTCACCCAATCACGCTCCTGAAACCTCCCCCTTCTCCCTGCCGGCCACGGACGTCCTGGCCGCTGCTCGCTCCAACCGCTGCGCATCGCCCCATCCCATCTCATCCCATCCCATCCCAACGGACCCTTCCGGCAGTCGCAGCTCTCCAAGGCCTCCTACAAATACACCACAGCACCCGCCGCCCGCCCACTCTCACCATGCCCTCCCAAGCCGCCCAAGACGAATTCGACGCCCTCTTTGCCGACAAAGACTACCATTCTCTCCCCCACCCTGAAGACCGCGACGCCCGTTCTGACCACGACGACTCCGACAAGGACGCCCTCCCCGAGCACTTCTACGAAAAGGACGACGAGGACGACGAGCCCGAGGCCTCCAATTCAGACATGCGCGCCAACTACTACCTCCCCCAGCGCCGGGGCGAGATGAACACGGGGCCCAAGGGCGTCATTGCAGACGCTCACGCCTTTGAGCAGGCGAAGCGGGCCCGCCGCTTCTCGCTGTTCAGAGGGAAGGATAACGCCCAGATGGGCTACTCGGTGTCGGTGTACACGGACGACAAGGACAAGGGTAGTGAGGACGATGCTGAGGAGGGCTTCATGCAGCGATGGCGGCAGGCACGGCTACGAGAGCTGCAAGGAGCTGGCAGGCGGATTCGCAGCCGGACGAGCAGCCCTGGGAAGCGGGTGTATGGGAGCTTAGTCAATGTGGATGGGGATGGGTTTTTGGATGCCATTGAGAAGTCGGCGTCGGATACTGTGGTTGTGGTGTTCATTTACGATGATATGGTATGTCTCAATCTTCGATCGAAGCATGGCAAAGCTAACAGGTGTGTAGTCTGATATCAGCTCCATGGTCGAGGACTGCGTGAGGAGACTAGCGAAGCAGCACTCGTCAACACGTTTCGTGAAGCTGCACTGCGACGACGCCGAGATGGAGAGGGCCGGTGTGCCCGCCATACTCGCATACAGAGGCGGCGACAAATTCGCTGGCCTTGTCCCCGTCATGGACGAGATCCCCGATGACGCTGAGCTGAGCGCGATGAGTCTAGAGGTGGCGTTGAAGAAGTGGGTTCTTCTTATTCTCATACCACACACGTTTCACATACTGATCATCTGCAGACACCAAATCCTGTTCTAAATCAACAGCAGACCGATACTCCGTCGACCTGCCCCGCAAGCCCGACTCACCCAACCATTGTGGATTCTAATCCTGGCTCACCACTATAACACACTGCCCTGCCTCCTGCTCCTTCGGACCACTTCCGAAACGCCAACGCCTATAACTGCATCCTAATCCGGCGAACTCCGCGATCCTTCTCGCAAACACTATACTTTGCATACCTCATCTCGACTCGAGCCCAACACGAACAAGCCACGCATGAAACCCTGGCAATTGCCCACCAACATTGATACCATGGTAGTCGACACATCTCGGTTACCTCCCAACAAACCCAAAATTTTCCTTTTGTTCAGCCGTGGCGTTTCCACTATAGATGCGGGTTTGGACATCCACTAAGTTATGCTGGTTCTCATACCCTTTTGTATTTCTTCGTCTCCCAGACTTCATTTTGGATGATCTAGTTTATTGGGATTGGATGGCGATACTCGGAACGGGACGAGTTGGCGTATATGGACGGATTGGCGGATTTCTGGATAGCTTATTTTCGTTACCGGTATGAAGGCTCGGCGGCCAGCTGAGTTTATGAGATCTATTCTACCTCTTCTTGACCACGTTATTGACTGTGTTGGTAAAGGGACAGTGGTGTACATCCATCGTATTCGCATCCTACAATCCTTACACTTCTGATCGACATACACCTTGCTGACGCTGTCTGGGGCAGCCTCGCGAGTGTACCGGCCCTCCAAAATGCCGAACGCCTCTCCCATCCAGATTGCTGAAAATACGATGAGGCTCCTCACGCAGCAGTAAACGAGTGCATGCATATCCATGACGAGGCATTGCTCTTATCGACTGCATTGGTAAAGTCACAGCGATGTACATCCATCCATTACCTCCCCCGTCCAACCCGAAACAAATAGTACAAATCCGAAGTATTAAACTAAACCAAAAGACTCCTCCTATCCCTTCCCATCCCATCCCTTGCCCACTTCTCTGCCACGGGTATCTCCTCTATCCTCTTTCCTCAGCCGTTGTCCAGTGCGGCGTAATCTTAAACCCGCTCCACCTTCTCCGCCTCCGCCTCCCCACCAACCCCCTTCTCTCGCAGCAAGCCCGACGCGCGGAGGGCGTCGATCCGCTCAGCTTCCTTGCGCTGGCTGATCCGGTTGCCGTGGTTCCAGGCGAAGCCGTAGGCGACCATGCAGAGGAGCATGAAGGCTGGTGGGGGGTGTTAGTGGATACGCGAGTTAGATTGAGGTGGAGAGAGGGGAGGGAAGGGATTGAGGAGGGAGAGGGAGGGGGTGGGGGGGAAAGAGGCAATGGGAAAGGAAAGGCATGGCAATGGGGACGTGTAAGAGGGGGAACAGGGCGTACCGATAAACCCAAACATCACCCCAATCTCATGGCCTACGCTGGGAGGCGCGATGTATGGTTTTGTTGGTTGTTTGGCGGACATTTTGGATTGTGATTTTGTGATTGAGGATGTTGATAGTAGGTAGAAGAGCTAGAGTCTGCCGTCAGCACATGCCCCGTCTTCCCCCAGCAACGTCCTCAAGCTTCATAGAAAGTGATACTCACGTTATAAGCACTCTGCAATACCCTCTAATCAGCGCGTTGTTGGATTGAGCTCGTGTTTATATCGTGATGGTAGCACTGTCAACAGTACAGTGTTGAGATGCAGCCTAGCTCCCGCAATCTGGGGCACCGGGCTGGTTTTGGAGTTTGGTGCGGGCGGGGGAGCTTCAAAGGAACGCCGATGACGTCGGCCCAGTTTTAGTGCTGCCAGCCGTTGGATGGGAGGAGTTGCGGGAAGCGGAAAGCGATCGGCGAGGCCTTTGGCGAGGTGGAGATGGTGGGGCAGGGGGTTATTGGGGAGTGAGGATGGGGTAGGGTCACGTGGGGGCGGGATGGGATAGGAGAGGTGGATGCCGAGGCGAATGAAAGCAAGATGGGAGATGTTGAAAAATGAAAGGATGTAAAGCTTCGCACTACTATGATGGAGGATGACTTTACTCGTAGTTTCGGGTGGGAATTACCTTTGTATGGGAGAGCTTGAGAAGTAATGAGCAAGCAGTCCTAGCAATGAACGAATCGCTTTTCATTTAGGGCATCGAAAGTTTCTAGGCTCCAAGCAGAGGAAGTCCGCCATGCTTTGGAAAAGTTCATCATTCGTGATCGTAAGTAAGGGGTAACTACAGTACTCCACTAGTCCCAGAATTTGTCCGTGCTGATGTTGTTCGCGACACCTGCAATCAGTCTGCCCCCATGATCAGCAACAACGTCCTGAATATCCATATCAACCCGCTTCTCCACGCCATCCGAATTGATGAATCCCACCATTGCCCGACCGTTGTTGCCAACCTTGATGTTCTTCAGTCTCACGCCGGTTCGCTCATAGTGGACATCAAACGTGGCATCGGCCCACGTCTTCTTATATATTTCAAGAAGCTCTCTGCCTTGTTTGACTTCTTCCAACAGCTCCGCTCGCTCTTGTGCGTCCTCGCTACTATTGTCTCCGGATATGGACAGCCTTTCTAGGGCATTTATATCCTCGTCGGCCTGTCTCACTACCAGGGCACCTTGGCTGTTCACTTCCGTTTCGTGGCCTTGAAGTAGTTTTATGATGGCTTCTGTATCGCGGCTTTGGCGGCAGGTATTTAGGCTTCCCTAAGTCAGTCATCTTTCAATATTTTGCAGGCATTTGTCAGTTGATTTACAAATTTGCGGTGTCTAGTCCCATACTAATAGTAGCCTTGCAAGTTGCGAGTTGCTGGGTGAGCGCCTTGATCTTCCCCAAACGGATATGTCCAACAGTCAATCGGTCCCTCCAGTCCGTTTTGTCGTCAGTAGAATGTCTCATCCAGTGTTTGAGGGATGCTTGGAAGTCCGTGCAAGCTCTTTGACAGCTGCGGACCGCATTTTCGATGTTGATGCCTCCGATTTGCGCTTTGAGAGGAGCTGAAAGGCCTTCGGCGTCGTTGAGCGCGTCATGCAGCGAGTCTAATATCCCTTTGACGGTGCTGGGATCACCTGTAATGTTACTAATTGCTTCGGGTGCGTCCTTGATGTTGTCAATGTCTTGGATGAGGATGTGTATCGCATGAAGAGTAGCAGCGGTAATTCCAACAACCCTTGCTGTGACGCTAAGAGGATCAGCCATCGCAAACCTCCAGGTTGGCTAATGTCGATGTCACGATGCAAACGATGGTCTCGGAAAGGGGCCTACAAAGGTAGCAATATAGTTATCAGGGGGTACTTCTAATGAACCTTCGTGTATCAAGAAGCTGGTGAGAGTCTCTGCGTAGGGGTGAGTCTTCCCTCTAGCAGGTAACGATTTTCAGGCCCCAACGATAATGTGGCTTGCAGGCCAACGCCTGGACGTCACAGCCTTCCGAGGTTCTGAAGGCTTGAGGCCGCCTTTACAACCTCCCTTGCTCCCTCATAGCGCTAGGATCAAATCGAGAGACGCTGTCCTTTGGATACACATCTTAGGACTCTGCTCACACAGACATTGAGCAGCCAGCAACGGATAACCCGAGCAGGAATCTTGAGTCCAATGCTGGGGTGCAGCAGTTCATCCACCATGTCTCAGCGACGCATGGTGGACGAGTTTTCGCCGGTCTCAACGTCCACGGCAACCTGATCACGGCTGGAGATATGCCTTTGAACCCCAGAGCGCGTAAGCCATGCTACATAGATGTAACATTTACTAGTATCTTTGAGGGACGCCATCATATCCTGGTTGAATCCTATTGATCATACCATAATTCACAACAGCCTGGTCAAAGATCGATCATCGAGGACCGGGAACTGGTTTCTTACAGAACTCAAAAACTGGATCCGCTTACCTAGTCGTCTCATGTGGGTATCTGGCCAAGATACGCTCGCCCGATGCCCACGAAGTCAACTTGAATACCTGGATAGCTGACCGGCTCATATAGTTGGCTGCGGAAAGAGCACTCTCTGGTACGTCGCTCAGGTTGGGAGTATACGAGGCGAATAACTTTAACCTATTACAGCTCATTATTAATCGATAACTTCGTTGGCTTGTTGAGCGGTGAGCCCTGAAGTCATGCTCTCGTCTACTTCTATTGTACCTTCCGAGATTCGAGAACTTTCGAGTTGGAGAGCCTTCTTAAATCGTTCATCGTCCAGTTATACCGCCAACATAAAGGACTTTCTAGCGTCATCGAGATATTTGAGAAAAACAAGCCTTATCAGCCGTCAGAAAAACAACTTCAAGATGTTCTTTTTTTCAATTCTTCAAAGGACTGGACCCTTGGCCGATTCAACGAATGCTGACTCGGCCTTGTTTGACTCTATCACAATTGCTCTAGACGGGCTAGACGAAGTGCCTTCAGGTCCACTTCGCGATGCCTTTCTCAACTTCTTTGAAAGCGTTTCGCAGCTTCAGTCTCCGCAACTACGCATCATCATTGTCAGCCGGGAGGAGGTTGACATCAAGGAACGCTTATGCGTTTCTTCTGGGGACTGTACATGGGTCAGGATACCTCTAAAGGATGTTGAGGGCGATATTGGATCCTACGTTGACGAGCAGATCGCGAATGGGCGCAAGCTCAAATTTTTAACACCTGACGTAAAGTCCAAAATAAGGGGTGTTCTGGCAGTCGAATCCAAGGGAATGTAAGTTTTCACCCTCTTAGAGTACTAGGCCAAAAGTCTGGGCACACAGATTCATCACTGCTCGGCTCCAATCTTGCTCACTTGACACCACTGCGAGGGGTGCCCTGACAAGCAGGTAGTCGTTCAGTCAAAAGGCAGCCTAATCTCTACTGCATCGACCTTGACATCGGATGCCGAGTTTTAAATGCTTGCCGAGGCACCCCAAGCAGTGACAAACCGGTGTACACAGACTTATGGCCGGCCTCTGTAGATGCTACATCTAGCCTGCTGAACTTTCAGGTTTCGTCTCGCGGCGCTTCAGATGCAAGAGCTCGCCAGCATGAACAGAGGGCTCACTACCAAGGCCATTGATTCTGTCTTGAAAGATCTGCCTAAAGAGCTGGATGATTACTATGAACGTATAGTACTCCGAATACCCGACACATTACGTGAGGATCTGTTCAGTGCAGCGAAATGCCTCGTCTTTGCAACTCGACCAACGCTTATTGAAGAAATGGTGGAAGCCTGTGCGATTGGGCCGAGTGGGCCAGGGCAGCCACTTCGAGACGACCCTGATCGACGTCTTGCACCTTCAGATATTTGCGAATATTTGTCTGGTCTAGTATCACTAGATCCACTTCACTCGTTCGAGGACAATCCGCCTCCATCTCGATCTCACACTCTCATCCTTTCTCATTTCTCGGTCCGAGAATACCTCTTTCCCACCGTAAACCTCAATCACCCGGCAAGTCTTTGGCGGTTGAAACTCCGAGATCGCGCAGCGATTCATCTGCCAAAGCTGCATCGCATATATTCATCATTGCTGTACCCAGCAAGCGACTGACATCGCGGAGTATCCTCTCAAAGCTTATGCGTGGTTTTCGTGGGCCATTCATTTTACTGCCCTAGAAACGCGTTCAGCGGAGTCAAAGATCCATTTTGGATCACTAAAACTACATAACAGCATTTCATTCCCAATTATCTACGAAGGTCAAGAAACCGAGTCGGAAAACGCGCCCTTTGAACGCTTCGTGCGATCTGTTCTACTAGCTGAGGGGATGAGGCGTTTTATAGAGCACTTCAGGATCCTACTTTCCCGCAATACTTGCCATCACTTGGCGATTGCCCTCGAACAACTCGGTTCTTTATCTTAGATCCGAGTGCAGACCAATCGTCACCATTAAGCGGTAGCCTTTGCTCTGATTCTCTTGATAACCATCCTAAATATGTGGCTCTTAGTTATACCTGGGGTTATCAGGGATCCTCGCACGATATCTTGGTCAATGGCCAGCACGGCAATATAACCAGAACCTTGCACCGAGCTCTTCTTCACCTTCGGCTGCACGATCAACCACAAATGCTCTGGCTGGATGTCATTGGCATTAGAATGCGAGACCTTGAAGAGCGCAGTACTCAAATCAAGATGATGGTGAATATCTATGAGTCCGCGCCGGAAACTATCGTATGTCTCACCGAAGCAGGTGACTGCCACCACGCTATGGATCTGCTTGGGGATGATGATATCCAGAGGAGTTTGGATCCTAGTGCGGTCGGAATATCCTCGGTGGGTACCCCAGTGGAAGCTCTAACGGGTTTCTTCGATCAGCCCAATTGGTCAAGAAGCTGGTCCATCCAGGAGATTGTAGTCTCTAAGAAGCTTATCGTAAAATGGGAGACCACCGAAATTCCATGGAGTTCTATTATAGATTTTACAAAACTACGCAATTATCTCGAAGGCTTGCTATTCCCCCCCCCCCCCCCAAAAATTCGGTTCGCAGAGAGTCCCGAGGATGTGTTTAGTTCTGGCTGGGATGCCATTGCAGCAATCCGATATCTCCGCAGAAAACGGAATGCCAGAAATGAAATTTCGCTGACAGAATTGCTCTTTGTCTCACGCTATCATAAGGCAAGGCTCCCGCAAGGAAGGATCTACTCAATTATGGGCCTAGCTACCGGGAATCAGCAAGGTGATCCGCTTCTTCGAGAAGACTATAGTCTCACCTTCGCTGAGATTTACGTCAACGTGGTAAGATATCTACTTCTACGGTACCGAAATCTTAACCCGCTATCGTTTGCTAGCTCGTATCGTTTGACCGACATTCCCGAAATACCTTCGTGGGTCCCGACCTGGCGGAGCAATATCATAGAGCCGCTGTCCGCTGCTGTTGCACTCTCGGGCCAACCCCCTCTCTACTCCGCGGGCATCAAGTCCCTCTCCCCGAAAGATAGTCAGATAGAGTTCTCCTCAAATTCTGCCGATCTGAAGATCTCGGGTTTCTTGATCCGTCGTATAGAGCAACAGTATACACAGTATGACATCTCAACACGTGAATACAACTGGCAAGAGATCGTGCCAGAGTTATTCCCAGATTCTTCTAGCAACACCCCAGACGCGCAAAACTCTTCGGATGTCGTTGAGGCCAAATGCTTTAGAGCACACTGTGCAGATCAGGTTGTGGGACCTGACGGTCAAGTATACAGATTGGGCGCCTTTGAACCATCGTACGAGCTTCTTAAGCAGTCTCGGTGGTTGCGGGAAGATCGAGGATCCCGAGTACCAGTCCGGGCTATGTTTCTCTCGGAAGGCGGATACATTGGCTTGGGGCCCGCTGCGGCCCACCTAGGAGATGTCATCGCGGTGCTGCTCGGCGCTTCTGTGCCCTTCATTCTACGACCAACGGAAGAAGACAGCGAGTATACGCTCATTGGCGAAGCATAAGAATTCCTCAACCAGGCCAAAATGTTCTAGGCTAACGTACTGCCAGCTACGTCGACGGGATAATGGACGGCGAGATTCTGGAAGAGTGGAGGGAGGGTCGGAGACAGCCCCAGCCAATTGTATTGGTGTAAGAACGTACATGATCAACGCAGGAAGCCTTCGCAAGAAGAAAAGGTCTGAGGAAGGCTTTCTGAAATGTCTCGTATCTACGTTATCATCTCCCGAGAGAAGAACTTAGGACCCCGAACAGTGGCACCCAACCCGCGCATATGGTTAATAGCAACGAATGCTATCCTAGCCCTTGAACAATGAGACCCACTCTACACGCTGCTACTTCGTCTCATGTCCCGGCAACTCCTGCAGAATCTGCGTACCATCCAGCTCAAGTGTCGGCGTCAGCACGCCCGCCTCTCTCTCGTTGATCAACCTACCCAGATTCTCCTCCTGCTCATCAAGCTGCTGTAGTTGCTTCAGTCGATTCTTCTGCTCCTGTACCCTCGCGTGTTCCTGCTTCAACTGCTGCAAATGGCCGTCGTCGGATATTGCGCCCAGTGATGGCGGTCGTGGATCCGACTTGGAAAATGAGGGCTCTCCACTGAGGACAGCGTGACTCGGGACGGGTGAATGAGGGTTAAGCTTGCTAATGATAGGGGTTTGGGGCGAATACGGTGATGCCGGTGTAGATGACGAGCCACGCAGCTCGCTCATCTTTTGGTCGAGAGCATTCGACGTCGCTTTCGTGGTCTGTACAGTTTCTGGAGCAGGGCCGTGGTTGTCATGGTTGCTGTCACTTCCTTTGCTCCGTTTGTGTCTTCGGAAGAGAATAAAGCTACATGCGAGTGCAAGAAAGACGATTGCAGCTGACCCGACGCCAATGCCGGCCTTTGTGCCAGTAGATAGACTGTTTGATGCAGCTGGAGCGGACACGATAGGCAGCACAGATGTGAGCAATGAGGTAGATGGGTCCAACGCAGAATGTTGAGACGTCGTCGAAGAGATAGCTCCAGTGAGCGGCGAGGTCGTGCTAGAGGTGCTAAGCATCGTCGAAGCTGAAGTTGTTCGGTGTATGGAGAGACCGGGAGTCAACGGATTGGTCTCCAGAATCGATAAGTCCGAGGATTTCCATCGAATTTGGATACCATAAACAGAGGAAACGTACGTCATCGCTGTGTTCGAGCTCACGCAAAATGTATCTTCATTGCCGCAATAGTACGAGCTGATACAATTAGTACTCCTGAATAGTGCTTCTTGATGGCCGATCATTCTTACTGACCTTGGGCAACACCGCACTACGGTTTCCCCTGGTGCTTCAGTCGGCCCTTGAATACCATTGCAAAGATTTGAGTACCTCTCGCAGTCGACCGTAAAGGAAAACGGACAGATTGCTGGGGAATAATATCCAATCTGACTTGACATGTACGAATCGCTGTACCCAGAAGGCATACAGTCGAATCCACTACAACCGTAGGGTGGGGTAAAGACGGTTGTAAGCGGACCCACGGGGGCCGTCACATCGTAGGAGGTGGGACACTGCACAGAAGTAGACATCAAGGCCAAAATTCCGTTGGGAAGTAGAGCGAAAGAGGAAGCAATATATGAGATATACCAAAGATATATAGCCCCTTTATGGGGACATGGATTGAGGAAGCGCCAGCGTTTTTAGCAATACATGTGCGGCATCCTCGAGCCAGAAAGCTAATCAGCTCTTACCTTTCCCCTTCATCTTCGAGGTACAACCGCAAAAAGACCATTGATAGGATACTTCAAATGATGTGCTTCTTCTTCATTCTCGCTGGCCCGCCTCTACATGTCAGACGTGCCCGGATTGGCTCTGTGATACCTTGACAGCGTTTACAACTCTGCGAATACCCGATGATTGAAATATAACCTTGGGTATACTACTATAACGTAGTATTGGTAACGACGGTTCGGCGCCGTATTTTGCGTCCCTGATAATGTCCTGAAGCACTTCGAACAGCCGCGATGTAGTTGACAAGCAGTGTTCAGACCTGCTCCGATTCAAGCTCTGTAAGATTTCACATTGCTTCGGGGTGTTGAATAATTGCGTTGAAGTACGTCTAACAGTGGCGAACGAGTGCGCTCAGGCGTAAGGCAAAGAACAGAATGGTTGAACAACAAAATCGAAGAGGAACGAGTACACACGCATACAGGTACAAGGAACGGGCTGTTTTATGCAATTAGCCCATGGAACACGGCAGTATTGTTTTGCGTGACGTCGCATTTGAGAACGTGGCTCTTCTTATCTGCGGTGTCCTCATATGATACCGTGACCACCCTGGACCATCGAAGTGAATTTACGGTGATGCTCGATTTTCCAGGCTCTAGTTCAGGGGAATATGAAACAAGGATTTTGAGGAACCTTAAGGGAGCTCCGATAGGTTGGAGGATGCGAGGAATCGTGGCAACCTAAATTGAAGGCGTGCTTCTTGTCCTTTGCGGGATCTGTGACCTATTAGTGGCACGCCTAAAGACTACCAATTAATGCATCCGGCAACGTCAAGTCTTGGAGACTTTAAAATAGGGGTCTGGGAATAAAACCATGTGATGGTGTTCAGACAAGTAAGTTCCAACGCACCGTTTGTGTGTGCATAATGCATCATGGCGCCCCTAGATTAATTAAGTGAATTTACCCTATGATGTTAAGGTTAACCCTGTAAATTGGGAAGCTAGAGAATCGAAAGATGTAGTGTTATAGGTGTGAACACTGTCCATATTAGATGCCGGGACACTGTCTTTTGCGTAGGCGATGAATCTATTAGAGCGCTCCTGGGCTTTCCAAGGAAACCAGCGTATAATGTCAGAGTCTCCACCCTGTATATTAGAAAGCAGGAAAATCACACAATATGATGTGATTGTTTTTGAGACACTCTAGATTATATGTCGGGGCATTGTTGTTTGCGGGGCCAAATAATGCACAAAAGCGCCCCTGGGTCATTCAAGTAGACGTACCTTATGATGTCAATGATTTAACCATATAAATCGGGAGACTGGAAAATCTCGCGATATATGAGTGTTGATTCACAGACACTCCAATTTGGACGCTGAGGCGCCGTCTTTTGCGTACGTTGACAATGTCTCATGGCGCCCTTGGGCCTTTCAAGTGAATGTACCTCATAATGTCAAAGTCTCCAGCCTCCAATTCGGCCCGCTAGCGATTACAGGGACGCAGCGTCTTGGTTCAGCGACACGTTGAACATGCCATGGGCCCTTCACATGAAATTGGAGTGAGATAGATGAGCATGTGAGGTGGGGGTGAATGACTTGAGGCCAGCCGGAACCTTCCGTCAACTCCGCCGACGTTAAGCAAAGTTCCCTCCACACCAAAACAACCACCATGGCGCAGAACACAGCATTGTTGGAGACCATCTCCGTGTCGCCCCCCTCTTCCGTCGCCACGAACCTCCCGACGATAAAGATTGGCACGCGCCGCTCTGCCCTCGCCCAAATCCAGGCCCGCGCCGTGGAGAAGCAACTGAAAGATGCCTTTCCCGACCGAACATACGCCATACATGCGGTCTTAGCACAAGGGGATAAAGACAAGGTCACTCCACTCCAGCAGCTATCACAAGGTGAGAATGCGAAGAGTTTGTGGACCGGAGAGCTGGAGGCGATGCTGGAGCAAGGCGACCTGGACATGATTGTTCATTGCTTGAAAGGTATGTGCCTCCACTGCGTGTCTAACAAAAGCATGCATGTTGCATATCTCTATGCGTACATATTTCGCTTTGTTGCATCAATTGGTTTCTGGAGACGCTGAAGCTAATTCAAATCGCAGACATGCCTACCCAACTCCCTCCGACCCTCACCCTTGGTTGCATATGCCCTCGAGAAGACCCCCGCGACGTCCTCTGCGTAAGCCCCAAGCTCGCCTCTACCTGCAAAGATCTTGCTTCCCTCCCTGAAGACTCCGTCATCGGTACATCTTCCGTTCGACGTGCAGCGCAACTGCGGCGTCTATACCCGGGTCTCAAGTTCGCCGACCTCCGTGGCAACGTCCCAACACGGCTTGCGAAACTCGATTCCGAAGACTCACAATTCGGGGGCATCATACTTGCAGCAGCCGGACTAATTCGACTAGGGTTACAAGCCAGGATCACGCAGTACTTGAGCAAAGACAGTGGAGGGATGCTACACGCTGTTGGCCAAGGTACGCTGGCGATTGAGGTGCGGTCGAATGATACCGCTATGAAGGAGCTTCTGGCCAAAGTTGGCTCGGAAAGGAACGCGAGGGCGTCTCTGGCCCAACGCGCCTTGCTGAGGGCCTTGGAGGGCGGATGTAGTGTTCCAATTGGTGTGGAAACTGAGTGGAAGAGCCCAAAGAAAGGCGTAGCAACAGGCATAGAGCCTGCGCGAGAGTATGGGCAGGACGGGAAGGCCCTTGAAGAAGAACAAGACGATGATGAGGTCGGTGACGACGAAGAACTGCTTCTTCGAGCTATAGTGGTCAGCGTTGACGGCAAGGACTTCGTGGAGACGGAAATGCTACGAAAGGTGGCATCAGTGGCAGAAGCGGAGACGTTTGGTCAAGACATCGCGAAGATATTGGTCGCGAAGGGTGCCGACAAGATCCTGGAAAAGATCAGCAAGGACAAGCAGTGGGATGCTAAGAAGCGACTAGAGGCAGAGGCGTCCAAATGAGGGCCTTGAGTGTAAGTTACGACGGCACGGTGCGAATCTGTGGGTTTGTCGGATTGATTTGACCACGGCCTAAATACCGTGAAGAACCACAGAACATACTCAAAATATGTCTTCAAGTTCTTGAAGATAGGTGAGTGTTTACTATATCATATGTGCTATCGCCGAATTCGCTCCAGACTTACCCTACCATGATATGGGCATGTTCACACACGTGCGCCACTGTCTGAGGTACTCCAGCACACCACTAAAAATTCTAGCAGGATGTGATGTCCAGCAGACATAGTCTAGACCAATTTTTCAATTCTCATTACTGGCCTGATATTTAGCAATCGATCCACCACGAGCTTCGACAGGCTATCTAATATTGCATTGACAGACATGACATCTCACTCCAATTGTCTGTAATATGCCAAAAAATCTCCGACAGCGGCGGGCACTCGCTATCCCGACCCGTAACCCGCAAATCCAAATCGCGAACTCGAAAACATTCCAGGCTCAATCTTAATAGTACGCCGGGGCACCCCAAACAGCTGTACATAGCCAACCGCCTTCTCCTCCTCATATCCCCAAACCAACGCCCTCTCCTCATTCCCCAAAATCACGGACACAGCCCTCCCAAATCTCCCTCATCCGCATCCTCACTTCCCCCGTTCTCAGTCTCCGTCTCCGTCTTCCCATCTGCCGCCCCCACCAATGCGCTCCCAGCCAATCCCCCCAACCGCCCCAACACACCCTCCAACCTCTGCAGACTCGCAATCCGCTTCCCCCGCCCCCTCCACCTCTCCTCCTCAAAAAGCACCCAAAACCGATCCAACACCAGCAATATCAACCTGATCGTATCGACAAGTGGCCGCACCGCCCTTGTCTCTACGCTCCCTACTCGCGCTGCCGCGTTGGAGATGGCGTCGATGACGCGAGAGAGGTCGTCGCAGTAGAGGATGAAGCGGTTGATTTCGGCGTCGTCGGGGAGGTTGAGGAGGAGGGAGAAGGGGAGGTGGGCGGTGCGTTCTGTAGCGAGGAAGCTGCGGGTTATGGTGAGGAGGGCTGTGAGGGCGTTTCCCAGTGCGGTTAGTTGGGTGTGGGTGAGAGTGCTGAGGACGGTTTTGAGGAAGGTGATTGGGGTGGGGAGGGGGTGGAGGGTTGCTGGTTGCACCATTCGTATGCAGGACTCTGGGAAGATGGGGTTTTTGGGGGTGAGCTGGGAGGGAGAGAGTATGGCGGGAGAAGGTCTCGGGTCTGACGGGAATAGAGATTTCTGGGGCCTTATTAGTATGGGTTCTGCTGTCGATATGGAGGGCGTGATACGTACTGGAAAATGCTAGGAGACGGGCGCACGAGGAGATAGGCCAACCAGCACAGTTACTTCACCGTCTCAATCGTGACGTCTGAGGATGGCTTTCAAATATAGCTCTACTGAGATACACTTGCTAGATTTAACGGGATATGAGAAGTGGGATATTCTTTGACATGCTTGCGAAAGGTTCACGAAGATTTTTAGCTAACCAGGAAGACAACAAAGAAATCGACCCGACTTCGACAAACCACGTCTATTCTTTCATCAGACTCCGAGACGACACAGTCTTTACGAGGATAGGGACTTTATTACAATGGAGAGTGCGATCGGCTCTTCTTCATACCGAAGGTGAAGTCTCTGTAAGGGCTGGGAAGACGAATGTCAGAAGCGTAAGCACAGTCTACTAATTGTCCAGCGTATTCCTCCGACTCTGAGCAGCCGCGCGTGGATCCCGCCGCCCCATAGTGACTTCTAGCGCTTGCACCAACGCCTTCTCATCGTACCTCTGAAAGCTCTCGCCCTCCACTCGCCTACCGTACACCCTGATGGACTCGATTCCCAGCGCCGCCAGCTCTTCCTTATACACAGCCGGCGTGCCTGGTCCTTGAAGGTGGATCACGTGCGTCACGTAGGATCTGTAGTCGTACTGAGGTATCGGACCCACAATGCCGCGGCTCTCATACCCAGCTCTGGAAATCGCGGCGATGAAGTCGGTGGCGCTGTAAGGTTCAGTGGAGGGCCCTGTCTCGCGATCGAGGGTGCTGTTCAGAATGAGGATCTTGTGGCGAATGACTGGAGAAGCAATGAGTTCGCCGACGCCTTTCAAAACAATTGAGGGAATGATTGAAGTCCAGAGTGAGCCAATGCTGTAGATGATGCACTGGCATTCCCGAAGCGCATCCAGTACTTTGGAGTTTGCCGCCAATCGGATCTCCTGGCCATAGGGGTTGATGTACCAAAGGCGCTCAATGCGGGCAGGGAGATCGTCTTCATCGGATTTGGAGAACGTGATGTACTGTTTACGTAGAGTCGGAAGGGACCCGGGCAGGTTAGCATCTTCAATGCGATCGTGTTCCTCGGTTTCCTCGTGCTCGCTGGGTGGGGTACCTTGGTTTTGCAGGGCAGTCGGCGCCGAAGGATGGGAGATAGAATTTTGACCTGTGATTTTGGTGCCATTGGCCAAACCTACGGTAATATGGTGGGTGAAGTTGGTATTTATAGCTGGAAGGACGGACACGGATGAGGGAACGGAGCAGATGCTACTGAGAAGGTAGATGGCACTTTCGAAGCTTCCAGTGAAGAGGCGTGCCCTATATTGAATATATTAGCAAGTACGTAGTATTGAATGCGCGATAAGAAATGCAAAAGGCACCTAGAACAACAGCGTGAAGTCAAGTATAGAAGACACTTACCCAGTCAGGAAGAGATTGCCAATGCTGGCAGAAGAGAAATCAAAGGTAGAAGAGGGACGAAGTCGTTTGACAATTTCGAGGTTGATAGTATTGAGAAACGAGCGGATGAGCTCTTTCTTCGCAGAAGAGATATTTGCCCATAATGGATGGTCTGCCTCGACGATCTTCAACCACTCCTGTTTGGCTTCGATCCTGTCTTTTGGCAGTCGATGATTGAAGAAAGCTTTAATAGCAGCCTTTTCGCTGTCGTCATGATCGGGATCGTCAGGAATCATTCGCACAAGACGGCCTGAATCGAGATGGTGGTGAGTGAAAAGATGTATCGGAAAACAACCTATGAAGTGTGGGTGAGCAACTCACTTCTAACATCGCCAATGCCTTTTCATCTTGGTTAGAATATATGTTTGTATATGTTTGCCCGCTCTTGGACGAACCTGGACCGCCAAATACGCGTATCAACTCTGATGAACTTCCACCATTGTCAGAGATTGGAATGACATAGCTCAACGTGCATTTCTTGTTCCCTTGAACTGTCTTGAATACGTCGACTAGATTGTTGGCAGCGCTCCCGCCGGAGAATACGACGATGCCTTTGACTCTGCTGCCATTCGGATTCATTGTGCTTTGGGGGGTCAAGGAAGGATTGAGTAGCATGACGAATTATAGAAGGGACGCTTGGCTGAGAGCGCCTCAGAGGGCCCCTATTATTTGATCATGTTTGAGGACACGGTAGCATCTTGCGATGAGGTGATGGTCGATATAGTTAATAATGCCAATGTGGTCGTGTGTGGGGAGTCAGAGGGAGGCAGTGAGAGCTAGCTTCAGGTTAGCCCGCTTCGGGAGGAGCATCCGGCAGCTTGAAGTGACGACGCTTCCAAGATTTATACGACCGTTTCGTCTACAGAGCTGAATCTAGATGATATTTTCAATCCGGGGACTCTTTCAGTCTGCTCGACGAAAGTTGGTGCAATGTCTATAACAGTTTAGAAATAGTGCACGTGTGAACGAGAGCTCTCGTCGGTTTGAGAAGGGATAGCCGGGAGAGCTCTCCGAGTTCATCACGAGTTCACAAGCTCTACAAATGGCAATCTCATGGTTGAGGAGTTTATACATTTTGAGTCCCCGGCCCAGAAGGAGTCGTAAGAAGTACTTCATCTCCGCCCCTCCTCTACATCCGCGCATATCAAGCTTGCGAATGGAAGCAGATTTTGCAGTCAAGCCCCATGTAGAGCGTCTTCCATCGAGATCTGTTTGATTCCCTTAAAGATTGCCATGCCTTGGCTCCACGTTCGTCTGATCTATGCCGCTGCATCCTCAAGCCCTTCCTGTTCTTTGCTCCGCCTCCGCTTCTCGAGCAGCCTGTCCCGTCGGTCCGCCAGCACTTTGAATTGTCGCCCCTCCACGCCGGTCAACCAGTAGCCGAAGCTTCCTCCGACGGTGGCATAGATGGGGTAAACCCAGAGCGATTCCTTGTTGAACATAGGCCGCATCTCAATCCCGAGCTGCCATAGACGTACAGCGACGCCTGCGTAGTGAATCCATCAGTTCGAGGCCGTAGTGTGCAGTGTCTACGATGGGGTGATGCTTACCGAAGCCGCTCCAGAAGAGGATTTTGTGAACCATTGTGACGCGAGACTTCGAGATTTCGAGATTCGGTGGGTGTGGATGTGGCCGGAAGCTGCAATTGAGGCACTCCCGGGTATTTCTGAGGGCGGCTAAAGTGGGTTGAGTGGGTTCACGTCGCGTCGTCCTGGCGGTGAGGAGCGGAGGCTCGCAGCTATGCCGTCCTTGAATATTTGCCAAGCCGCGCTAAGAGACGCCCTTGCTTCTCCTCGGTTTCCCTCCGCGAATGTTACAGCTCACTTTCTCCATCGACCTCCACTTCTCATTGCGCGACCGCCACTCTTTTCACCATGGCTGCCGCGCATCGCAAGCGGTCGCTCGACGACGACGTAGTCATGCAGGATGGCCTACCTCTGCGCAAGAAGCTCCGGCTCTCAGACTTGCCCATTGAAGCCAACAAGCGGTCCGTCATCGACACGCTGTTGCACACATTCAAGAAGAAGGGCGAGTTCGACGCACTTCGCAAGCTGATATACGCTCAGTTCGACTCGGGGGTATGTCTACACCGTTCTTGCAACTACGCGATCTATCTGACAAACTATCTTACAGGAGGCCAAAGCCAATCTCCTCTCTTCCCTCGAGCAACTAGTCGACCGCGAAACCGATCGCAACCCCTCATTACTATCGAAAGAACGCCGGATTGCCGCCCCCTTGGTGGAAGGCGCCGCCGAACGAAGCGACATCTACAAAGATGTTTTCGCCAGCATTGACAACCTGATGGATCAACTGATCGCGTCGCAAGGTATCCAAAAGATGCGCGAGGTTAGGGTCAAAGAGGTTGGTGCCGAGCAAGCGGCAGCAGAGGAGCGCGTCGGCAGCAAGACAGATGATGATTATGCTAGAGATGCTGAGCTACGGCGGGAAGCAAGGGCGGAAATTAGGGAGAGAGAGCTCGAGGAGAAGAGAAAACTTGACCGAGAGAGAAAGGAGTTGGAAGCTGAGAAGGCAAGGCGGCGGGAAGAGGAGAGAGAAGCTCGCGAGAAAGAGCGCCGCGATCGAGAGAAGGAGAGGGAGAAAGAACGCGAAAAGGAACGAGAGCGTGAGCGGGAACGACGGGAGAGGGAAGAGCTCGAGCGAGAGGAGCGAGAAGAGCGACGACGAAAGGAGGCGCGGCGTGAACGTGAGGAACGCGAGCGGAGAGAGTACGAATATCAGAAAGAAAGGAGAGATCGAAAAGAGCGCGAGCGACGACGAAGAGAGCCTTCGTTTGATCGAGACAGAGACTATCGGAAACCCACGGTCGATGAAGATGAACCACTGAAACCAGAAGACATCAATGTGGACGATGATATTGCACTTCAAGCTCTTTTGAAGGAGGGAGAGGAGGTCAAGAGGGCGCGTGAGCGACCAGCTTTGGAGAGGTCTGAATCTTTGGAACCGCCCATTCGAAGACCTATGGCTCCAAAGTCAATTGTCCCGCGCGATCCAGTTGCCGCCCGACTTGCCAAATTGGACACCAAACCTCTCAGCAGGTCTTCTCCTACCAAGCTTGAGATAAAAATGGCTACGCCTACTACACCAGTTGCGAAGATTGAGGAGGGTGTCGCTGAGGCTGATGCTATGGACGTCGATAAGCTGGAGAAGGACATCAAGGACGAGAAGGATGAAAAGGATGATGTTGATCGTGGAAGGTCACGTTCACGCAGTGCTGACAGGAGATCAAGTCGCCGGAGGCGGTCATCGCCTTCACGAGAACGAGAACGCTCGAGTCGGTATGACTATGATCGACGAGCCAGCCGGTATGAAGACAAGTACCGGTCTCGCGATGATGACTACAAGAGATCCTCGCGCTACTACGATGAAGACGATCGCCAGGCCCTGAAAGACAAACAACGCATTGAACGTGAGCGCGATGCCCGTGAATACAAGCGATCGCATCGTGACGAGTCGCGACACAGCCGCAGCGAATCCAAAGCAAGCGCCACCTACAAGAGCTCTCGATACCGCTCTCCGAGTCCGTCCCGGACCCGCGATCGATCGAAGACCCCGCCTAGGCGCGGCTATAGAGAAAATTCTCCTCGGTCCCGCCGCCATCGCTCCCGATCACGAAGTCCTAAAGACATTGATAGATACGTCCCAAGCACCTCTGCACGAGCCAAAACATCATATGCCAGGGACGACTATCGTGATCGGGACCGTGATCGAGATTATCGCTCTAGGGGATCTTATGGCAGAGACGCCCGCGACCGAGACGATGATGAGGAAAGACGCCGGCACACGGACATTGATCGCTATATGCCGGGAAGGAGTCGCGCAGCGCCTGATGAGAGGGATAGAGATCGTGACCGAGATCGAAGTCGAGATCGAGACCGACGGAGGCGCGAACGCAGCCGTACGAGAAGTAGGAGTAGAGGCTCCAGACGTTAAGTCTTGGATTTCAAATACACAAGTGGCAATTCTTAAGGACCATCAGCAATGTCAGCAATGGAGTTAATCGTCTCGCTCGAGGGCAAGTGTAATTCTAGGGCACTTTTGCCGCTTGGTCATTGGTAATTTGCTCAACTTTGTATATTACGATAGTTGGCTTTGAGTAACAATGCGATACCCCTTTCTGTTTGCCTCCCATGCTCTTAACTGCCCAGACATGACGACAACTACGAGTATGACATATGCCCATGTTTCTCAATGCGATTACATTTATGGCGCTACTTTAGTCTTGTCCATTTATACATCTCTTGGCAGGTACGCCACTGAAAGGAGTTCGCGATCCTTTCCTCAAATCCCCCTCAAACGAACAAACACCAGAAGCTTGACCCAGGCTAGGGTCAAATTTCATCATGCTTTCCTTTCAACTAATTCTGCTCGCATTCAGTATCCTTTCCTCCACCACCGCCTCAGACCCCTTCCAAATCGAGAAACGCTTCTCCGAAAGTCAACAACCGCTTGACGACATCACATGGATCGAACCGTACCGCCGCTTCGTAGTGAAGCTCGACACGCCAGGCTACCCTCGATGGCTTCTCAACAAGACGACGACAGTGGCGCAGGAACACACAAGGGCTGCGGACTGGTACTACGCAGTATACGACCAGCCAAGCGCCATCCTCCTTAATTTCACTTTGTCCTCTGACAACAAGACCCTTTACCTCAACAGCCAGGCCATACTTCCCCTAATGGATACCATGCTTCCCCCGAGTTTGGCGGCATATCAAGTACCGGCGGACATTAGTAGGAACGAGTTCAGTTTACTTAAACACAACCATGTACTCAGCTGGGCATATTACGGCATGACAATCGCATACCAACGCCTCACTATCGACTACGATCGCCTGGTCTGGGCGGATCCATCCTCGGGCCCATACCAAAACCACGTGCCAACTCTCAGGTTCCGCCTCATGGGGCTCGGATCATACAAGCAGGACGATGTCTTGGATGACAGGCTCCAAAAGGTCGTTCACGTCACTCTCGCGGACCAGAAACACGGATCTTCCGACGCTTCCGATCGCTCTTATCTGATCACTGAGGTTGCGATCAAAGAATCTCGAAGGTCGTACGCGTACGCAGGTGTGCTGCCCAACGACGTCTCGAGGATTGATGATTGTTCAGCGCGCTCATGGCGGTGCGAGGATCATGGATTGTACGCTGAGGGTGAACCGTGGTACAGGTACATCTGGAGACACAAATTTGACCAGTATGGACGCATTGGATCTCAGCGACATCAAATCCTGACCAGATGGGACGCGATCAGCGAGTTCTTCAGAGACACGTGGCCAATATGGATATTTACCTTCGTAGGTGTTCTCGAAATGGTCGTGGTCACATACGTGGTATATGGAATGACTCGATATATGCGGCGGATCAGGCTCCAGCGTATTCAGTTGTTGGCTGAAGAAGATGGCCTGTTGGATGCCGCAGAAGACGAAGAGGAGTACGTAGACTTCGGCCATGACGATGAGCCTCCAAGCTATGAAGATTCTGTAAAGCCTCTACCACCACCTCCTTCTCCTCTACTACCACCTAGGACGTCTATTAAGCTTGAGGCTATCGCACAAGACCAAAACCTCATCGTTCTTAACGATGCTAACGACTTACCACGAAGCGTTTGATTCGTCCCTCTAGATTTCATATTGTCTTCATTTTAGCGTCATACATAGTGGAACAATACGTAGTATATACCACCTAAATTTCGTATACATTCCAAGACTAATATCAAGAGGAAGCACTGTGAACAACCATACAGCCCCCTAGTGGTGTACTCTGTTTTAGGTCCTAAGCCGATGATGGCAAGCCTGAAGGCGGTGGTCTTCGATTGCTTGAAGGACGAGATTTTTGAAGTGAGCATCGTCCAGCTCCTCCCGTGATTTGCTGACCATCTCATCGCCCCTCGGCTCCATGCAAACCGCCCACTTTGCCAAGGCTTTAACCGCATTCGACACCCTCGTCCAACGTTGCGAGTTGTTGACTTCGCTGACCGTCGCCCTGCAACTCCTTTTCTACAATTGTGCCTATACCTAACATTACATTGTTGGCACGGTCCTTACTTTTCTTCTGCGCTCTAGCATCATATCTTCAAGATCTACTTCATCACAATTCATCGCCGACAAAGAACTACTGATCCACCACAACTCTATTGACACCCTCGTCGCCACCAGCTAGGCCCGGACCAGTGACGGCTGAATAGAACCAAGCATCTCCCCCGCACATCAGACGCCCCATGGGGTCTTGCTCGTGTCACGCTAGCGCCAGGCCCAGAACTCCGGAATTACGCACCCTCTACAGGGCCCTCTGAATGGCATCTGGTGCATCATGACAATCGCCACATGAGCCATCCTCCTGAAACTCACTTCGTATCCATCCGCCAATCTTGGACATGACAACAAACAGCTCTCCACAAGTCCAGGCTATTAACGTGAAGCCGGTCTACCACTGTCGTTGGTGTGAGAAAACATTTTCAAGACGCGACCATCGTCAACGTCATGAGCGAGCGCACACCAAGGAGAGACCTTTCTTGTGTCATCTCTGTGCCGCCTCGTTTGGCCGCCGAGACATCCTCCAGCGCCATTGCATCCATGTTCACGGTGCATTAGCCAGCGACGAGAGGGATGCCCTCAACCGTGGAGATCGATTGAAGGCGCAGGCCGCGCGACCTTCGAAGAAGCGGCGGATATCAGACGCAGCTGACGCTCTTCCGACTCTAGCTTTTGCTGCTGATGAGCCTGTCCCGGTCGATCCGGCGAGCATTAAGGACCAATTGGATCAGGTTGCAAGACGATATGTTATGCTAGATAATCTAGATCAGCTGGAAATGCTCAGTCAGGTCTCCCCTGGGCCTCCGGATTTGGACACGAGCATCTGGTCGGTGCTTTGTGAATATTTTGACTTCCCAGTGTCCCCGCAAGCATCGGCGGCTTCACAACGTACCGAAGCTATCCTCGAGTGCCCACCTACGGAGCCTCAGTTACAGCGTGCGTCCAGCAGGGTTTTTGAAAGGGTCACCGGGCTGACTCCGCCTCCACCCAGCTTCATGCAAAGTAACAGATCTCGAGGTCTCATGCCTCCTCCTCAAATCACGGTACCTCGCTCCATCGGAGGCGGAATCGACTTTGCCCTCCAACAGATTGATACTGGGCGCATACTGACAAATTACACCTCCCACATCGCGCCAGGTCTGCCAATGCTACATCTTCCCACTATCGACTTGAGTCCTTGGATCAAACACGGGCACTCGAAGTGTGATGGGTGCTGCCTCCCCAATGGATCTGTCGTCCCCGCCCGCCGTCGCGTCAACCGTTGCCTGATGATAAGTCTTCTCACTCTAGGTGCAATTTGCGATCATCGGCATGCCCTTGCCGAAAGGCTATTTCGAGAGTCCGGGCCCGCAATTCGAGAATACCTCAAAGAAATCCGGCTAAACAAGTCCGATGAGCCACCGCCTTTGGATCTTATTCAAGCCCTGACTTTCTACATTGCTTATGGACTCTGCTCCGGAAGCAAACAAATCGAAGAGAGCATGCTAGGGCATATGAGCTGCCTTGGAAGTCTTGTTCAAGACGCTCAACTATCAAAGCCTATGTCAGAATTCAATTACGGCCCTATGAAGCCAGGCCCCGATGATGATTGGTTCCTATGGGCAGCAGAAGAGGAAAGGAAGCGCACATATTTTGCTGTGCTTGTGTGCCAAAGTTCAGCGGTGAACTACCTCAACATTCAGCCATACTTGCATTCGAAAGGAATTGAATGGACCTTGCCAGTTGATGAAGATCTCTGGGAGGCTAGAACCGCAGCTTCCTGGCGCGAGTTGAGACGACGCACGCCAGATGCTCCACGATTCAAGGATGAGCTAGCCCTGCTCTTTGCTAATCCAGCGCCATCTTTTAAGACAGTGGCGGACTTTCCTACTTCAACTACGGGTGAGCATCAAGAGCTTGAATCGGACGAACCACACTTTGCAGCCACTCAAGCCGTTACCGATATCTCTACAAATCGTAGATTGCCTAGCCAATACGGATGCTTGGTCCTGATAGGAGCATTGAATGTCATGGTTTGGGAGCACGCCCATGGCCGGACCTTCACGTTCGGCCTCACGGCTGGAGGACTAGTACGTGATAAAGTTGCCTTGCTCAACAAGAGCAGCCTCTCCAACTCCTTAAGGCAGTGGCAGGAGATGTGGCAGTCTTACCCAAAGCACTATTCCCACGAAGATGCACGATACCGAATTCTAGCGACCTGCGTTCCACTGCTTGATCACGCCGAACTGCTTTTGCATGTTGACATCGCACAAGCAAAGGACGCGCTCTTCTCGAGAGACTACCAAAAGACCTCCATGGCGTATTCGAGCCTTCCTATGGTCATCGACGATAGTGATGACGTATCCTTCGATTCTGAAGCCGATTCGCCGCGTTATGAACAAGTACACCATAAGAAGCGATGCTATGGGCTTCGCGGAGCTGCCGCATACGCCGTGAAAGCTCTCGAACTAGCGTTCCGCATAGGTCCATGGTTTTCTTCCGAAGACGCATGTTATGATGCTCCAATTCAATCCGTGGTGGCAATGTTCTATTGCACGCAGGTCGTATCAAGCTGGCTGCTTGCTTATTCCACGAAGTATCATCAAGATGTGGACGTCACCAATCCTCGGAGGGAACAGATCGAGGACAAGGTTCTACTCAAGGCAATCAAACAGCTCATCAGCCATCGCAACCAAACATCACTGCCGTTTGAAGATGATACGATAAGCGATTTTTCAATGGAGCTTTTCGACGAGATGGCGATCTTACAACTGGCCATCGGTCTCATCACCGCGCATGTCCAGCTCCTGAAACGCGTCAGCTTCTGGCCTCGTAAGTACGGTGGAATTCCATACGTGTTCAAGACATACTGACCCATATGTAGCTGCTGCTCATCTCATCGAGGCGTTGCAAGTCCGAGCGAATGCTATACAAGAAATGTCGAAACTCGTTCAGCCTAGCAAACCGGATCACCAGTCACCATCGCTTGTGCCGTTTCTCCATTTTGGCGAGAGTGACACGGATGCCGATGGCTGGTCCCTTCAAACAACGATTCCTCCGTGTGCGGGCTGAGAGAGCATCACATGGTCGTATCATGATGGAATATATATATCCAGCAGGTGTTGAATATTACTTTCTAAGCTAGAAATGAGCTACTCAGCAAGGTATGTTCCCTGGAGATTATTTTGCGGGGTCGAAATCTTGTAAGAGCGATCTCAATGCTAACGATGCGTAGACTGCGAGAGGTTAGAGTAAGCTCAACAGTGCTGATATCGCACTAAAGCTGTCCTAGGGCACGAAGGCTTCGAAATAGATAATGTGCCTTTTTTGCGAGCTCCAAATTGGACGTGCGAGTTGAGTCAAGGACGAGGTGGAGGATGGAGTGATTTACTGGTTGCCAACACCTTGCCGCATCAATAATAGTTTGACTGAAAATTTACCTGTTATCAGCTGGTACCGGAATCAAGCCAGGGACCTACTCTTAACAGAAGATTGCCCAAGTTGCTAAGGGCTCTTGGAGGCAAGGTCGGGGCTGTCAGAGGCGTTACGCGGACAGCGAGATATGAGGGCAACCTCCATCGTCATGCGGAACGACGATAAAAACTAGGGGAGCATTTTTAAACTTTCCAAAGGGCGTGTAAACTTACTGGGCGGCCAATGCCTATCGACCTGGATCAAAAAAGGTAATAGGCGGTAATGTGTTTTTTCCGAGATTTCAAGTTGACATTCAAGTCACATATCCTCAAAATTTAAGCCCATCGAAGGATGGATCTTCCAAAATGATTTTCTCTACCACCTATCTCCCGCCTAACAATAAGAAATCCCCGGCAAAAAAATCGTACGAGTCTAGTCGTCCGGCACTATTTTTTCTTGTTTGTATAGTATGCCGTCAAACCCCATACTGCCTTCCCGTCACGCCTACCCACACAGAAGTCTTTGACAGCCCATCGCCGCATTGTTTTGGATACCTTGAGAAGTTGGGTTGTGTCCGTCGATCTCGAGTTGAGAAAGAGGAATTAAACAGACAAATCACTCTTTTGACCAGTAGATGGAAGAGGTCCAAGCTGGAACACCTTGCCACCGCCATGTCAAACCGTCGCACTGTTCATCGATTACCGTTCGCACCGCAATAGGACAAGTGGTGCACGTCGACCATTTTGAGAGGCTGCTTCCTTTACGTCCAGAAGTATGAGAAGCCGTCGCACCGTTGATCGAGAACCATTCGCACTAGAATAGAAGAGGAGGAGGAGGAGCTTGTCAGCAGCTTGGACTGCTTATTGTGTTAGCAAGTGATTTGGCGAAAGCTGTTCGACTTTCGACATACCTTGGAGCTAACCAGTCAGACGACCAGATCGATGAACTCTCGACTCAGCGTGAGTCATGCAGACGAGCAGGTTCGTCAGCGCCGTCCTCAGATCGGCCAGGCGCATAGGTGTCTTTTCATAAGCCACAACATTCCTAGCAGTCGCCGAGGGGTCTTCGAGATCCATGCGATCTTCATGCTGGCCACCCCAGAGTTTAGTGACCAAGAGCACAATCTCTCCAAGGGCCTCGGACAGGGACTCCATAGCCAAGCCTTTCTTTCCAGAAACAGACGAATTGCAGATTATGCTCGCCAGAAAGTTAAGTACATGTCCTGCTTCAATTCGAATGGCAGTCAGCCCATTGACATACTTCGCCTCATTTAGCTGGCCTCCAACAAACGGGGCCAATGCCTGAGCCATGTCCGCCAGGATGTCCTTCAGCTGCAGGCGCTCTAGGCGCTTCAAGGAGGCCATGGCATCCATGAGGCGAGGGCTCACCTCCATCGCCGTCCCAATGTCAACAGAATATTCCGAACGTGGGGGGGATAACACACGCTTAGACCGCTTAGACTTCTTAGACTTCGAGGTGCCAGCTTTAGAGATCATGTCGTAGTTCGAGCACTCAGTGAGATGCGCACTAACGCCCGACATGCGACGCTTGGGGCCCGGACCACCAGCTTCCTCATCCACGGACGGAGGAGAAATCCCGGTGAGCGTGATGGGAGGAGGGCAAGGCGACCCAACCGGGGCCCACGATTGTTCAATCGCCTCCCCCATACGCCTACGCACCGTAACCGTCTCAGCACCCTCCGACATCCCGCTTCCCGGCTCGCTCGGCGGCGGAGTGCTGTGGTACGCACGCTGGGCAGCTCGGTCCTCGAACTCATCCTCTTCGTCTACATCCATCCTCTGGGCCCCATCGTGGCTCGCAGGCGGCGAGGGCGGCACATACCGCGATGGCAGGTCTGGCGCATACTGCATCTCCATCTCCGTCGAATCCATCATCTTGCCACGTCGAATAAAGCCGCCGCCACCCACCCAGTCGGCATCCGTGCCGCCCTCGTTCCATCCGCTACGATGATCGCGCAGGCCTTGCATGGTCGGGCCTTCGAGACGACCTACGCTGCTGCTGCTGGCGGAGACGGAGACGGAGACGGAGAGACTGGGGTCGAAATTGGGGTCAACGACGGTGTAGCGGTTGCTGTTGGTGGGAGAGCCGACGTGTGGAGTTGAAGAGGTGGAAGGAGTAGTGGTGGTGTGGATGGAGTGGAGAGCGGAGTGAGAGGAAAAGTTAGGGAAGGAGGTGATGGTGTCTTTGTTGTTGTTGAGGTTGCCGTTGCAGTTGAGGGTGAATGGGCGGTTGTTGTTGGAAGTGGTGCCGTGGACGTTGGAGGTGAAAGCACCGCCAGAGTCAGCTTCGATAGGTTGATGGACGGGGTTGGTGGTGGCCTTGGAGGAGTCGGGAGACAGGACCTTGTTGTTAGTCAAGGTCAAAGTAGAGGTGTTGTTGGCGGTGGTTGGCTGATGCTTCTTGGCCGAGCGCTTGTGGGTGGTGTGGGCTTTGGATTTGGTTTTCGCAGTCTTGCCCTTCGCACCACGGCCGCCAGCCTTGCCCTTAGCACCGTGACCGCTCGTCGCCAACTCCTCGAGTTCTTCGCCATCAGGACGCATCATGGAAAGCGGCTTGCCGCCTTTCATGAAGTTTGGAGCCGGCCTCATGGCCATCTGGGAGATGACGACGATGTTGAGCGACTTTGCGGCGGTGAACGTGTGTGGCTAGAAGCCCGGACACCGGTTTGGTGAGAGGAGGCGGCGAAGAGCAAAAGAGTACAAGAATTTACTGCCTACTATGGAAGAATAGAGGAATACTGTTGTGGTGGTGTGCTCTTTTAGGAGGGTGTGGAATTGAGGGTGGTGATGTAGCTTCTTGGAGGTGGAGGTGGAAGTGGATTGGTCGAGCGAAAATATATACGTCACCTTGGGGGTTGCGCTATTGTTCCTATGCAGCAGCTTATTGAAGAGGCTGGGCGCCAGGCAACGGGGGTTTCGAGGGTTTTTTCTGGTGGTGAATAAGGCAGTCAGGCACAGCAGGGAGGTTCGCCCCTGAGTGTGGGTAAGGGGTTGGGAATGAGGGTTCTGAAACTCCAAGTTAGATAGAGAGGCCAACGTAGTGGAAATCAGATTACCCTTTGACGAGGCTGATACCTACTAACTGAGGTGATCCTTACAGTGGTGTCGAGTGAGCAACAGTGGAGTTTAAGCACCGATATATTCGTGTGCTTAAACTTATGATCTAAAGCACGATGCAAAGACCAACGTAGTAGGAACCTGACTACCTTTTGACGAAGCTGATACGTGCTAGCCAGGCTACCCCTATAGTGCTATCGGACGAGCAAGAGAGTTCTCTAATGCGAGAGATATCTAGGTATCTGAAAAATCATACGAACGATACAATGTTAAGTTCAAAGCAGTACAGATTAGACTACCTTTTAGCCAGCCAGCTCACCACCAGCAGGGCCACCTCTTACAGCGTGATTAAGCGTGCAAAAGTAAAGAAAACAATGTGAAGGACTATACAGTGGGAATTGGAGTACCTTTTAGCTAGCCAGCTTATCGCTAGCGGGGCCACCTCTTACAGCGCTATTAACCGTACAGAAGCAAAGAAACCGATGTGAAGGATTACACAGTGGGAATTAGACTACCTCTTATCCAGCTAAGTGCCTACTAGCTAGCGGAGTCCTTACAGTGCTATTAGAAAGTTAAGAATGCACCTAAATATAAAAGATATTGGGGCCCTTTGTAAATACAAATATAATACGCTGTCAAAGTTAAGGCAGTAGAGATCAGCCTCCCTTTTGACTGGACGGTAACCTCCTAGCCGAGCTACTCTTCACACTGGCATCAAGCGAGCAAGTCTGAAGCCTGAGCAGTGACATATTCATGTGCCCAGACATATGGCTTGGTGCTATGCAGCAAATCCGCATGTCTGCGTACCCTGGGGCATCCACGGGGAATTCAGTGATTTTCAGCGGCAAGCGACGAAGATTTGGAGCGAGACAGATGGGATGTGGCAAAGATCTAAGTGGAGTGGCAGGAAAGTATTTTATGGACGTCTAGCAGGGACACAGATGCGTTCACTTGGTATGCCCCTCCTTTCTCAGTTCCCCATGCGGCTCCGACAGCATGTGTCTCTAGCAGTCTACAGATTAGGCTTACGCTTCGCAGTCGCGAAAATCAGATCGGTGCAATGATCTATTTGGACTGGAGCCATTTAGAGGTGGACTAGATGGAGGCACTCGAAAATGGTCTGGAGCTCCATATTTTTCCTAGGAAATCCAGTGGATTTGGAAAACGTGACCAGATCTCTTAGTGAAATCTGCTTATTATGTGGCGCTATACCTAATATGGACGACACGTGATATCTTGAGCTCCGGAGCATTTTCCGTAGGCTGGAGTAGATTTGAGGCGAAATCCACTCCACTCCATTCAATTGAGGTCGCTGGATCGGTGAACAAGCCAGATGAGATGCTCATTACTAGCGCAAGAGAGGTTGTGTGTCTTGTGCCTTGCATTATTTTTATACCTTCAACGGCCTTGTAATAAGAGGCCCAAAGTGAGAGCGAATGCGTAGCTTGAGCAGAACGATGTCATACCTGAAGTAGGTGCGAAAGCGCGGAAACAATCCCGGGCCGAGGGCCGCGAAAAAGTTTGTTAGTGTGGTTTCACAAGTAAGGGTACATATACCTTTTATTTTCATGTGCCCAAATGTCGCGAGGAGAAGTGGATCACTCAGTGGTTCAACAGTCAAGATTTCACCTCAACGCCTGGGTTAAAAAGGTACTCACGTCCTTCGCCTCCCGGTCTCTTCATATCTATATGGCGTGGAGGGACGTTTAGGTTTTGCAAGTTCGAATCCCGGTGAGGTTGGTTCTTTTTCGCCTTTTTAGGCATTTTTTTCAATCTCAAGACTAACTAGCTACGTGTATTACAATCTCTCCTCTGGTCTAACAGATTCACTAGCACAATTCTTTTTTATTATATCGAGCTAAACTGGTGCTTATTCAACAAACTTTGCGATACTTCCTGGGGCTTTTACTTCACAAAAACGACAGAGGCAGAAAAAAGAATGATCTGCTATCTTTATTACACTACACCTGTCTGCTACTGCATGGAGTGCTTCAACGAATTTCCACATAGTCCAAGGCGAAGAGCATCTGTCTTCTTTAGATTCCTGAAAATGCATTGAAGCAACCCAAGCAGTGGCAGACAGGTGTACACACGGGACAGCTTGTTCTAGAATTAGTGTGCTGTGCCACCTTTTCCATGCCTCGCGTGGTATGATATCCTAGTAAGATTCCGAATGCGATGTCCACCTCCTCACCATGGGAATCCACTTCCCGGTTCTGTACTTATTCCATCACCTTCACCATGCGGTCTACAGTGCTCCGATGTAGCAGCAAGCTTAGGACAGAACGTAAAGCTTGTTACCATAGCGGTGACTTCCAAGGCTCTAGTCTCTTCACTGTAGCCCCTCAATTGTTGCGGCCTTGAAGCGTGAGGCTGGTGGAGGGCTCCTTTCCAGACCAACCCGGCAGCCCAATCTTGGCTTCTCCCAGCGTCATGTCGACTCCTGACTCGACGTATCTCTTCCTCCTCACCTCATCTCTTCCTCCTCGCCTCATCTTTTCCACGGGCACCACTCCCGGCTCAATGCCTCTCGGCTCAGGAGACACTCAAGGAGAGATTTCGACATTCACCACGCCAACTTCATCCTGTCGCTAGCGCCAAATGTGCCTCGCACCTTGACGTATCTCCACCAATGCCTGTGGTACGACCGTCTATCCCATCCACCTCACTCACACCCACGTCCACACTCGCCGCAACCCTGCGCGCCTCTCAGGATGCCGTGCAGAGTCAACATGACAGGGGCCAGAAACCCTCACCACCGCCATCCTGTCCATTGGCCGACAGACACCGCCGACCGCGGCTGGTCACTCTACAAGTGCGAGCGGTTCTGTGATTGGTGCCCTGCGGGTGGGCGTAAAGGGTTCGACACCAGTTCAGCCCTGTGGAGACATGTCACCATGGCCCACCCCACTGTCCCAAATCTCCCAGGACCCACGGTGGAAGTCCGGGTTTTCCCAGAAATCATTGACTGTCACCCAAACAGCTCCTGGTCAGTGTGCTTCCATTCGCTATTGAATTCTAGACGTTAAACGCTGACCATTGCTTGTCTTCTAAAGGGAACCACCGCCAATGCCATGTCCCCATCCACCCGTCGACGTTCTCGGCTGGCCGACTCGCGAATTCCCAGTCAACCTCACCAAATACGCCAACACATTCTGGGGAGCTGTTGGAGAGCTTGCAATTGAGAATGGAGAAGTGATGGACATCCTTCGGGACAATGAAGATAAGCAGGCAGGCTACGACGACGTGCTCAAGGTGCAACTATTCTTGCGCACGGGGAAGGGTATGGAGAAATATGAGAAGCGTGTTCAGGCAGATGGGGATAAGGCTGACCTGCTTGGGGCGATGGCTAGGGTTTTCTGGGAAGTTGTGTGGAAGTGCGGCCATAACTTCAAGAAGGGTTACGACCTGTCGGAAGCTGCGGAGAAGCGAGAAAAGGATGGACATGAGACAGAGCTGCAAAGAGTGGGAGCGACTTGAGACGAGGGACGTTGGATCAGCCTCTAGTATGATATGACCTTTCAATTTCCACGGCACATTCAAGATGAGAGCACCAGGAAGAGTGATGTCCATTGAAAAAGAGGAAGAATGCCGAGACTTGAGCACGGGCTTAGTTTTCCTAGCTAACCTTGATGCCGCAAATTGTGAAAGAGGTCGTGACCCAGATGCAGCCGCCATGACGCCTTCGACATGCCCGATAACTATGCTATAGGAAAGAGACTATGAGAATCGTGATTCAGAGCCGCATGAATGCCGGCTCCATCGTCCAGATGAGACAAACCTGTCGCACTTGCCTCTCTGTAGTCCCCAGACGCCAGCCGATGCAATCTGAGTCCCTGAAGTTACTTTTTTGCAATCAGCATATGCTGGCTGGCCTCCATGTAGACTATGCCATCTTCGTCCACAGTCGTGCCAACCGCTTCCTGCAGCTTCGCCACCAGCAGGTCGATGGCCTCATCCCAACGATCCTCGTCCTCTTGAGCCCATCCCTGCAGACCACCGAGGTACGCCCAAGACAGCTCCGCCCACGAGTGCAAGTCCTTTGCAACCGCAGACGCCTCGCTCGAAGACATGGTGATGTTCTCCTCCTTGAAGCCCGCCTGCACCATCACCTTGCGCAATTGGGTGCCATCCGCCCAGCTGACCGGCGGCGCCTTTCCGGCACGGCCTGGCGAGCGCGTAGCCATCTGCACGGCTTTGATAGGTTCCAGCCAGGCGAGGGTCTGCCAGCAGTTGACGACAGCCACGCCGCCGGGCTTGAGGGTGCGGTAGATCTCGGTGGCGCCGTCGAGGCCGGCAGAGCCCATCATGAAGATGGCGATGTTGGTGAAAGAATGGGTAAAGTAGTCGTTTGGCAGGGCAACGGCCTCAGAGCGCATGTTCTCGACCTCGACAGGCCATTTGTTTGCGATGACGGCGGCACGGACGTGGGACAGGAAAGCTGGGTTCGAGTCCGTAGCCACGATCTTGATGGTAGGCAGCGGTGAGGTGGCCATGATCTTGCGCGTCACGGTGCCGGGGCCGCAGGCATTGTCGTGGATGACACTGTCGGCGGGAAAGGGCGAGACGAGCTTGATGTATTCCTCAGCGAATTGAGCGGTGACCTTGCCGCCGGTCTTCTCGTAGACATCGACGGCGTTGGCAAGGATGCCGAGGGCCTGCTTGGGGACGAACGGGGGGGTCGGGCTTGGAGACATCCTCGCGCGGTACTGTTCGCTGAGCGAGGTGAGGAAGGAGGAGCGAGGCATGGAGGATGAGGTTGAAGGAGTGACGTTGGAAGGAAGTCGTCGGGCTGAGTGGACGTCACGTGGGCAATCAGCCAGCGCTTTTTAAGGTTCAACTCCCGCAGGCCGTTAGATTTCATTAACAAGGGCCTACCGACCCACCTGGGCCAAAAGATCGTTGCTCAGGATGTATGAATCGCTGCTTGGCATGGTTTCGGGGCCACCGGCGGCCTGGTCTTGCTTGTTAAGCATCGTGTTAGTGGAACTTAATATCTCCGCGGATTCGACGACGGGGCACGAAGCGTGGAGGTCTACACCAGCCTTGTGGGGGATGCTGAGGGGGCTTCTATGGGGTCTTGGTATTAATATGGGAGTGCAGGGCACAAAGGACAAGATGAAAGAAGACTGGCACCCTCGACTAATAAGGGGTCGTCGAGTCAGGCTTATCGGCTCGTCTTCCCCGGCACCGAGGGACAGACAGACCTCGGGAGGTAACCGAATGGGTGAATGGCCGGCCGGCACTCTCCCGGTGCAGCAGAGATCAGCTTCCCCACACTCCTGACACTGGTTTGGGGAGAAGTTGAGGCTGATTCGCCTCAAGCACCGCGCAGCGAAATTATGCAGAGCTCTGTGCAACCTCTAGATCTGCTCCACGGCACCAGAGTTACCGCCAGGACAGCTATTGGCCAGCAGGCTCCCTCCGAGCACCGGTGTCTTGGGCATCAAGACAAAACAGCATGGCATTAACGACCCCGCAATCCCCGGTTTCAAGAAAGCGATCGAGCTCCGCGAAATGGCGTTGCGCCACCCGCATAGAGGGCCAGTAACGATTGAGCAGTGCCCCAATCAAGCATACCTAGGCAAGTAGAGCACCTCCACGGGAGGGCCAATGCCGGCTTTCGGCTCTATACTTTACCCTTTCCGTGGCTGAAGTTCCGATGCCCGGCTATGTTCTGTACTCAAGCCTCGCCCCATCACGGCGCAAATTACAGCCAGGACGCCTTCCGCTTTGCATAAGGCTTGTCTATGGCTTGGTATCTACAGGGTGCGCTGCCGTCTTTGCCGATTTTGAGTATGTATGGACCTCAGGCCTCTGATTTGTGCACTCATAGACTCCCCGCATTTGCATGTACCTACGTAAGACTATAATCCTGCGAGACGAATCCCCTCGCTCGTTGTAATACCTGCCATATACCCGTTATTTCCTTCTTTCCTTCTAGACGTCCTATCTCCTTCTCTCCGTCATGGCCTCCCGCGACCAAAGCCCATCGGAAAAGGGCAGTCGAACAGAGATCACAGAAAAGCAAGCCCCCACCAAAGTCTCCAACTTCCGCCTAGTATGGGACCAAGCCCTCATAACACCCGAGATCCTCGACTGGCCCTACGAAGGCGCCGGAACCACCGAAGAGCCCTTCATCGTCACCTGGATAGAGAACGACCCACGGGACGCCCAGAACTTCTCCAACCTGAAGAAATGGTCGCTCACCATGCTCGCCGCCATGATCACCATGTCCGTCGCCCTCATCTCCTCCGCATACTCGGCAACCATCCCCGAGATAATGGCAGAATTCCACGTCAGCCAGACCGTCGCCACCCTCGGGATATCCCTCTACGTGCTCGGCTTCGCCATAGGGCCGTTAGTCTGGGCGCCGCTGAGCGAGCTCTACGGCCGCCAGCTGATGTTCTTCCTCTCGCAAACCCTCCTCACAATCTTCAATTCCGGCGCCGCAGGCTCTAATAACATAGCCACACTCTTGGTCCTCCGATTCCTCGCCGGAGCCTTCGGTGCTGCGCCCATCACCAATGGAGGAGCAGTTGTTGCGGACTTGTTCAGCGCCGAAAAACGCGGCGTCGCCATGACCTTCTTCGCCGCCGCGCCCTCCCTCGGCCCCGTCCTAGGCCCCATCATCGGCGGCTTCCTGGGCGACGCGGCCGGCTGGCGCTGGGTGCAAGGCTTCATGGGCGCCTTCTCAGGCACCGTATGGATCGTCTCGACCCCCATCCTCCCGGAAACCTACTCTGTGTACCTCCTGCGCAAGCGCGCTGAGAAGCTCTCCCACCTCACGGGCAAAGTGTACCGCTCGCGCTCCGAGATCCGCCTGCGGCACATGTCCGCAGTGACCCAAATCACCACAGCCCTCTACCGGCCCTGGGTGCTCTTCTTCCACGAGCCCATCGTCATCATCCTGTCCATCTATCTCTCCGTCATCTACGGCACCCTCTACCTGCTCTTCGGCGCCTACCCTGTCGTCTACGAGCAGGTGCGCGGCTGGTCCATCAGCATCGGCTCGCTCGCCTTCATCGGCATCCTCGTCGGCAGCATGTCCGCCCTCGTCTACTCCTTCTGGGACAACGCGCGCTACGTGCGCGCCTCGCGTAGGCACAATGGCCACGCGCCCCCGGAAGCCCGCCTGCCGCCCGTCATGGTCGGCGGCGTCGCCTTCCCCATCGGGCTCTTCTGGTTCGCCTGGACCAACTCGCCCAACATCCACTGGATGGTCAGCATCTCCGCCGGCGCCGTGTTCAGCTTCGGCATGATCCTCGTGTTCCTGTGCCTCAATTACCTGGTCGACGCGTACACGATCTACGCGGCGAGCGTGATCGCGTCGACGACGGTGCTGCGCTCGCTGTGCGCGACGGCATTTCCGCTGTTCACGGGCAAGATGTACGAGAAGCTCGGGATCCACTGGGCGAGCTCGGTACCGGCGTTTCTGGGGCTCGCGTGCATGCCGTTTCCGTTTCTGTTCTACAAGTACGGCGTCGCGATCCGGAAGCGGTGCAAGTACGCGGGCGAGGTGGAGCAGCTGCTGCAGGAGACGCGGGCGACGGTGGTGCGGAGCAATATGCCGCGCATAGAGGAAGGGGCTGGGGAGACGAGGTTGGAGAGGCAGATTACAAGGGATTTGGAGCGGGATGGGGAGAAGGATGGGTCGATTGAGAAGGAGAAGGATCTGGATTCGATGGTTTAGAGGGGTTGTGGGGAAAAAGAAGCATAGACTTAGCTAAAAGTGCTGTAAATAGGAAATGATGAATGATTGAATAGCTTGGGGAATACCCTGTGGTGTGCGTAGATTTGGCTTTTCCTTACCGATGAGCTGATCGACCGCCTGAGGCTAAGATTAAGATGGACTTCAAAAGTAGCACGCTGCGCCCGCCCTGATCATACGCATCCGGAAGCGATCCATATCACACTAATATCCATTTTACTTCTAGCTCCAAATGAATTGTTCGCAAAGCGGTCTCGCCATGTCGCTTCGAAGTTGTATCACACAAATGAGCGTAAAGGCCGACTCAAGTGATATTCCAATTTTCCGAGGAAGCTACCGACTACCTAGAGCTCACAACAAGCTATGTGCCGCCTTTTCCATGGCCACCAGAGCAGTCTCGTATAGAGAACCAGCAACCTTCCCATTCAGAAGACATGACAAAGAAGGAAAACCAAGAGTGTAAGGAAATCCTTCCAGGAAGCAGAAGGTGAACTTGCTTTCCACAAGAGTCGAGCAGAATCTAGTGCCTTCCAGGGGGGTAACCAGGCTGCTGGCCAGGATAAGGTGCCTGACCGGGATAACCGCCTTGCTGTGGAGGCCTCTGCTGTTGTCCGTACTGGCCTGGGGGAGGCTGTCCGTATTGACCTTGAGGAGGCTGTCCGTATTGACCCTGAGGGGGCTGCTGCCCGTATTGGCCTGGGGGAGGAGCTCCGTATTGGCCTTGAGGAGGCGCTCCGTATTGTCCTTGAGGCGGCTGTCCGTATTGGCCTTGAGGAGGCTGCCCATACTGGCCTTGTGGAGGCTGTCCATATTGACCTTGGGGGGCGCCGTATTGGCCTTGAGGGCCCCCATAGCCAGGCACAGGCGGTGTCTGGGTCAATTCGTCTTTGCGATCGTACGAAGGATCGATGGCACCCATGAGAAGTTTGATGAGCTATTCGGAGATCAGTCTTTAGAATCGATTTATGCATCATTCAACATACCCAAAGCTCAGGTGTCAGGTCAACTGGTGGAACTGCACGAGCCATCTCAACTTGCTCATTTTCATAGTCTAAGTTAATCGTTAGGCTGATTGTTGAAGGGGGGGCTTGTGAAGACTTACTGGATGTGCAGTCGACCAGGTTTCCGACGGTGGGGTCCGCATCCAAAGTAGCGAGGAACTTACCGGCCTTCTCATCGTTTCCGACTTGAGCAAACTGGAAGTTTATTGCGCCAGGCCCATAGGGGGTTCGTGCAAGAGCTGCAGAGGCTTGCTTGATAGTCTCGAAAACGGCACCCTGTGGTTCACCAGCAGGCTGTCCATCCGTGACGGTGATGACAAGAACAGGTTTTTTGAGCGTGTTCCTATTAGCGTCCGCCAAGATGGGCTGGATGACCTTTTCGTTCAACTTGGTTCCCATGGGAGTAAGGCCCTTGAACTGCACATTCGACATGAGCTGTTGGACTTGCTGTTCCGTTCGAATGTTGTTGCAGAGCTGCTCGGGCGGGTTCGAGTTCATGAATCGAATGTTGATGCCATCGTCGTCGAACAGGGTAGCAGCGTAGGCAACTCGTTCAATGATGAGCTTGAGATCCGCGATACGCTCGCCATCCTCCTCAAACGCCATTGAGCCACTGTCGTCTAGATGCCGTCAGTTTGATGGAGTCCTTTGCGTTGACCTTCATTCATCTCTTCAACCTAGATACACGTACCGACATACAGCCAGATGTCGAACAAGCCAAGGCTAACAATATCATTACCCACTTCCTTGGGAATACGCCAGCGCTGGCACATCTGGCCGACTTTGGTGGAGGCGCGCTGAGCAATCTGCTCCAACGCGGAGCTATCCGCGCCATAGAATGACAAAAGGTTCTTTTGCCGGATGGTGGTCTGCAAGGTGCTTCGGTATGCAGCTACTTCTTGGGGCCCAGCCTGGGCAGGAGGGGCGCCATATTGTTGGCCTTGGGGGGGTTGGCCATGGGGAGGTTGACCCTGAGGAGGATATCCGCCGTGCTGCTGCTGCGGCGGGTATTGTCCGGGAGGCGGCTATAACATCAAACGTTAGCTTCCATGCGTCGAAGTCTAAATCACTCGCTCAGCATTGTCACGAACAAAATATCCCGGCTGTTGTCCCTGTCCGTACGCCGGTTGCTGTGGTGGGTACTGCTGGGAGTATTGTGCTGGAGGCTGTTGCCCATACGCGCCAGGCTGCCCATAGCCGCCAGCTTGTTGGGCGTAGGGCTGCGCTGCAGACGGCGGCGGCGGAGGAGGTCGATTGTAGGAGGATGGCGGGTATGGCGGGGGTGAGGCGTATTGGTTGTGGGCGGGGGGCATTGTCGGATAGGGTGTGGCACCAGATCCGTACGGAGGTTGTGGAGAGGGAGGATACGGGTTCTGGCCTTGAGGAGGAGGGTTCGGATATGGCTGGTAACTCTGGTGGAACCCGGCCATCTGAGTGGGTGTGAAATCAGGGCGTCGCAGTTCTCGGCAAGGGCGCAGTCGAAGGCGAAAGAGGGATGTTTGCTCTTAGGCCACGCGGACACGGGATGTAGGGTGATGACGATGCGAGCAAGCGATGATGGAGGAGTGAATAATAAGGGATTTTACGCGCTTACCTGTTGGCCGCCAGCCCCACCTGGGTAGGCCTGGTATTGCGGCTGCCCGGGCTAGCAGGCAGTGTCAGTGTGCACGAGGGAAAGGGCTGTTCGGCGCTGCTACTCACGTATCCGCCTGGCTGTCCCTGGGGAGGATATCCGCCTGGAGCGGCGCCTGGCGGAGGCCCTGCTGCGGCGAGCTTCGATGCAAGCTGTTCTCAAAATCAGCAGCCGCCCGATCGCGAAAATGACGTTGCTGCGGGGCACTGAGATGGAGGGGTAATTGGGGTATTTGGGGTCTGGCGGAGGGTTTGCGGCGACTTACTCCCATGCTGTATGCGGTTTCGAGAAGTGGAAGAGGTGTTGGATGGAGGATTACCACGTCTGCAAAGTGAGGAGGGTTTGCTGTCAAGTAGGGTTTGTGTGCTGGGCGCAGAGCTGAGACTTGCACCGCAATGACAACAGCTGACCGGGTGGAATCGCCGTCACACCGTTGGCCGGGAGAGTCAGAGCTCCCCATGCGCGCCACGGTGCCTCTTGCTCCGCCACACTCTGCACTCTGCGTCACTGCCAATGGCGACACTGACGACGACACCACAACACCAATTGAGGGTGTGAGGGCGCATTGTTGCCTCGATCTGCGAACAACCCAGGGGTCGGTGCGGCGCAGTCGAACGGCATGTCCGAGCTTCGCCGTGTTGCGCTGCAGCCTCAGGCTTACGTGCTAAGGTCACGTGGTCTTTGATATCCACTTCGACAACCAGCCGTCTCCTTTCCATCTAAGAGCTTGATAGGAGCGTCAATCTGTTGTAGGGAGGCTGCATACGGTTCTATGGTTAGGGGGGAGGGGACTTTAGATTGTTTGATAACGATGCATTGGTAGGTCGCCTAGACCTTTGGCAAGACGCTGTAGATGCAAGAGCCCTGCAAGAGATCCTCAGGGATTACATTAAACCACTTGAGAAAGACTGCTCTTGGCCTGTTCCTTGCTATCGGCTTACTCAGCCGCTTCCTGTATATTTTTCCTCCTGTCGCTCGAGGGCCTAGCTCCCTTCCTCACCATCATCAATACAACAGCTTTTGGTACCAGATCTGGTCCTCATTCACTTCCCATGTCACTGTTGCTCACGATACACTGGTAGGAGGCGGAGTTATCGAGTCAGAAGCGAGTTACTATAAGGTATTGAGGTGCCTGGTGAACCGTGGTAGAGATATCTCGGCCACAAAGTCCATAATAAAAACCCATTTACCTATCAGCAAGACTTTTGATACCACCACAAATCCCATACATAGACCCAGCTTCTATCTGTTCCCTTCAAGACTCCAGTGAGGTACTCCTTTCAGTAGCTAATGATGGCTTGGTTTCGGCGTTCGAAAAAGGCACAACAGCGCGCATCCACAAAGGAAGACCAACAAGCGATAGTAGACATGTCCATGTCAGGATTCATCGCAGGATTCTGCAAGCTGCCGAATGAGCTCAGGGATGAGGTGTTATTCTACATCTTCGGGCTCTTCCCGCACCCAGGAGCAAGATCGGGCGTGCAGTTATGGAATTTAGCCACCAGTACACTACGCATTTTCGACATCTTCCCTTCAGAGATCCAGAGTTATGTTCGAGAGTACCTGATGTCGATGTGGATGACCGATAGTACTTATATCGCCATCGACCGACCCGAAGACACTTCGAAATACCGCCATTCCATGGCGCACTACGCCCTCATCGCCGTGCCAATCGATTGTCGCAGCATGGTACATGATCTAGAGCTCCGTTGCACCGGCAGGGTCGTCCAGCGAACGGAGGTCGATGCGACGGACCTCGAGATGCCTGAGACCCAGATTTCTGTATCGATGCATGATGATGTTGAGGGCCTTCGACGAGCTTCGTAGTCTATATATTGACTTGAATGTCGTAGAACTCTACGGGTATCCTGGCAAAGACGATACGATTAGCATAAAGGAGAGGCCACATGGTATGCTCCGGCTAATTGACGTATTTTGCGACATCGTCAATACGAGACGGAACCCCACAACTCTGCACATTGGATGGACACCAATAGCCATCAAGGACAACATCAGCACAGCCTTCGAAAAGCGATTGGATGAAGGGAGGAAAAACCTGTTTGGCGTGATTCAAGCTGCTTGTGGGCAGCATTGTCGTGTGACTTGTGGCAAGCGTACCGGTGTAGAAGGAAAGAAAATGCGCATATGGGGCGAGCTGTCTGGTTTACCGCGAAATACGAGGGGCTCTCTGGATTACTGCGAAATGTGAGGGCTGTCGACGACTACAAACGGACGGCACTCTTTGGTTCAGGGATACAACGACTTGAGATGGCCGCTTGGCTACCGAGGGATCAAAGTGTAACTTTCGATTGTAGAAAGAGGTAGTAAAGGTTGGCTTGAGGCTGTGAAGTTAAGTCATTAGCTGGTTCTGGGGGACAAGCTCCTTTGCTCGTTACTTTCATATCTGTTGGGTTGCGGGTGAGCCCCGTGTCTTGGGGTCTCCGAGTTTATATCTCCAGCTCTGAACTCTAAGTTGGAAGAAACTTTATCATTTTGAACGACGGGCAAACTCACCAGGCCACCTCAGGCCGTCGCAAAAGGGTGTACACAAGCCTACAGCTACGTGTACCGAGCTTCAGAAGCAAGTTCAAATCAGTCCCTGCCGAGTTTGACATCGCATCGTGAGTTCCGAAAGTCCGCTGGAGGATCACAGACAGCGGTGAAGACATGCACATAAGCAAACGACACAGCATTGCAAATCAGATTAGTCAGAGCAAAGAAAGAAATCCCATTGGAAAAAGAGAGCCTATTCCGACTACAAAAGCATGCCAACTCAATTTAGCTTAACTCTAGTCCGCGGTCTTCCACCCCTTTAACGATGCGGGGAGGCCTTCGATACTGTATCTACGTTAGCAATCTCATCAATCCCCATGGCGGATATAGTCGACCAACCTCAGAGGATTTGAATGGTGGTTTGAAACGACAGCTTAGAGTTTATTGTGGTAAACGGGCGGATCGGGTGGAAGATCTTTTCACAGGGGTACCGGCAGCATTGTCTGCCAGCCTCCTGATGGGCGCAATAATAAGTTAGGTCGGCTTCTTCCGGGCAGCTGGGGGCATCCTGCAAATGTAAAAGTTAGCCTGAACTCTTCTAGGTAGTGTGATTGCGCATGTGACATACCCCTGCAGGCTCACAATGTACAAGAGAAAAAATTGATGTTTTACAACTCGTCTTTAGTCTTCTCCAGCTCTCCCAACTCTTCCACGTTCTCTGTTCCTGGGCGGACGTCTCAATTGGATTAAGATCCAACTGAACGACATCAATAGTGGAGTCTCCCACACGCGGATCGCTTCCATCCCGCCAGGCCTGGGATCCCAGGGTTGACCGAATAGTCGGGACGAACTGGAAAACTCTATCCTTCGCATCCGCCGTGTGTTGTACAGTCTGGAGTGTGTTGAACCAGATGAGTGAATAGAAAATCTAGTTGATTGAGATGATCTATCTACACGAGCGATGAAGCACCTGATATGGGTGATGAGTACAAAGAGAGAGAGTTTGTCTAAAGCACCTAAGAGACGAACAAGTTACTGCATGTGAATGGAAGGTTCCACAATCTAGCAGAGTGGAAGATCGAATTATGTTAGGTTTAACATGAGCTCTGCTAGTGTGATTGCAGATGTGACATACCTTGCTAGCACAAAGCAAAAGGAAAAAGAGGGATGCCTGAATTCTCGATTCATGCATGGGTATAGTTTGACTCGGGTTGCAGCAACCTAGGATCAGCAACTCATACGGTTCACTAGGTGTCCCTTACTCTCCCTTTCTCTTCCTTACGGAGTTGTGGTGCTTCCTTGCTGCCAAGGGAACGACCAAGGGAGCGCCCTAAGGGATAGTTCATCTCGTTCCTCTATATAGTCCGCCTTTACGGCATCTACAATACAACAGAGTTCACATCAATTTCAACCTGAGTGTTTGACGATTAGTTCAAGCAACGTCACTACAACACCACAATGCCTCGTCATAGAAATCCATACACTCGTTTACCGCTGCATGAGGAGCCTCATAGTGTTTTCGGCAGACCGAATAAGAGAGAAGTTCAGCATTTTGGACAGCTAGTAAACTCGTGAGGCTACCCCAGACAACGTCAACAGAGCGTTCACAAGATTAAAAAAAATTATGGCATAAATAAGACACCATAGAAACTGCCAGACTCAATCGAACCCATTCAAGCCGGTGGCCACTTTGCTCCAATCTGCTGCATCAATCCAGCGACACTTGCAAGCGGCCTATCCCTGCTGGTCTCGAAGTCCACATACCCTTTCCCCTTCACAAACGTCGCATTCCAAGCCTTCTGCTCTTTCGATCTAGCCAGCTCCGCATAAAACTCCGCGTGCGCCTCTCCATCAATTTGCGTCATGACGCTGTAACCTTTCTCTGTACGTTCGTCCGCCACGTACCAGAACCCTTTCGATCCGGCTGGTGTGGCTTTGCCGTAGGTGTTCGCTGCGAGCTCGATAAAGTAGTAGGTCGCGTTTTTTCCGACGCCGAGCGTCATAGTCTGGTCGACGAGTAGCGCGCCTTGCATGTTTCCGGTGTAGATGAAGACGTTCGGGTCAGATGGGTTAGCTGTCGCGGGTAAATCGGCGAAAGCGGCGGCGGCGGCATAGGCTGAGACGGTGTTGACTTTAAGGTTCTTCTCCAAAGCTTGAGGGGAGACGCCTTTGAAGGGCTCGCTACCGTCCGGGGCAAAGGTAGCGCCGTAGCCTTTCGATTGTATGTCAGCATTTTTGGTACAACACATGATCATGTAAGAGAGGATAGGGAAATCGCAACGAACCATTATACACGACTACGTTTGGTCGGCCGAGCGTGTCCTGCACTTCCTTGAATATCGCGGTGATGTTGGCCGGATCGGCTGATAGATCCGCAGTGATGAATTTGTCTGCGGCACTCGTGATCTCGGGCTTCTCACTGCGGGCGACGGCAGCGATCTTATAGCCGTCTGCGCGGAATTTCTTCATCACGGCCAGGCCGACATTGGGGCCGGCGCCGAGGAATAGGAGCACGGGAGCGGGCATGGTGGTGTATTTAAGTGATATCTTGACTTTTGATGAGACGGTTGAAATATGAAGGTAGCTTTGGGAGGTTGAAGGAGTGATTCAATCGATTGGTCAAGTAGAGTGCGTGAAACTAGGAGGAATTGCGGATACTTATAGACTCTCTAAAAGAACACACAGAGTACCTACCACAGAGCATCAATTGTGCTTCACCATAGCAGAGATATGTCAGCATCGTGGTCTTGATTGGATTCAATCAGTTAGGCTGCATAGATGATCTCACTGTTGAAACTAGGCTAGAGCCAACCCCTCTTTTAATGAAGCTGTAGGAGAGTAAATTTGCTAAGACTATCCACCTGAAAGTCAAAAGCTTTGATTGGCTCTAGAGCGTCGCGATTGAAATCAATGGAACAAGATCGCGTCTCAAACGTCGAAAGATTGATTTTGCGGACGAGGAGCAGTGTTCACGATGGGCGGCTTTGTGGAATATAACGGACGGAAATTAACTCCGGCCTTAAGCCCGCGCCTAATCGGCCCCGCCTAATCGGCCCCTCTATTATCCACCGCCTAACTCTATCGTAAAGGGGCAGGCATGGCGATATAGTAAATAAGACTTAGCAAATTTATATAAGAAAATCACCTCCTTTTTATATAGGGCGTTGATAATCTCACACCCCCTTTTCGCTATTCCACACCCCCCCTCTTGGCGCTTCACCACCTTCTAATTGGCTCGGAGGGCTACTCCGGAGCCTCCGATTCGCTCGCTTAACTTGCTCACTAATTCCGAATGCCCTCTGCAAATGCGGCCATGTACAACATAGCCTCCAGCGCAGCCTATCTGATTTGTGCAGCTGTATATACGGCCGTACGTGAGCTCGTACGTGAGGCTATATATGAGGCTATACAAATTGGCATGGCTATACAGCCTCGTTTTACAGCGCGTCCTTTCTGATTTGTGCAGCCGTATATACATCTTGTACGTGAGCCCGTACGTGAGGCTATACGTAAGGCTATATATACGGCTGCACGAATCGGAAAGGATGCGCCGTAAAACGGAGAGGCTGTATAGCCATAAACAGAGAGGCTGCATAGCCATGCCGATTTGCATAGCCTTAAGTATAGCCTCACGTACAAGCTCACATACGGCCTCGCGTATAGCATCACGTGTAGAGAGACGTAAGGGTGAATGCCCAGAGGAAGCTCCGGGCTGCTCCGAGCCAATTAGAAGGTGGTGAAGCGCCAAAAGGGGGGGAGAGGTGTGCGTGGAGTGAAAAGGGGGTGTACAAGGAGTGATTAGGGGGTGTACCATTATCCCTCCCTATCTTAAATGCACAAATATCCGTTGAAAGTCTACGATTGAAATAGTTATAATGTCCTGCCGTCATCCCCTCTCTACCGCTCAAGGGCACCCCAAAGCCGATGAACGTGTCCCTAGACTTGTGGCAAGACAGTGGTGTCTACTACATGCGACCTACATTGCAATTTTATACGCAGTCTAGAAACTAGAGGGGACGCAGGCCGCTAAGTAGACGATATCGCCGTCTTCTGCATCGTCTGATTGAATACCTGGAAGGCCAACGCCGGCTGATCATGCCTGGCTGTATGTCCAGCCTCGTAGATACGGAGAAATGAAAGGTTCTTGAAGCTCTTGAATTCTCCTTCCACCAACCCATTCACGGCATACGGAGTAAGCCGTTTGTTGGCGAAGGTAGATGTGCCCTCATACTTGATAGCGTCTGCAACGTCGAGGTTCCCAAACCAATCGTCTACCATGTCGGCATCGCCCGCGTATATGAGAGTAGTGACGCCACTGCGGACTACCTTACTCAAAGTGTTCAAGGTCGAGCGTGCGTCAACGGCCCACTCGCCGAATCGAATCTTAATCCTTTCTGAAGAATCATCCCACGATGATATAGCCCCGATCGCTTTCATAACATCCAGACGGTTCAGGTAACCATGTACGACCTCTTTCTCCGTTGGTGTCCCTAGATCAACTCCTTGGACTGTATATATACTTCTTTTACGAATGTCATAGACGTCTTCATCTCGTTCGTCGATCAAGTAGCGTTTCAATGAACACATGCGTTGAACGTTTCGGCAGTTTTCGTAGCTCGCCGAGCGATCGCACAGCTCTTGTGCAGGGAGACACTGCGAGTAATACTCCCACATATACGCGTTGGCCTCGTTTTTGCTAATCAAAGGCTTGTAGGTGTTGTTGCGGCTATACTCTATGATCCCCTTGTACTGAATCGCACCATCATACCAGCCGTTGCCGATAATTAGAGCAGCGATTTCGATCTTCTTGCCGTTTACGCGCCCTGAGTCAATGCCTTATTCTGCCGCTCTATGTAGTCGGCAAACACTGGCCCGTAGTGGCCACCGTAAGAAGATGTGATGATACTCAAGTCGCGGTTTTCATACTCCTCGAAACCCGCAAAGAAAGCCTGAAGTAGGTTCCAGATGTAAGGGGCCGCAGCATCAGTCGATCCAGCGAGATTGAGGCTGGATGAGAAACCGGCATCGATGGGTTGGTCAATGTAGATCATATTGACGTTCTGGTTGAGGTTGTACGTGTTGCTGATTGACGGCGTGCTTTCGCCTTCCTCAAAGTGGCATGGGCCGAGCTGTGTAAACAGCTCCGCCGTGCTTGCGCCTCCTAGTCCCCCTGCCAAATTCATCGCAAAAGGCGCGGTCGTGGGGTTTGTACGAGCCTCAACAAACCTTTGAATTGTTAACCTTGTAAGGTGGATTGCAAACGATATGGGCATGCTCGGTTGAGGTAGCTCATTCGTGGAATGGGGTGACTTACCAGAAAAACGTATGCTCCACTTCATTAAATGAAGCGTAACCCGAATATTGATCGACTCTTGGTATCTTCTCGCAAATCCCAGAATTTTTCACGACTTGCAGCACGATTCCGGTGGCCTCATTTTCGAAAATCTGATATGTAACACCGGCTTTTCTCTCACGGTACCACTTATCCTTCGAGAGAGTAGCGGCAGAAAAGACCCCGAAAGCAGCAGTTAAAAGCAGCAGGTAACGTAGACCAAAGGTCCTCATGATGAAGGAAGGGTGTTGGCTCGAGGTAGATTGCTTGATGCGGTTGGTTGTGTTGGTTGTGAAAGATAGAAAGCTGCCAGACGGAAAGTTCTGTATTTCTATTTTACCTGTTGGTGGGGTGGTAACATTGTCGGATTGATAAGGGGGCTAGTAAACACACACCCCCTTTTTAGTACTATGGTATCCGGGTTATATTTTGTGTCTGGTCCGTGCGCAGCATTCGCCGTGTATGTATTTGAAAGACACCAATCAAAGCCTCTGTTTCTACGTATCAAAATGCTCAGGCAATACAAGTAACCTGGGAGAGGCTGTGATTGGTGTCTTTCAAATACACGGTGAATGCTGCGCACGGACCAGACACAAAATATAACCCGGATACTATAGTAAACACACCCCCCTCTCGTCCGATCTTCTAACTGGCTGGAGCGGCGCGGAGCTTCGTCCGGAGCTCTATTTTCACGTGCACCTACACGTGTTATTCTTTCCAATTCACTTAGACGTATGTAAGGCCGTACGTGATGCGGTACGTGATGCGGCACGGCTATATAGCCTTTCCAATTTGTATAGCCATGTAAGCAGCCTGTCTAATATATATAGCTATATATACAGCTACATAAATCAGAAAGGCTGCGCTGTAGAACAGAGAGGCTATATAGCCGTGCCGCATTACGTACCGCATCACGTACGGCCTCACGTACGTACGGAAGAGATACACGTGTGAATAGACATAAGGGTGAATGCTTGGAGCTTCCTCCGAGCCCTCCAAGCCAATAGGAAGGCGGTGAAACGACAGGGGAGAGGGGGAGTGGGTTTACCAAAAGGGGGGGTGTGTTTACTAATCTCCATTGAAAATGCTCAACCATGGCTATAATGAGGCAGCTGATGAGTAGTCTAATTTTACCAACAACCCCACGCCAACAAGAGCCACATACTCCGCGTGCACGAAGTTATAAGTGGCTCGTGTTGGCGTGGGGTTGTTGGTAAAATAAGACTACTCGCAGCTGATCATCCATAATAAGCATTGGACGTTAGCGTTCTGAGAGCCCATCCACGGATCAGTGGAATCATGGCACTGGTAGAAGACTGTCAGCTAATTGGACCACCATGATAATGCGACGAATCGGATTCCGGTCTGAACACGGGCTTTGGACGGCTGTAATTCTTGCCGCCAGGATACAAATATTGCGAACACAAGACTCTTGCTACTTTTCGAAGCTCTTTATTGATTGGCATCATGAGCACCAAAGCCGTAGCAGTGCTCATTTCACATTCCAAAATATACACTACCTGGACGACGCCGGTTTCCCAGAGGTATATCCCAAAACCCAAACTCCAATGAAGAACCTTTCTATCGGCGCATGCCAACGCGTAAGCATGATCGCTATACACTGAATTCGAAACATATTACCTGAATCTGAGTTCAGGCTGCAATCAGACCGGGCCCAGACTGCGATAAAGGTGGCTCATTCTCGTCTCTCTTTTCCTCGTGATTGATAAAGATGAATGAGATGAACATGATGACCGCGCCTACCCAGTAGAGCGCGCTAGAATACTGAGAATCGAGGATCATCTGACCAACGAGTGAAAGCGGGATCGTAAGGCTCAGGCCCACGGTCACAACCAGCGGCGATGTGAGAAGCATCGCGTAGGCCCAGCAGAAGTCAGAGACTAGAGACGATGCAGAGTTGACCTGGTCAACGATGTCAGCCTATATTAAATACGGCTTTACGAAGGCCTAACTCACTAAGACGATGGTGAGTATACGATTTGTGGGTGGAAGTTCGAATGTCTCCACCCCTGTAAGATGTAGGATGATGAGGCCAGGCCATAAAAGTATGCAGTTAAACAGTCCGACTAATCCAAAGAAGAGAGGCATGTTGACTTTGCTTTCGTCCCCAATTCTTTTCTTCATGAGCACCGCATAAAAGCCGTACAAGACGGCGCTGAAGAAAGCCATCGAGTCGCCAATCGCCAACTCGCGGGGTGATTTATGAGGAAACGTTCCCCGATTCTCGTCGCTTTCACCAGAGACGTCGACAGTCGAGATTAGAGCAATTCCGGCGAGGGAGGCAAAGACTCCGAAGAGCTTCCTGAGAGTAAAGCGCTCAACACCCATCACGGAGCCGCTGAGGAGGGTCCAGATGCCTATATTGACGTCAGTCGGTTCGTTTCCTGCTTCAGGAGGCTACGTACTGCTTGTCGAAGCCAGTATAGTGGAACTGGCCACTGTGGTATATTCTAGACATGCTGCGGCGAAATAGTTGGCCTGGAAGATGAATCAGCGTTGTTGGAAAGCGACTTTATCCCATTCAACCATACCAAAAACTGTTCAGACATTAGCAGAGGTCTTACAAGCATGACGCTTAGCACCTACCCATAATATACAAAACTCTAGGCTCAGCTTAGCTGTTTCGGCCAACGTTAGGCCTGCCTGCTGGCTCTGAATACTGCCGCCCAACTCCTGTGAGTTGCCCATATCCTCCTCTAACAGCATCTGTGCGGATGGAGACCTGCTACGCCGCGAACTTTGGCTTCTCCCATCCGATTTGGAGAGGTTATCATCTTCGTCCTCATGATCTCGAAGTAGCTTGTATTTCCCAACTCTTCGTTGTAGTAGTTCTCGTAAGGTCGACATCCGGAATCGGTCATCGTATAGGTGTCGTAGGAGCATAGGGAGAAGCGGTATTATGAAGAATGCGGTATTCGTGTAGGTTACGAAGTAGGGTTTGGAGTACTCGTTGTCGGCGAAGATGGTCTGTCCCGAGTTAGTATCTTTGACTACACCAGACTGTAATGGCCGGTCCAGCAGGACTGCTGAAGCACTATGTATATCGATAAGAACCCCTTATTCACTCACACTCGCTAGGAAATTCGAGGCCGTCCATAGGAAAACCGTGGCCAGCAAGAGAATGATGCCGACCGTATGTCGCCATCGTCCAAGCTGTGGCTTTCTACCAGCCGACCAGTCGCTCACAACGCTCGCAGGCGACACTGGCGAATTCAGGTCCGCGGAAGATATAGAGTCGATGCTGGCTGCGCGTGGAAGCATCGGAGAGGTGTCAATAGCAATAGGGGATTGCCCTGGAGACATGTTTGGAGGAGCCGCGTGGCTGGCAGAGTATTCTATAGCTGAAGGGCGCGCGGGCGAAATGTACTGGCTGCATGCGCATTGCGATGCAGTTGACCAGTTCGGCGAGAGGTGGGATAGTCTGGAGTGCGAAACGTGCGTGACGGGCGACAGTTGACATCGTGACACGGGATGATATGCCACCTGCAGGCTGTTTCAACGTTGCGGCTCAACCGCCATTCAGCCCCACTACGTCAGCCTCAGGAGAGCACAGGCACAGGGAGTCAGACATGGCACAACATTCCTTGCAAAGGGCTGGCATGCAGTATTACGGTCTCTTTGTATCTAGACGCTTATCTACATCGCTACTGTAACACGCGACTGAAGGAGGACGGAAATATACTGATCTTGCCCTGTCAAAGCCAAAGACGCCCATGAACATTCAAGAACCCTCGCAAGCCACAAACTCCTATGGTATGGTGGAAACAAGACCAATGTACCGGTACGAAACACAAGAAGAACGCTGCATCTCATGCCATCTAGCACGCGCAACCGTCGCGGTCATTCTTCAAATCGATTGGGATAGTCTCGGGGAAGTCGGAGTTGAAGTCTCCCGCTTCTTCTTGGGCCAAAGCCTGTTTCGCGATAGCTGCGGTCTGTTAGTACGTCCCACTAGAGTCAGCGGTGTGTGCGAGCCCTACCTGAAAATGCCTCCTCTACGTTCAAGGCCTCCTTTGCGCTAGTCTCGAAATACGAGAGGCCACCTTTGGACTGACAGAAAGTCATGGCCCGCTTCGAAGATATCTATGGCTGCAGTCAGCTATGCGAGCAACTTTCAATACGAAGCTTCTCATACCATGCGTCTACTCTCCTCGACATCAACCTTGTTCCCGATGACGACCTGCTACGCGTGAGAAAATAGTTCCTTTTGAACGATGTTCATAGCCAACGTACGAAGGGAAAGCTCTCGGGATCCATTGGGCTCGCCTGTACTAAGAACTCGTCCCTCCAGCTTTCTAGAGTTTCGAAACTCTTGGAGTTGTTGACATCGTAGACAAGAACGCAGCAGTCAGCACCACGGTAGAACGCAACGCCCAGCGACTGGAATCGCTCCTGGCCGGCGGTGTCCCAAAGCTAGGATATCTTAGCGCCCACCCACCCAGACGGTATTCCTTCGCGCACCTGTAATGTCACCACGCGGTCGTCGTCCATCACAACCTCCTTCGTGAGGAAGTCGGCGCCTATCGTAGCCTTGTAGCTAGCGCTGAACTTCTTGTTGACCTGTGCAGACCCGTATAAGCTTGGCATATACACTGGATGGCCCTCAGGAGGAGGATGAATTCGATAGCTTCGCGAGGGTGCGGCGTACATATTGGTTCATCAAGCTGGTCTTTCCCACCCCGCTATCGCCAAGGATAATGACCTGCAAAGGCCGCATTAGACGTCGGCCTACTCAGGGGTTGAGTTTCGAGTGCATACCTTGAGGAGGACCTTCTTCTTTGACGACATGATTCCGGAGTTTGGCCTGGCCAAAAACGAAGGTAGGGTAGCTGCGATCAATGACGTTCAAGAGGTGTCGTCCGCGTGAGCTGCGCTGCGGAGGCTCTAGCGACTATGGCAGGCAGCAGAAACCTTTCCAGTGATCGAATGGACGGACGATCTGCTGTCTCAGTAGAAGGCGTAGGGCAGTGTCCGGATCGCGGGTTGGTGCGGCGCAGTGGTGAATGTGTCGTGGTGGAGTTGGAGCTTCGGCGATAGCTATCCAATGACGCTAAGTTTGACCCGAGTGCTAATTGGGCAGGGATACGTCGCCGCGGCCTGGCAGTCTCACCCCTTTCACCACCACCTTGCTCTCCTCACCACCCTCTTCCTCTCTCCGCTAACACTGAATGACCTCGTTATTGAAATAATCATAGTCCAGATCTTCAGAGAGGGGGCTTAGGAGAAGCTAAGCTGATGGCATCTATCCCCTCTAGCAATGCGTTTCCGCCCCCCTTTCACACATCATCTTCTCGAGTCCGAGGCTGAGGCAACACAGTCAAGATCGAACAGGCGCCCACTAATCGCCCCAGCCACTGAGACTGCTCAGGCGGGCAAGGCGTAAGCTCCAAGAGCTCTGAGTATTCGAAACTCTTCAGCCTTGAATATGCCCTACCCCCTTCGGGGGGCAGAGTTGTCAGTCAGCCGCTGCTTCACGAGCGAGGAAGCATTATTCATCATGTCCCCAATTCCCTTGGACCCTATCTTTCATCACAGAGTGGGGCCCTCTGAATGAATATCTTCTCTGTTTGCCTCTTGCTCTCGGACAGACTGAACCTTTGAGTTCCGGTCCCCTCAAAGGACCAATTGCGTGCTTGAGCTCGAGCATAGCCTAGAGATCAATTCGGGAGTTCTGTCGATATATCATGCCTCTTCTCCTTTGCTCAATTCGCTGCTAGTTTTGCTATTGCAAGCTCCACTTCCTCTAGCAGCGACCTATGTGTCGCGCTGCTAGCTTTTCGTTCAGCTGGATGTCGTACCGAATTGCTGACCTGAGTGAAGATAGGAAAATGACTGATAGTAATACTCATAACTATCTATTCTTTAGTAGGCATATGCCCGCTTATTTACTCGGCTTAGTCTGTGGCAAAGACGGCCCCCAACCTCGAAATGCAGAATGATTGGACCGTCTGTTCTTCGCCAAAGTCACATGGTACACAAAAGCCACTGCGGATGAGCTTTCTCACCTAAAATATGCCCATTCTATCATCGTCGGCAGTCAGTTCGGAAACTGTCTCTGGCATACGAAGGGCGGTGCAGGTGGCCTGATTTTCACTTCTCCCAGGCAGGCAGACCCAAAACGCTCAGCCACTACTACTTTCGCGCATACTCTTACCCGTCCGGCTCTTACAACATCAATTCCAATACTGAATTATTGTTTAAGCTTCTTAGGATAGATACATGGTAGATTGCCAGGATGATGTTAGCCCTTTTCCCTGGGAAGTCCACGCTTACGCTCTCCCCTTGCAACTTCATCCTACTCGCCACTCAATCTTGACTCAAAACATTGTATCTGTGAGTTGGGTGTTGTAGTTACCTCGGATTAGCTACAGGCACCCTGGTGAAGGATGTGGATTCAAGTTGTTCGGAGCTTACGTACAGTGCGCATTATTCCTTCCTTCAAAGGTGAATTGCAAAATGATAACGGGGAGTGAGCGCCGGAGCCACTCCCCGCGATGCCGAGGCTCGATATAAATATTTTGGTTGAGAAGCCTGCTCTGGACTTTTCACTTACCCTTCCTCTTTGCTTTATTGACGCAAGATTGGGACGTTCACATTTTCTTCTCGCGCCTGCATAGGCACCACCCAGGTCACGTTAACAATCACACCACAGCCGCCGTCGCGCACCGTTCTGCGGATTCCAGGCTCATCCACTATGTCGAAGCCACAGTCTTCGACACCTTCCGGCCTTCAAGAAGGCTCAATGGCTCTCTGCCAGGGAGAACGCAGGAGCATGCAGGAGCTCAAGATGACCGCAATGAACAGTTCGGTCATGACCATTGGTTTGGCTCCAAAGGCAAGCACCCCGAGGAAGCTGGGAAATCCGTTGAGTTGGAAAACCTGTTGAGTCATCGACCTAACAGCGTTTTACAGGCAGCTAAATCTGTGCTTTACTTCCTCGAAACGCTCTTTCTCTTCTCAAAAAGCGACATCCCGACCTACGTAGTTCCATGCACGCTCTTCGGAACGCTCAGCACACTTGCTGGAAGTTCTCTCACCTCCGCTCCTGTCTCGGTCGCGACGCTCCTCTTCCGAGTCCCCACGGTTGCGCTCTGGGCCTGGCTCTTCTGTGTCTTGTTCAATTGCTCGAACCAACGCTCTCCCGACAGCGTCCTGGAGGACAAAATCAACAAGCCACACCGGCCCATCCCCGCAGGCCGAATCACCTCGTCACAGACGAACCTTTGCATGGCGATTGGAGTTCCAGCCGTACTTCTCCTCAACTACTTCTTCCTCGGAGCATGGGAAGAAATGGCGATCATGTACACGGTCATGTATCTATACAACGACCTCCAATTGGGCGACAACTTCTTCTGGAAGAACTTCCTCATCGCCACCGCCGGCAATGGAGTATACAACGCGGGATCTCTACGGTTGGCATCTGGTACGGCCCGTGCATCCTATTTCACCTCGAATGCAAGCGATCTCTTGACTCCGACCGCTATGAAATGGATCGCTCTCGTATCTTCTGCGGTACTCATCACGATGCACTTGCAGGATCTCCGAGACCTCGAAGGCGACCGCGCGAGGGATCGACGGACCCTCCCTATCGTGTTCGGAGAGAAATTCGCACGCTGGTCCATCGCGGTGCCAGTGATGCTCTTCTCAATCGCCGCCGCTTCGTTCTGGAAATCGGGCATCATCGGATACACAGAAATTTGCGTTCCAGGAGCAGTCGTGGCATATCGAGTCATGTTCCTGCGCGGTACCAAGCACGATCGAAAGACATACACGCTCTGGGCTGTCTGGTTGATGGCTCTCTATGCTCTCCCTCTGCTCAAGAGCCTGCCCTAGATTGTCAATCAGGTTCATGGGGGTCTAGACTCGATATCGCAGCATAAGATACTAGGTGTCGTCCAGTAAGCAGTACTAATTTGATATCTGTTTGGTCGGCGCTGTGGCTCGAAGAGCAAATCTTTCCGAGTTGAAATGTGTTCAAGAATGATGTAGGTAGCGGATCACTTTGGGCATGTCCCCGTAATTGTCGATGTTCTCATCAAATCAATCAAAACCCTCAATACTCATTAGTAGTATTAAGCTCCTGAGACGATTTTGGGCATGTCCTCATAGTTGTTGATGCTCTCATCCAATCAATCAACACCCTCAATACTCAAAAATCCTTTTGCCTTGAAAGTGATACCATCATACTAAGATCCAGAGACACATGTGAGAGCCATGGAGTATTATTATGGTCTTTTTTTAAATCAAAACGGGAAGCAATTGACTCTAATCTACGTAGCACACTGACCTCAAGAGTACACCGATGATCTGCTGCCAACGACGTCTGTATCTACATACGTAAGAAACCTATAGGAATGTAACGAATGGAGAGGCATACGATGCTGCGTGAAGTGACGCCTTAAAAGAGTGTTTAGAACAACAACTAGTTGCATATTTGACAATGGCAAAAGGCGCCTTCAAGGTAGTAAGGTACTTGAATGTCCTCAATCACGTGATTGAGACAGCACAGGCGCTAGTATACGCAAGAACGAGCTCTAAAGAGTGATACATAGGTGTTGAATAGATGCGTCTAGGTTATTAGAATCTAAAAACTTAGTGGAATGAGACTACATATACGGGGTTTTTCTCTACGCTGGATCACGTTATGCACACATGCACGCGCCAGCCTTCTCCGCTTCAGCTTCGCCTCCATTGACTAGCATAGCCTTCTCAGCTTCATCCAAGTCGTTATCGATCACTCGGATTCCGAATTGTTGAAGACCAAATTGTTGAAGACCATGTCATACCACTTCTAAGCATAATACTCCACCCTCGTGCCCATTCGTTCATGTGTTATTGTGTGCCCCAAGTAATCACCATTGCTCAGCTTCCTGTGGCAGGTTAATAACCTTGAAATACCACGAATTGATGCCTAAACTGCGTTTCAACTCCCGACGCCTATTTGATGCATTACGAAACTACTTGCAACTCTCGTGATAGTGGATATCACATCTCAGTGCGAGCGTCTGCATAACATTGATTCCCTAAGATATCTATTCCTAAATATGGATGATAATTTATCATTACACCATGATTCAGTATCCAGCAAACCCATTTCAACAAGCCCGTCAGATTGTGGGGTCCCCGATACTGAGGATGGTAAGGCTCAAGGTCGAGGTCATTATCGTTACTCCTCTACCAAAGCTCGTAACTTTGTAAAGTATGCACCGCATTGAGCACACCGGAAGTATATGAGCTAAATCATTCTAGGAGCTTCATAACTGGCCCTCATTTCGCCAGTTCAAAAGCCTCGGAAAGCTCTCGCAATAATATTCAAGGCCTTACTCTCATACCCGGTGCAGAACGAGTACAGAAACAACATTGGCAGCAATGTCTTGACGAGTACTTTCTCAACTCCACAAAACGCAAAGATCTACGCCATACCGACTTCCTACAGATCAGCGAACTACTCGAGAGCCCAGGAATGACGCAATGCGCATCCGTCCCCAGGCTTTATTTTGTTATAAGATCTTTGAAGCTTTTGAATCTTTTGGATAATTTTCTGGCACGAAATTTCTGACCTGTGGTTCCCATTTCCGAAAACAGACATTACGACAATTGCTTCCCAATTCGTCGGATCAGCAAAGATTCGCCTCCGTCCAGGATGACATTCTCGACAAAACCTTTTTGAGGCAAGCTCCTAATCCCCACTTTAGTTTCGATGATGGCGATACTGTGTTTGGTGTTGGGCGTGTCCTTGGCGAAGGTGGTTTTGCCATCATCGAAGAAGTGACTGACTTCTAACCAGGTCGAAAAGAATTATTTGCGAGAAAGAAAATTGAAAGAAGCATTTGAAGACGCAAAAGACGTTGATGGCGGCTTTCCAGCGCGAAATCAACGTGATGCAGCTAGTCAGTTATCGGCACTGTGTCGAATTCATGGGCAGCTACAGTGACCGGGATTCTATTGCAATACTATCGGTCCCAGTTGCAGAAATGGATTTAGCGACGTTTCTAGATCTGCCCCATTTATTAGAACCTCAGATTCAGGTCTTGAACTCTAGCTTGGGATGTCCCAGCGCTGCTCTGCTGTATTTGCACGAGAAGAAGATACGGTACGTGATTTCAAGCGTTAGCCGTGGGACCTAGGGGTAATCGAGCGGGAATACAAGCGAACTCGGATAATGCCTTTGTGTAGTCTTTCTTCATTCCATCAATATCTCCAAATCCATCGTCTTCTTAGGCTAATTCAATCCAGGCACGAAGATCTCAAGCCCCAGAATGTTCTGATACTCGGCAACAACGTCCTACTCACAGATTTCGGCTTCAGGTAAGCCACAAGCTACAATTTTTCGTCATAGATCCGTGGAGACATGCCTGCCACTGTCTGAGCGTATGAGGGGAAAGTTCTTCAGCTTGATACCCTTTAAGCTGCTTTAAAAGTGGTGGTTTAGGGCAGTATTGTAATTGCCGAAGTGGTCTCCAAAAAAAGTTCAAAAAGATTTAGACTGGCAAACAACGATGGACGTGTGTTTCAGCTCTATGGCGAGGAATTTTGTTGGAAAATTTATTACTGACCACTCAAAGCTTCGACTTCTCTGATGAATCAACATCTACAACGAGAGGCCGACCATCCCACTGGACCGCACGATATTCCGCTCCAGAGGTCATGGACTCAGGTTGCAGCACTACAACCTAGGATCAACAACTCATATGCCAGAAAGCTACTCTCCGAACATCAGCTGTAGAGAACCCAGCTGAAATCTCAGCTGTAGAGAACCGAGCTGAAGCCTCAGCTGTGCAGGGCTCATCTGAACTTACTAGCGCGCCACCCTGGGGGTGGCCCCCTTCCTTCCCCTAGTATATATACAACTAGCTAGACGTCTATAGAAATCAGAGTTCACATCAATTTCAACCTGAGTCATGGAGTTTGATGACCGAAATAGAGCGACGGATATTTGGAGTTTGGGCTGTATATTCATCGAGGTTATCTCTAGAATTCAGGGTCAACCCCTTACGTCCGTCAGAGACTTCTGGAAATCGAACGGCAACAAGCATTCAAGCTTTTCCATGAATGTGGACGCTACACGACTCTGAGTAGACAAGATTATGTCGACGTCACAACCGGAGAAGTACTCAGCTATGCTCACATATGTCGCAAATACACTTCTGGAACGTGATCGACTCCTACGGCCTTCTGCCCAGCAGCTTGTGGATAAAATAGGAGACACGGACATCATTTATCCGGACTTTCTATGGACCGGCTCCTGCTGTAGGAATATTCACACCACACCTGAAACGCTATCCAGGCTCTTATGCGCCGGTGTCTTGGTGGAGGCTCCGCCGATATGGCCCCTAATCAATGAACAACATATTCGGAGAGAGACATGCATCCTACTCGACCGACTTCAATATCGTCGGGACAGATTCCCGGTCCACACCGTTACCATTTCGTGCTATGTTCAATTCCGCAGACGAGTTCGCCCATGTATGTGACATTCTCACTCAGCTGGCCGCTCGTCTCGGAAATAGCATTGGTACTACCGAAAAACGAGGTCATGAACACACGAGCGATGACAATCATCGTTGTTCGCCTGAAGCTTTGCATCGAGCCATTGAAGCGAATTCAATATGCACGATGCTTTTCACTTGTCTTCTGTTTCAGCTGCGGCTTCGAAACAGCGAAGAGGAATTTGAGGTCTCGTGTATAGTGGAATTCTGCGTTGGTGGAGTCCCATTCCCTCGTTTGAAGTGTTACAAACACGCTGTGGTGGCTATGACTGTTCTTTACGATCGTGTTGATCCAGATCCTGACTTCGTGCCTTGGGACGAACACCATCCGATAAACTCTCCCTACTATGGAGACTTGAGAAATGCGAGTCAAAGTCAAGTCATTGGACAATTCTTAGCTTGCTGACACGTTGTCGATGCTAGCGTTTTCTTGCAAGAAGATCGTCGAAGTGTCGACCGTATCATCGATGCGCTTTGATAAGAGAATGAAATGACACATTGGGGCCATATTTGAATATTCCCCTATCAGACAATGTGTTGTATGAGAGGTCTCTATTAGCTGCACAGATTTCCAACTAGCACACATGATGTCTCCTCTCTACTCTTGATAATCATGTATGAAATTATTCGGCGTCCCGTTTTGAGTATCTCTGTCCTTTTCCGCCAATCCATAAGATCCAAGGCCTCAAACATCTGCACGAACTGTAGGACTCATCTCGCAAGCTTTCGAGTAAAAAATATATTAGGTATCATGCTCTACTTAGGCTAGTCCCGTCTGTCGTACTCCAACCAGAGAGAAGACCGACACTCTGAAACCAACCCCATTTTGGCAGACTCGGTATCAGATACTTTTGGGTAAGTGCTGTAGTCCCGTACCTGCAACTCGAGAGCATAATTAAGCACCACCAAGAAGGCGCCCCGCAAGCTCTTTCATCTTCAAGCTCAACCCTTTCTCCGCCTCACTCTCTCTCACGCACCTCGTACACTGGCACGGCCCTCCCATCCACGTCATCAGCTCCTTCCTACGTTCCTCAACCGGCAAAAAGCCATCTGGCGACTCCGGCGCGATGTAGGTGATGAACAACTCCTCTCCTTCCTCGATATTGCTTTTCGCACGCATCACAATCGACCGCGTCGGAGGCTGCCCGGCCACCACCTCGCCGGGGTTCTCAACCTGCCAGCTCACGTTTGGCTCGCAGCTGTGATTGAAGAAGCTGAAGAGCGGTCCCACGCCCTCCACCGCCTGGCGGTCAACGCACCCGAAACTATTGTTACGGATCCGCTCATACACCGTCAGCAGTACGTCCATGTCGTAGCGGAGGTCGCCGTAGGTGTCGATGCCCAGGTATTCGAGGAAGTGTATCGGGTCTCTGATGTCGCGCTGGAGGCTGAACTTCCTGCTGCTGGCCGGTCCGTATGAGGCGGTGAGGCCAGCGATCAGCGGGTGCTCGAGTGGATGTGGGCAGTTGTCTCTGGCGCACTTGGAGAGGAAGGTCGTGAAGAGAAGAGTGTGGAGAGCGTTGGGCACATGCGCATCGGCACGGACCTGGAAGCAGTTTGAGTCGAATGCTTCGGGGATAGACGCGGCGTCATGTGGCGGATGGGCAACGGGTGGTGCGGGTACGGAACGCGTGGCGGCGATGAAGGTGGTAGACTCCTTGTGGACGAGCCCTTGTTTCGGGATCGGACGAGTCGCGAAGACGCCGTAGACGTCTGGCTTCCCGGCGGCGAGAGTGCTGTGCGAAATGCGGCAGGTTCCGTCAAGAGGTGGGCGTTTGAATTGGGCGTTGGAGGACTCGATATCCGCCTCACTCCGCGTCAGGTACTCGGACGATATCGTCGGATATGTGCGAGGAATGTAGGAAGCAGTGGGTGCATTTGGCAGATCTTGGGCCCGAATGGCCCCATAAATCTCCTCCGTGTAGGACTCGAAGCTGTCCGGGTAGTATTGTGCGGCCTCGTTGCACACTCCCAAAGCGTCGGCGACGCAGTGCATTTCAAGTAGTGAGCGAATAAGCAGCTCATAGCCGTCTTTTTTGCACATATTGACCTCGTTAGTGTCCCGCATGCTCACTGCGTCCGCACCAAACTCGGTAGCAATGTCGCAGAGTGTGATGATCTTGTACGCATCGCTGGCCACCATTTCGGGATATTCGAGCATTTTCCAGATTTTGGCGCGCAAGAGGCGGTATTGGGCGTGACGGGGAGTATGTTGTATGGCGAAGCCGACCTCTCGAAGCTGCTCAAGGATGGGAGGCATGTTCGATGTTTTGAAGAGTTGTGAGGTGGTGAGAGCGGTCGACAGGCGTGTTGACGCGACGGAGAACAGGCGGTGGGTGATGTTTTATGGCTTTGGCGTACAGGTGGAAGGGTAAGCGATGGGAACGTTATAGGCCCTAGGGTCCTTCAAGCCTTTTCCAACCTCCCTAAATATTCACCAGCTGACGTCCGATTTCGGAGGCGTTGCAGAAGTCATCGAATTCACACCCCTAAATCGGATCGAGGTCAGTGAAACCCTGGATCGATGGTCTACCCGCACACCCGTGTACACCTACCAGCCACTGCCTGAGGTGGCCCAGCTGTTTTTCGAAAAGTGCAAAAAGATGAGCTTCCGAGTCCGATCAGGGGATATCGAACAGCGGTAAGCCAGTACACTCGCAAGTTCGCCTCCCTTGAGATATCTTCGCAATTAACACCTAAGAGAACCACCATACTTGATCCCCATGTCCAGCTGCGTACACCTATCAACAATCGCCTGAGGAGGCTCAGCGAGTTCTCAGACCGCTCAAAATAGCAACCTTCCGATTCCTAAAATTCTTCGAGGGCCTACAAAAAGTGGCAAGCTGGTATAATAACACTTGCGAATCCCACCTAGTTTGAATACTCTCAAAATAATGGCTTTTTCAGTGACAAGTACTTACATAATCGACCGCATATCACCTCCTTTGATATACTTGTCGTAGCCGCAGAACGTGGTCCGCGTAGTGGCACAAAGTGACCGAAGTCATCGCTCGGAGCTATTAAAATTTCAGAGACTTGAGAAAAGACTTTAGAAAGGGAAGTTCTGACAGCCTACCTAAGCAACATCCCCTTCCCAACACCATATAACCGAAGTAGCGCCATGATGTCAAATCTACCCGCCTCCAAATCTGGCTCCTGAATTTAGCCGGCCGCTCACGATACGAAAAGGTAAGGCTTGGAATCAGGACCCTCGGTCATTAATCTTGATAATCGACTTACACCTCGAATCCGCCCCTCGACACATCAAATGAAGCACCGCAATGATGTACCAGCCTCCAAATCTAGCTTCTGACATTGCCCGGCCAATCATAGGATCAGAAAAATAAGGCCTAGAATCAGGACGCTCGCTCACTCGTCTTGCCAAGCGACTTACGCTTTGAATCCACCCCTCTGCATACGAAACGAAACGCCGGAAAGTTGTCAAAAGCACTAGCCTCTAAATCAGGCCCATATATCCCCTCTCATGGCTTGAGACAAGTATCATCTGGTCTTTCGTTTTGACAACCTAGCTGCGCCACAGACACTCCTCAACACCCTGAGTTGACAGGAGTACGATGTCAAAAGTATCAGCCTCTAGACCAAACCCGTAGCGTTCCCGTCTCGATCACGATATAATCAAAATGAGGGGCGGATTCCGAGCTACTCACTCGATCTTTTTGCCAGCCCACTCACACTACCCATCCACCCCTCGACACCTCAAGCAAATAACCACCAAAACATCAAAAGCACCAGCCTCCAAATCAGCCCCGCATCTTTCCCATGCCCCCACCTCTCTCAACCGCTTCCCTCCTAAACCACTTCCCCTCCTCACCACACAAGCACCGGCTTCACAACCCCACCCCCCCTCATCCCCTCCACCGCGTTCTCCCACCCCTCCGCCCCAAAATACTCCACGATATTCTCCAACCCCAACCGTCCCGCCCTCCATTCCCCCACCAACTCCGCCACACTCTCCCGCGCCACCGAGTCTCCTTCAATAGCGCCAATATACTGCTTCCCCTGGACCATGAACTCGAAGATGGGCAGGTCGAGCACCGTGGAGGGGGGCGCGGTGCCTACTTGCAGGATCTTGCCGCGCGGGGCGGTGAAGGCGATGGCGGTACGGATCAGGGCGGGGATGCCGGTCGTGTCTAGTGTGATGGTGGGGCCGAGGGAGGAGGGGGTGAGGGCGCGGACGGACGAGATGAGGGTAGCGAGGGGGAGAGGAGAGGAGGCAGAGGGGGAGAGGAGGGTGTGGGTTGCGCCCAGGTCGGTGGCGAGGGAGAGGCGGGATGGGACTGGGGAGTTCAGGTTAGTAAGTGGGCGTAAAAGGGGTGGGTGGGTGGGTACTAGGTTCTCCGGTGTGTATGATTCTTCTGGGTTGTAGCTTGGGTGAGCCTTCGGGAGAACCGATGCTAGAGGGTCTAGTACCCGTCCCTAGATCCTACTTACGAACATCGATACCGATGATGACTTTGCAACCGAGAGCTTTGGCGGCCTGTGTCCAAATTAGTGCCCTCACTTCTAACTCCCTCCTAAATCTATTGTTCCAGATAATCCCAAAGACGTGGAGCTTCACGAATGAAATAAACTCACCATAATCCCACTCAACCCCACACCCCCCAAACCAACCACACACACCACATCCTCCTCCCCCGCTCCCGCAACTTTCTTAATCGTCCCCCACCCGGTCTGGATCCCACACCCCAGCGGCGCCAGCAACCTCAACTCCTCCAGCCTAACCCCCTCATCCTCACTCACGAGCCCCTTTACGTTAACAACGCTCATCTCGCGGACCACAGTGCGGGACGCGAAGCTGGATTGGCCGAAGAAGGAGCCTCGGATGGTTGGTGTTACTTCCGGGGAGTTGGAAGTAGACGCTGGAGAGAAGACAGGGCGGCCGAGGAAGTTGATCTCGTTGAACTCCGGGCAGTAGACGGGATGGCCGGAGGTGCAGAGGGCGCAGGTAGTGCAGGAGGAGAAGGAGAGGAGGACCGGGTCGCCCGGGGTGCAGGTCGTGACGGAGGAGCCGGTGCGTTCGACGATGCCGGAGCCTGGGAGTTGTATCAGGACTTACGTCTTTTCGCGACTTTGAAATGAGGACAGTTGGGGATGTAAGAATTGAAGAAACATGTTACAAAGGGAAGTCGAAGACCGGGGCTTTGGCTATCCCCTGAAAACAAAGCCGAAATCTAGCATGCTTCCCCCTCCCTCACCCCCAAACCGCAGCACAATAAACAAACAATGCTCAGGCTTCCCTAACCAAGTCAACTTACCTTCGTGCCCCTTAACACACGGATAGCACGCTCCCCACTCCCCCTCCTTCACATTCCCAAAATGCACATCCGTACTACAGACCCCGCTCGCCACAACCCTTACCACAACTTCATCATCCCCCGGTTCGCGGATCGTCACATCCTCCATCTTCCACAGGCCTTTTGAAAGCGGCCCGCGCGAGACGATAGCACGGGCGGCGTTGGGTTTAGTGTCGGACATCGCAAAAGTAGTGATCTCGCAAATTGAACGAAGACGATGAGGCGAGAAGAAGGCCATGCCGGAATGGGGGAGTTCGGAGGCTAAGAGACAAGTAACAGAACGAATTGCACAGATGAAAGCGAGAGTCCGGAGAGGGAATTCGACCGCGAAGAGAAGGATTGGAGAACGGTACCCGACTTATCGAACATCCATGGTTCGGTCTGGTGTCACCAAACCCCGGCTCCGCTCCCGTCTCGGCACGTCGGGCGGGCGTGGGGTTTGTGCATGCAACTCGTCCGAATGAGTGACCTGAGAGGCGAAAGAAAGTGACGGGGTGCTGCAAACCCCGGAGACAGGTGCAGTCTGCAGCGCACCACCATCGGCGTTTACAGCACCACCCTAGGTAATTGGATGGTTGCGTTCTTATCTTCAAACCATGAGCCCCAAAGAACAATCAAGAGACTGGGCTCGTGTAATTCGAAGTCTATGCTATTCTAATCATTACAAGGAATACTCGGACGCTGTCCTCCTTTAGTTAAAATCCGTTGAACCCCAATCTGGTTGGTCCCTTATACCACCCACCACTCTTCCCATTCCCATCCAACCGCGGAGTATCTCGATATCGTCAAGAAGAAGAAAAATGAACAGCTCAGGCAACAGAAGACGGCAGGCTTGTTCCAATTAAACCCAGAACTCAGCTAGGAACAGTCTCAAAACAGCTTGCGGTATGCCCGCCGACATACAACAATGTCGCACCCAAGAAGAAGAAAACAAAAAGGAAAACAGCAAAGCTCCAACCTATGCTCGCTATAAAAACGTAGGAAATGCCGAGGTTTTTGCGCTTTAAAAGTTTTCCGCAAAACGCAATCAAAAACGCCCGTAGCCTAGCCGCCCAAGAACACCTCGTGATAATAGGCTGCATAACATGATGAGGAGTACTAGACACTGAAAAAGGGAATCGATCGGAGAGGTTGAGTGAGGATAGAGAAGGCGACATTCGTATCGTGTGCTATCTGTGAGCTAGACGGTAGTCCCTCAGCCCTCCATTAGCGTTTTGGGGTTCTTTCCTAAAATTTCCAGGCACCGGCGGGCGAGACTGACGACTTCGCCTTCACCGTCATCGTTATCTTCGTCGTCGGACTCGATGTTGCGATCTGCGATATCCGTGACCATCTGCACGATCTCGTCTGACTTTGATATCAGACTTAGTAGGTTTGGATCTTCGGACTCTAGCAGTTGGAGAAGTGTCCAGATGGCGATGTGCTGGAAGGTTGGATCGCCGCTAGCTAGGAATCGTCGAAGATAGCCGTGGATACCACCAGAAGGCTCGGTCCAGTTCTCCAGGAATATCGAGTAGTTACCCACTGCTGCTCGTTAGTCAAGACGCATAACATATTTTGTTCGCTGCGTTACCTTTCGACGACAGATTTCCAAGAGCCGCCGCACTGTTCCCTTGCACTTCTATGCTCTCGGACTCGGTAAGAGGGATCAGAACATCAAACACCCCAAGGTCGAGAAGATGGGGCTTCAGTTCGTCGCTCAGCGCCAGAACTGCAATAGCGGCGGTCATCTCGGACTGAACCGGCAGTCGTACGTTCAAGACGAGCTGCTTGCATTTCTGCACTGCCCCGGCTTCCAGAACCAGTTGTTTGTTCCTGTCGGAGCTTGCAGCCAAATTCCTAAGAGTGGAGATTGCGTGGCATTGGATCTCGTCATTTTCGGTTGACCCTAGAAGCTCGACCAGGGGACGGAGGAAGCCGGCATCAATAATGGGCGACTCATTGGCGGGGTGAATAGAGATGTTTCGGATGCAGGCGACGGCGGAGAGTATGAGGGGAAGGTATGATGACTGGAGAAGGCGAAGGAGAGAAGGCAGTCCTCGCGCGCGGACAATCTCGAGCTGGTATCGTTCGTCTGACGCCAAGTTCCTCAACGCTAATGCAGCCTGGCACTGTACTTTTGGGGATGAGGAATCCATCAGGTGGACTAGGGAGTGCACCAGGCGCCCTTCGGTCTGAGCGAGTTTCAGACGGTTGGTGGCATCCACGGCTATGTTGCTAAGAGCGGTCGTGCAGTAGTATTGTACATCGACGTCGGGCGAAGTAAGGAGCTGGACAAGGACTGGAATCGCGCCGGCATTCACGAGCTGTTGACGGTTGTCATCTAGAGATGGTTATTAGCAATCAGTCTAGTAACACGCAAGGTAACCGAGTCGTACCAGAGTGTGTCATGTTTAGCAACGCGCCTGTTGCGTTCCTTTGTACTCGCATATCCTTGGACTTTGCCAGCCTAGTCAACGGGCCCAGTGCTCCTGACCTCGCTATCTTGGCCTTGTTCTCCTCGTGTGTTGCCAAGTTGGTGATGCACCCAACCGCATTGCACTGTACCTCGACATTGGGCGAGTTCATTTGCTTGATGAGAGGGTTTAGCCCCCCCAGCGACACAATGGCAACCTTATTTTCCGCTGCTGAGAGTCAGTGGTGTGCTTCACAGAGGAGATGTAGCACGTACTGTTCACCGCCAAGTTTCCGAGCGCCGCGCTTGCAGCCCGCTGCACCTCGATGTCGGGGTTCTGGAGGAGGAATAGAATGGGCTCCAAGGTATCGCGATCGACTTCTCGTACATCTATAAAATGACATTATTAGAATGTGTCGTATTGGACCGGAGGAAATAAGTACCTCGCTCCGTAATCTCGGCGAAGGTCAGACTGGCGCTCCGCTGTAGGTCGATGTTGTCGGAATAGACGAGAGTGCTCAGCGCGCGGAGGGGCTCTCCAGAGAAGAAGTCTGTCTCGGCTCGCTGCAAGTTTGGATAAGCTCCACTGATTATGATTGATAGGTCGCTGGGGCGCGTACGTTTTCCAAGAAGCCCAGGAGGTCGGCAACGGCTTCTCGCTCGCTATCCGCGAGGACGGGATCATACAGGCTGTCTTTGGAGCGACCTGGGAGCACGATTAGCATGGCAAGAGGACATAGCAGTCGGGGCGCTACCTCCGCAGCAGGACGCAAAGAGCTTCGAGCAGAGGCTTGGGAGCCCCATTGTGGACGTCAGGGCCCAGCGGCCACTGTGAACACGGGGTGGTAGTCGGCAGCAGCTCCAAACGTGGGAGCAGCTGGGCAGGCGAGGCAGCGGGGAGCAGAGAGCAGCTGGCGGGTATGGATACGTTTTGCGGGATGCGGGATGCGGGATGCGGCGGTGATAATATGCAGTGTCTTGGAACAGCGTCGTCGGCGCCAGAGGTCCAGTCGACATGGAAATAGGCAGGCTTGGCGCTGCACAGGCCGCCCGTCTGCAAGAAGGCGCCACAGCGCAGCCGGCACAACACACCAGCCCTATTCACGGTGGAATCATGCGGCAAAGGGCCCTTATTGCGCGCGGTCGTGTGGCCACGGCTCGTCGGGTGCGCGCCCGACCTGACCTCCTGTGCGGCCGAGCAGCGCCCTCCAGCGAGCAGACTGCAGAGACAGCCCACGTCATCGTGCCTCTGGCACGGCTAGAGCTGTGCTGCCTCACGTTCAACACCACCTCTGCTCGGCCAGCCTTACCGCTGGTCTGGGGCCAGAGACGCCCCATCGTCGGGTGGTGCTCGGGCCGAGTGCTGCGAGCCGGCCCTGCGTGCACACGGCGGCCGTCTTGGGTTTTGTGGGGGCACTGCTCCCGTCGCCCGTTTATCTGGCATGGGCTTGGACGTGAATGTGATAGTTGCAGACGCGTCTGAGCAATAGCGCAGCTCACACGTCTCTGTGCAGAGCCACAAGGCTGACCGTCCCAGCCCAGGGTCCAGCACATGACGGCCGGCACACCGGCGTTCTCTGCTAAAAAACTCGAAAGCGGATCTGTTACGCAAAACAAGGGTTTTTGTATGTAAAATCCCTTGTTCTACGCACGATCGTGTCCAATCCGTACAGGGGGGATACTGTACGTCAATCACGCCAATCCCGCCTGGCGGACGAGGCCCACAGGCCTCTCCGCACCGTCCGTTCACTCGCGCCCGTGAGACGAGACTCGGTGGTTGTGCCTGCCTGGATAGGCTCGCACTGGCCCGCCATGGCCAATGGAGCCAATTTTCCCCTCACGTGCAGCAGAAAGTCAGGGTCGTCCGCTTAGCTCGCCTTTCTCCGCCCTGCAGCCCATCAGTGGAGCGTGGGGGAGGCGTTGATCGTCCATCGAAGTCGGCGCGACAAAGACCTGCCGTGCCTGCTATCTGCTCTTCACTCCACCACCGCCCTATTCACCACCGCCTCGCGCGCCCATACCGTCGCCGGCATCGTCGCCCTCTGCCGCCCAAGCAGCTGCCCACTGGAAACCCATCGGCACGCTGTGGCTAGGCAGCCGCGGAGCTGGTCGCACGGCGCGACGGCGCGCCAGCCCGCGATTCCATTACCCTCTCGTCTTACGAGCCGCACCCCACGGCTCCCTTAAAAGCGGTGCTGCCCTCCCCGAGGGCGGTGCCCAGAGAGAAGTCCCAGGTCGATGCTATGGCACCGTACTCGTCCTCTCACAATTTCCAGAAACTCAGGCTCGACACAAAGCCCGCGCAGAAGACCGTCTCCTCCGCCTTTGCCTCGATCCCCCGCCACGAATCGCAGCGTGACGAAGACGCCTCGCTGGCCCTGACTACACCTGAACTCGCCGAGCCAGATTCGCACTTCTACCATGGCAAATCGTGGCACACCGTGGGGGACGATGTCGGGGGTGGCCGACGCCCATATGGCTCTGCTACCGGATCGAGCCCCGAGGACATCGAGGCTGCCTTTCGCAATAGAAAACCCTCCGTAACCTTCGATAGCCAAGTCACTCTAGACAGCGGAAACCGTCTCGCCATGCATTCCCCTCTGCCAAGGCCAGGAGTTCCCACGACGCTGGAAGAATTCCCAGACCGTGAAGAATACTTCAACGAGTTTGCGCCTCTTGATCGAGGGAGAACTCTTACGCAGGAGCCACATTATCCCATTTCCAGAGACGACCTCAATGGTTTCAGTGCGCACCAGGGTTTCACCGAACACGACCACGACCACGTTGCGTCGCTGACGTCTGACACCACCGCTTCACCACTGCTGGAGGAGGTACATACGCCGCTGGATTCCTCCATGGAGCTCTTGCTTTCGCCGCTGCCCGCTACATCGCCTATTGATCTACCTTTCTCGCTATCCAAACGCAACGGATCCCATAGATCAGTTAGAAGCTACCGATCCGAAATGAGCGAGGGAAGCGCCCGCAGGCCCAACCGTCGAACTTCGACACGCACCGGCCGCTCCCTGCCGTCACAATCCCCGGCATCTGCGTTTCTTTCGCGGATGCATTCCAAGGACGCCCCCCTCCAGGCGACGGAACCTGATGACGAAGGACAAGAGATTGCCGACGGGAGCGGACACATAATTGGAAAGACCATAGGCTTCGGAGGCTTCAGTGTCGTCAAAGAGGTCGCCACGATGGAATATGGCAAGAAGGTTGTGTATGCTGTGAAAATTGTGCGAAAGCTACTCAAGGACACAGCCGAGGCTGAGAACGAACAACTGCAAACCCAATTCGAGCATGAGGTCGAGATTTGGAGATATCTCAAACACCCGTACATTCTGCCACTTCTGCGAGTTTACAGCACCGAGTTTGCGACCTTCTGCATCACAACCAAGATCTCGGGTGGTACCCTGCTTGACGTCGTCCGAGAAACAAACAAGCAGAATCACAACGGCCTTGAAGCACGACACGCTAGACGGTACGTGTATCAGCTAGCCTCTGCAATACGGTATCTTCACAACGACGTTACCGTAGTTCATCGTGATATCAAGCTCGAGAACTGCTTGGTCGACATGTCTGGACCGAATGCCTTCCCTGATGGAGGGGATATCCTCTTGTGCGACTTTGGTATGGCAGACTTTGTAGTGAGCGATCAACGCGACTCGGTGGAACCGCACACCCAAAACCACAACCAAAATATTGGCCCTTCCGAAACCAGTACCACTGTCGCTGGGAGTCTTCAGTATGCCGCACCCGAGTTGTTTGGAGCCCAGACACCAGTGTTCTCAACCGCGGCGGACATGTGGGCATTTGGAGTGGTTATTTATACCCTAATCACCGCCCGTCTGCCTTTCAACGAGGGGATGGACGCGAAGACTACCGAAAAGATTCTGAACAACGAGTGGGATCTTGAGCGGCTCCGTAGTGGGAGAGCTATCACACACAATCCGCTAGCTGCGATAGCCCTCGTTAAAGGGTGCTTAGAGCTAGACGTATCGAAACGTTGGACTATCAACGAAGTACTCCGCTCTCCTTGGCTGGAGGGCTGCGAACGACTTCTCGAGAACGTTGAGCGTTCTTGGATGCACAGATAACGTGCCCGAGAGGCATCTTGGAAGCCATCTGAACGTATTTACGACCATCTGTTGGAGTATTCCTTGTTTACGAGAGCCTTCATAAGAATTCCAGCGACCGGATCGGCGTCTCTTCATTTACGACTTGCCGTCATTTGCTTCTATGTTAGCGATACCCCGTCATTGTCATCATGATTTTCAAGCCGCAAGGTCATGTTTTGGTAGGGTTCTTGGATTGTCCGGCGTTGGTACTGATATATAATGTTTTTGGATTACGAAGTCTCTTGGATAGTTGTCGGTGAGACTGTTCAGATACCTATACAGCATTTTTCGCCTCTTTTTCTTCTTTGCTTCTACGAGGATACTGCACTAATATAAAAACTCGACTTACTTAGCTAATGATAATCCTTCCTTCAACGTCCCGGCTCATCGTTCTGATAGCATCGTCCTGGTTTTCTTCAGCCTATGCTCTGTTCTTGCCCCGGCTTCATGCAATCCCGGCACCATTGTCAACGAACCTTATAATCCAAATTGTGGGAAATGGTTGGAACGTGGTAGTCGGATGTAATGGTACATAGCCGGTTCCGTGCGTTTTTTGCATCACGAAAGCGCCAAACGACAAGCCTTGGAAGGGTCACACTGCGCTACTAATATACTGAAGGCTTTGGCGCAATTAATAATAGTCATGCTGGCAGCTACCAGCAACGCCTTTCTCAGGTAGAGCCTCTGGCCCTAATGTCCGTCTTAGAAGCCAACAAAAAAGGAATGCATCCGTCCACTCCTGTGTGTACAAGTGAGATAGATGTAAGAAGTGATCGTGCGGAGTGGCATATAGCGAATAATCGGACTTTGTGACCTGATGAAAAAATAGGCCCTGTTGTCCGTCGAAGGTGAGTAAAGTATATACTTGCGTTGTAACCTGGAATTTAGTTATTCTCCGTGCCTACTACATCAGAAGTTCCCCCGAACACCCAAGATCCGCCTGCATAAGCGCAAGGAGGGGCCCTGGTAGCCATCTGGCCCACCCCATCACGAATCTCACTACCCCGGTGGATCTGTATGCAGCGCTTGATGTGCATGCAAGCCACCCTAGCGCGACACACGACCTTCCATGGCATCAGCTGTGAGCCGCTTTCACGACACACTCCCGTTCCCAGATCTCTCCCCCGCTACGATTGCTTCTGCAGGAGCTAATGCCACGCTATTGCCGCCGCGCGATGCTAAAACCTTTCGCGTGGTCTATGGCATGCCGACCTTCTCCCGCCGTGACCTCCATGCTTGGACGGCCGGCCCTGGCCAAGTCGTCTTACTACCTGCATGCTCCCATCTGCTATCATCTCTGAACATCACGGACTCAACGGATATTAAAGGCCTTCCTCAGCAGGTCCCCAGGTCTCTTCACAGTTAATCACAGCCCCAAGTCACACGCAGCATGCTACACCACGTTCAGTCAGAAACGCGGAGCAACCGCAATCCCGCAGGAGTTGCTACATGGCCATTCCCCTCGCAGGGTTTCCTTTAGTGGTACGGTTTGTGATTTTTGAATCCCGATGCTATCTTTCTGTGCTTCTAAACATCCGACTTTTGCATACTGTTTGGCTTCTATCTTGCCCTGTTTCTGATATGAATGTCCTAAAAACATCAATTTCTTCATCGCCCCGACACCCCATGATAAGTGCCATTTATCTCGCTACGTTGTTGATGTCTCTTTCCGCCCAATGATGATCATTTGATGCTTCCGCAATGCTGAAAACCGCGATTTCCAAGCCAACAAGCCTTGGCTTTGCTATGACAGCATTTCTAGCTTTCCAGTTCTTTTCGAGTACTACCAACTCTTCTCGGCAGTCTTCCAAATCATCAAGCAATGCCTTGCTACCGTGTTCTTTCCGAGACTTGGAACAATACCGTAGCTCGGCTCAATGGCAGTGAGCTGATAGTTGAAATATGTACATACGATTGAGTATGCATAAGGAACGATCTGTTCGAGTTCTTGGAAAGAGCACGGCAATGCTGCCCTTCACTCACCCGTAGACGGGTTTCGAGGCAAAAAGGTTCGCGCCTGCCCCACAACAAGAGGTGAGACCCTTGGACCGCGGGCTTCCTGAACCTTGGGTGAATACTCACGCTCCCCAGGTCATACGGACCTCGGCGCTCCGGCATAGCACCTCACCTCGCTGCTACATCTATAAATTGGCCTGGCTGGGCTCCTGGACCCGAACAACAAACTCCAGAGGACGCTCACTGTACATCTCCAGCATCTTTAATCAATCCACTCCAAGACGCTCACTCTGCATCACCAGGATCTTTGATCCTGCTACTCCAGAGGGCGCTCACTCTATATTGTCAGTCTCCTCAATCACTCAACTCTGGAGGGCGTTCACTTACTCTGCCTCACCAGTCTCCTAATCAATCAGCCCTAGAGGACGTTCTCTCTGCATCGCCAGCATCCTCGACCGCATCCGGCATAATGATTCCTACCGTCGGTCTGATACTCTCGCTCCTCCTGGCCTTCGTCACGGCCCAATCCGTCTTCACTCCTGCTCGACCACCCTCGATCCCCTTGGCCGTCAAGTCTCCCTACCTATCTACCTGGCTTCCTGCCGGGGCATCTGGCACGGATGGCGGGTACCTGCCTGGTCATTGGCCTACGTTCTGGGCGTAAGTTGTCCCCCTCACGACAAGACCTCTTCACCGGCATCACTGACCCGATATCGCAGTGGACAAGTTCTTGGATGGGCTGGTATCGTTCGCGTCGACAACACGTCATATGTGTGGATGGGAAACCCTCTTGGGTTCAACAACCTTACCAACCAGACTTCTGCCGAATACACGTCAACGAGCAGCACCTTCACCATGGATGTTGCTGGGAAAGTCTTCTTGACGGTCAAGTTCCTCTCGCCCGTCTACCCGAATGATCTCAAGCGCCAATCTTTGATCTTCTCATACATGGACGTTGAAGTTGTGTCGGCAGACGGGAATGACCATGACATACAACTGTACACAGACATCTCGGCAGGTAAGTTTTCTCGAGTGGTGACCAGCATGAAGACCGACTGACTCAAGCTCCTAGAATTCGTCTCTGGCGATAGAGGCGACGTCGCAGAATGTAAGTGCAGCAATTTTACCTTCTTGCTTACGCCCCATTTCCGAATGATGCTCTACTATAGCCGATGATCTAACCGTCACAACATAGGGGACTCCGGCAATGCCGACGACGTTGTGTTCCACAAGATCTGGAAGCAAACTCCACTGCTCTTCTCGGAGAAGAACGATCAGAGTGAATGGGGTAAGCTATCGCTCTGACTCCGATCAAAGGTTCCAGTATCGCTGACATTTTGGCACAGGCAACTGGTACTACGCTACTGACGGTGTAGACGGCCTCAGCTGGGCAACAGGCGCAGACACCGATGTCCGAGGCAGCTTTTCGCAAGACGGCAGACTGAGCGATACGAAGGACACCAATTGGCGTGCGATCGACGACCATTGGCCAGTATTTGCATTCTCTGTTGATCTTGGCTCAGTCGGCACGGATTCAGCGAATGCGCTCTTCACTATCGGTCTATGCCAAGACGATGCCATTCAGTTTCTCGGAAAATCCGGTGTCGTTTCGCTGCCGTCCTTGTGGAGTGACTTCTTCGATGAGGATGAGGATGCGGTAAGTCGATTGCCGTGGCATTTTGAAAGGCCTACAACTCACTGATTCCAGCTCACTTTCTTCCATCACGACTACGACAACGCGGTCAGCAAATCTTCCAAGCTTGATGGCAAGATTGCCGAGGATTCTGTCGCCGCAGCTGGAGCGGACTATCTCACCATCACATCGCTCACCGTCCGTCAAGCCTTCGGCGGCCTTGAACTTGTCGGCACCGAGAAGAAGCCTTACCTTTTCCTAAAAGAAATCTCCTCAGATGGCAACGCCCAGACCGTCGACGTCATGTTCCCGGCCCACCCAATTCTCCTCTATACGAACCCGCAGCTACTCAAACTGCTCCTAGATCCGCTATTCGAGAACCAGGAATCTGGGCACTACCCAAACAAGTGGTCAATCCACGACCTTGGACGCAGTTTCCCCAACGCAACGGGGCATCCGGAAGGTGATGATGAAGCGATGCCACTTGAAGAGTGCGGCAACATGCTCATCATGACCCTGGCATACTGGCAACAATCCGGCGATAGCCAGTACCTCCGCGAGCACTACAAGATCCTCGACCAGTGGACGCAGTACCTGATCGACGAGGCGCTCATCCCCAAGGAGCAGCTCTCCACGGACGACTTCGCAGGAGCCCTTGTGTAAGTCTCCCACCTCCCATCTCCACTCCCAACATCCACTAACACACCCGCAGCAACCAAACCGACCTCGCCCTCAAAGGCATGATCGGCATCCAAGCCATGGCCAACATCGCCGACATCACCTCCTACTACGCCGACGCGCGCAACTACACCGCCATCGCCGCCTCCTACATCAAGGAATGGCAGACGCTCGGCATCAACCACATCGCGACCCCGCCGCACACAACCCTCAACTACGGCAACAACGCCTCCTGGGGCCTCCTCTACAACCTCTACGCCGACGCACTGCTCAACACCTCGCTCGTGCCCGCCTCCGTCTACGCGCAGCAATCCGCCTTCTACCCCACGGTCGCAGGCACCTACGGCGTCCCGCTCGACACGCGCCACGCGTACACCAAGACGGACTGGCAGCTGTGGGCGGCGGCCGTCGCGAGCGAGGACACGCGCGACCTGTTCATCGGTTGCATTGCGAAGTGGATCCAGGAGACGCCGCTGAGCGTGCCGTTTACGGATATCTATGAGACGGGTGACGGCGGGTTTGGCGACGCGCCGCATTTCATGGCGCGGCCGGTTATGGGGGGTGCTTTTGCACTGCTGGCGCTGCCGAAGGAGGGGGCGCATGCGTGGTAGGTTGGTGCTACTGATGCTAATGGCTTAGGCGGGTTGAGGCTTGGTCGGCTGAGGTTTGGTGTGTTGAGGTTTGGTAGGTTGAGGCTTGGTGGTTAATGAAGCCGCCCTATTCAGGGAAAGCCGTGGTGCCGGTGCGGCTGGCAGTTTTGCGGGAGTTGGTGGTCTCTTTTGGTTCTAGGATGGACTGGATAGGGGGTGGGTGAATCATAATCTTATCTCCTAAGTTTTGATGTGGTTTTGGTGATGTGGGGGGTGATTCGGTGCTTTTGAAACGATGAGTAGGATGTGAGATTTGAGAGTATGTGGATTGGACGAGACGCCCGAGCGTGGATTCCGAGTGTCCGATACTGGGAGGGTTCCCCCAACCCTTTTTTTTTTTTTTTTTTTTTTTTTTTTTTTTATAAAATTGAGTTCGTGATGAGATTATCGAGGCCATAGATTAGGATTTGCATCCTACGTGTTAGGTAAGGAAGGTTAGATTCTCCCGAGGGCGCTCCAATAGTCTCTCAGACCTTTGGATTTAATGCATTGTTTCGTGGATGTGGATCAGTCCCACGTCTTGCGTTCCGGGTCATGAGCGCTCGATACTGTCAGGAGTCCTCCAGAGGGCCCTTCTAAAACGAAATCAGATGCGAATCTCGGGCCTGAAACTTGCCCTTGCAGCTTGAGTGCCGGAGATGGAGTGTTTGCAGCCGTCGGGAGTGCTTCAGGGCCTCCTCCGCTATCCCAGCTTCGTTGCCACATCCGCGACAACGCGAATTGCACTAGGGTCTGGAGGCCGGTGGATGAGTGCTCTCAGGAAGCAGAATCGAATGCAACATTTCTAGGCGTTTGAATCAGGCGCACGGCTTCAGCGTGTGGATGATGAGTGCTTTCCACGATTAAGGGGCCTCCGGCGCACTGTCGAAAGTCTGTATGGGGGTGCATACTAGACTGTGTAAATTGGAGTCGTAGTCTGCTACTATGGCACTACTCCAACCTAATCTCTGAATGGCCAATTCTTGAAGGAGCGGTGTATGCACTGCGTCTGACAATAGCAGCTACTGAAACCGGCGATGTGATTCGGGAGGTTCGACAGAGCGGACGAAGCTGAAGATCTCAGGCTGGCTGATGCTGTGATAAGGGCCTAGATTTGGCTGGATAGATTAAGGTAATAGCTAAGCCACATTTGATACATTGTAGGGATTACTGGGTGAGAATCATGGGGAAATAGACAGGCTAAAGTATGGCTAGCGTTGGGGTTGTAGGGCTGAAGACGTGGTGGAGCTGAGTGGAATCAGAACTGGGAATTGGAGAAAGACCAAGATGGAATAGTGGAAGTGCGCTATTGGAAGACGTCGACTGGATTTATCTCCTTAGCTAAAGAGGGGTTGTGTGAGTTGTTCATGCGCACTAGTAGGGCTGAAAAGATGACACGGCTGATAGGGGAGAGCCCTGGAGATTGGTGATTGGATGTAGGTAGACTATAGCGTTGAGGAGCTGGACAGAGCTATCTAGCAAAGCCACACTTATGCATTCTACGGATTAGTGGACGTGGTTGAGGTCGATAGAGCGTGGCTTATGGATTTGCAGTTGTCCATGCCTTGTCCGTAGAGCTGATAATGAGACGATGGCGCAGCTGAGTGGTATCGGGTATAGCGATTAAGTGGAAGCAGATACACAATTGGAAAATTGGTGTTGAAGGAGTATGGGTTGAAGATTGGGGCGATTCCCGTCGCTTGAGAGTGGTCAATGTGTTCTTTAGGGCCTACCCGTAAGGCTGAGAGCTAAGTGGAGTCGGACATGGCGATTGGACGAGAGGAAGGCATCGGAGGATCGCAGGATTTTGAAAGACAAGGATAGAGAAGAGCATGCAGGGGGTGCAAAATAGTAACGAGAAACAGGATTATTGAACAGTCAGTCAGCACAGCACATGCCAGTTCCAGGATGAGGCTTTTTGTCGAGACGAGAGCGTTTTTACATTGAGCGATGATGGAAGATTGATGAAAGAATGGCGCAATTGTCGATGAAACATGAATCATTGAAACGGTACCTGGGAATTCCTCAAGAAGAGATTCGCAACTGTAGATGCGAATCGTGCGCTTCAAATATGACTCCTGTCGGCAATCGCTCGGGCCGTCGTAAAGATGAAAAACGCCTTCTCCCACAACAAACAAATGACCCGAAGAAAACTTTTCCAGCTATTTTAGTTGCGTGCTTGAAAAGTAATTGCCGCAAGCAGCGTTAGTGGCGGCAGAGACTTCTAAAGCGAATCCTTCGGCGATGACTGAGGTGGGGCTGATGCGACATCGCTTGCGAAGAAGCCGCGATGCTTTGATCTCTTTTGAGGCTCCACAGCCTCGTGGAGTCGCGTTTCGAGAAAGTCGAGAATGAACCAGACGGACGCCTCCGATGGATGTAGTGGAGGCGAGAGGCGGTTGGCGTCGGGGCGGGACGATTATTGGCTAATTATCGAGTAACAGATTCCAGGGTTCGCACTCTATTGTCGAGTAATGGATTCAAGGAGTGTCTCCAAACGTCAGGGCCGGGTGGAGCATCTTACTCACCATGGCACGCTAGGCATGCCAGGCAGAGCACTCTGGTGGTCGCTTGTGACGGCCGGGCTCTTCCACGGAGTCACACAGGTGGAGCCGAGCAGCATGAGCCAAATGAGGCGGCCGTCACGCAAGGCGCCGTGGCAGCGGCGTGGCAGCGGCTGTTGCTGGCATTGGGCGACCAACACCAGAAAATTTGCCCGCATTACGTTATTTCACGATGCTTGGCATCCGCATCGAAGATGCTCGACGCCGCATGCAGCATCGGGAACTGCGCAGTGGAGAGAGCATGTTACACAGCAGGGCGCCGCAGGGCATATGCTGGCGCGTCCAGGCGGGCGCCTCGGAGAAGGTAGTCGTTTCTTTCAACAGGGGCAGCAATATGAAGACGCCTCTGCGGGGACCAAGAGGTCAGAGGGCGTCATCTGGGGCACAACTCGCGTAAGAGAGTGATGCTCGCGCTACGGATGTTCCCTGCCGTCGGTCCCAGAAAACATCCAAGCCACATGGGCGGCAGCGGCGAGCGCAGGCCGGAACAGCCGCCGTTGCCAGCTTGCACGTTGCGGAGTGCGTCTGGCGCGATGCCGTCGACCTGCATGGCCAGCGTCGAGCTGAGGTGGTGCGGCTGCAGATCGAGGTGTCGACGGCGGCGCAGATGTGCATTAGATGCCTGGGCGGGGAGACTCCGGATCGGATGGGCTGATGAATGAGGGGCTGACGATGCAGCGCACCAGCTGGCGGATGGTGTTTTCCACGGCCTGGAGGCATCACGAGAGCTCGGCCTCCTGACCTGGGCTGCGCCTGCCAATTGGAGCCCTGGCGCTTGATCTCAAAGCGCCGTCAGTGCGTGGTGCGTGCCAGACGTGCCCCCTGGCCAGCAGACGTGATTCTCCCTCACCGCACATGGAGCCACTAGGCTCAGCAACCGGTTTCCATTATGTACCAGCCGACTACAAGACCCAGACATCCCCAGCTCCATGGTGGCCTCAAACTCTTCTTTTTCTGCCGCCGCTGCGTCTGCCTCTGTTCCCTCTCCTCCAAGGCCTTCCCGAGCTCATATCTTTCAAGCATCCTTAGCGAGTGAATACTAGCCACACTGGGCCGAGCCACACCCTAGCTGCACCTGACGAACAAAAGAAAATCTTCCCTGCGCCGCTCCCCGCATTTTCCTGCCTGACGCAGCCAGCGCAGCCATGCCCGGCCGTCTCCTTGCGTTTGTCGGCAGGGCCACGCAGTCGTCATCGTCCTCCAAGCTCGACCATATCAACTCCTTCAGCCCCCCGCTGCTCCCCCCATATTCCGTTTCGCCTCCCCCAAGACAACGATCGATTGAACAGTCTAGCATGGAGCATCTCAAGCGCCACAGCCTCGGCGGCCGCCATCACTCCGACAAGAAGAGCCCCCGGGTCGAGCCCCACAAGCCCGCCAGCCTCGCCATGATCATCGAGTCACCGCCGCTCTTGTTCTACGCCTCCCCACAAAACTCCACGGGTGCATTGCTGTCTGGCCGCTTAAAGCTAGACGTTGCCGATCCCTCTATTACCGTCGACACCTTCGAGATGCAGCTGCTGGCCACTGTGACTAACAAGAAGCCCGTGGCTAAAGAATGCCGCGATTGTGCTATCCAGACCTCCGAAATCCACAAATGGATAATCCTCACTGCGCCCATTGCCCTCAACAAGGGCGAGCACCAGTATCCATTCAGCTCTCTCCTCCCCGGCCACCTCCCAGCGACCACCCATGGCTCTCTGTCTACGCTCGACTACCACCTTTTTGCCACTGCGACAACCTCTACTGGCGAGAAAATCACACTCGATCACGTGATCGATATCAAGCGCGCGATTCTGCCTCCGGCGACGGATAAGCACTCAGTGCGCATTTTCCCGCCCACTAACCTTACCGCGACCGTAAAGCTTCCAGGCGTCATCTATCCCATCGGTGACTTCAATGTCGAGATGCGCATCCAAGGCATCGTCACCAAGAAGCCCGACTCCCAGACCCAATGGCGCCTCCGCAGGCTGCAATGGAAGATCGAAGAAATTCAAAAATCCGTCTCACCTGCCTGCGCCAAACACACCAGCCGTCTCGGCGGCGACAACAAGGGCATCGCTCACGAGGACATGCGCGTCATTGCCCACGAAGACATCAAAACCGGCTGGAAGACCGACTTCTCCGCCGGCAATATCGAAGTCGAGTTCAAAGCCGCCGTGGACCCGCGCCGAACGCCCATCTGCAACGTTGAGAGCGAGAACGGCATGAATGTGCGACACAATCTCGTCATCGAGATGGTCGTGTCGGAGGAGTGGGCGCCGCTCAAGAAGCTCAACCAGCCGACACCCACGGGCTCCGCGCGTGTCTTGCGCACCCAGTTCAACCTCCTCCTCACCGAGCGCGGCGGCATGGGCATCTCCTGGGACGAGGAGCAGCCGCCCATGTACGAGGACGTGCCGGCTAGCCCGCCTGGCTACGCCGCCCCGGTTACCGTTGAGGATTACAGCGGGGACTTGACGGAACTGGATCATGAGGTTGAACGGCTTAGCCTCGGGTCTTAAGTTTACGTTCTTTCCTTTGCTAACTCCTTTCCCAGTGTCCTTACTGGTTCACATTGTTCGACGAGATCCCTCCTGTCGATTGGATGTCATGCGGATGCACCGTTAGCGAACAGTGCGCAACTGCATTTGACGAAAATCACATCTTTCCTTGGAATAGCGTTCGGCGGAGGATATACCCCTGGTCTTTCTATAGGAGTTTGTTTACACGGAGGCATCTTGAGTTGAGCCCAGCGGAGCTCCTCATCGGATCAGGGACATTCGAAAGTACTGTACATGAATGCATAATGCGATTGCATGCCACAATCTATACTTCATTTTTCATCTAATGATTGTGAGGACCGTCTTGAAGGGGGCGATTCTGAAAGGGACTAACTTCTAGCATAGACGGCGGAGTGGCTCCCCTTCGTCCCTCTCATTCACAACTCCCTGAAATTATGATCAGATTTTGTGGATCACAACGATGACATGCCTAAATAAACTTCAAACTCGCGAACTGGCTCCCGTTTATCTATCCTAACATCTTACAATCATCACCAAATCCTCTGCCCAATTTGGCATGCCACGTTCCTTACGATCCAAGAGATGCCGTAGATTCAAGCCAAGCGACAAAAGAATCCAAACTCACCCTGGATTTCAAACCTCTTCTATCTGTCTTCTTTCCTAAGTCTAGGTACCAAACCAGCTCCCGTACTACCTACCCAGAACCCGAAACTCAAGCCTGAAGCCTAAGGTGACAAACACCATCCTTTTGCACCCTTGGATATTTTTGGAACAGTAATATATCGTTTTAGCCCCGTGAAGCTCATGGAACGGGGAGGTCTTTGGTAATACGCGATGAAAACTGTAGAAGATAGAGCGGGAATTTAGCGGCTTTAAAGAGACGAGATGTCTTATGAACATTAAGAACGGCGGTGTTTTGCTGAAAAGCACTAGAGAGTGGTTGGCACGAGGTTCAGCTGATGGGAGGTCCAAGAAATAGTGAGATGGAAATATCAACATATTATGTACCGGTGTGCCAACTTTAGCATCTTGGGTTCTTACAAACGCTGACCACAGTCACGATGTCGTCGGCTTCACAAAGGACGGCCCCATCGCTTTAAAAGGACAGCCGCGTCGTCCGACGCCGCACTCGGAGCGGGTTTGTGCCAAAGACCATGATCCCGGCGCCCCGTGCAGCGCAGACTAATGCAGGTACAGAAATACGACTGCCGTTGCCGTCAGCAAAGCCGTTGACTAAGCTTTACATGCCTGCACTTCAATGGAGACGCTTTCGATAGCGCGAGGCTTATCAAGATGGAACAGCTCAGGCTACGACGGATGGAGGTGGATGAGCAGCTGATTGCGGCGAAAGGAGACACGACAGCGGCACACCCACGGAAGACAGTGGGCTGTCGGTGACGCGTCAGTGGCCGGAGCAAAGAGAGTTCCGATCAAGCATCGGGGACCCTGTGCGCATCGTTTCGAAGGAGCCGGACCGCGATACGAGGGCGGCGCTTTCGCCGAGAGCCGCATGGAAAGGGGACCTCGATGATAACGCTGTAGATGCATCGCTCTGGGAAGGATTTCAAGGACGAGTGTTTCAGGACAGAGATGCGGCGCAGCGAGGCATCTAGGCAGCCTCGTGATGCCTCCTTTATCTGCCCCAAGCATCGCAGCGAAGCTGAATTGAGCGAAGAAGTCGGCTGGTTGGGCTTTTGATCCCCGTAGTGGCCGTTGAACGACACCCTAACGGGCTGGCTGGCATCCGACCCACCACTCAGACGGCGCCATCCGCAACCACTATCGGGCGGCGCACATCCCTACCGCTTCCACGGCTTCAATTCGTGGTCGGGGGTGCAGCTGCAGCCCACGAGAGGCGCTTGGAAATTGCTCCATGATAGCTACTGCCCGGCCTCTTCATCAACGCTTGCCCGGCCTCTTCGGCACTGCGTAATCCATTTCCTCTTGTCCCTCTTTCTCGTGCTTCTTTTCCCACACCACTACACTCGTTTACTTTACGGCGGCTGGTCTACAGAGCATTGCCTTATCTACCCAGAAATACATACGTCCCAGATCCTGTGGCTTCGTTCGTCTCCCCGCTTTGCTCCGACGCTGCATGCATCGCGCCGCCTTTTGATACCTCCGGCCTTGCGCGTTCGACAACGCCTCCATTACACGGCAACGAAGTTCCCACGCCTACCACCAAGGCGAATCTGCGTGTCTGTTCTACCTACGGAATCATCGTAGCCGTCACTCCTTATCTAAGACACTTTCCTTCGTACGGAGCCTCTCGAACGCTCGTTTCGCAGCAGGACTTGATCCATTTTCGCTCTTTCCGCCCTCCTAGGTTCCGAAAATCTTTTGGATCGAACAAAATAGCTTGGTTGGTGAACCCAAGCATACATACGACAACAATTGAGAAGCGACTTGCCAGACTAGCGACCATCTCATAAGTTTTGGGAGCCTCGAATTCCAAGTCTGCTGTCTTTGAAACTTACGATCACGAGGCTGCCATTGGAGCCTCACAGATCTACTATCTCTCTCGGCTAGTTCCATTGGATCTGGAAACAATCTTAATCAGCAACGATGCGCCTCGCAGCATTCACTTCGCTCCTCCTCCCCGCGCTGGCAGCTTCTCATGTCTTAATACCTCGCCCAGCCAGCTCACCAGCGACAGCTATTCTCCCAACTGCGACACCAACGAATGTGCTAGCTTCCACAATTATTCTACCACCTGCGCCAGCACCGACAACCGAACCAAATCTTGAGTAAGTCCTTTTACTACGTTTCATCTCATCTAACCTCAGACATTGGCCTAACATACTGTAGACTGCGCGAAGTCGTCAATGGCGTCGCCGGCGTACTGACTCAATCCGATGCTCCCGTCGTCAGCACCCAATGGGTTGAGACCACCATCAAAGGCGTCAAAACATGGGTCGCCGTCATCTACACCCAGACCTTCGCCCAAGTACCGGACCAGCTCCCAACGTACATAGGCAAAGGCGAGATCGGATTGGGGACATTGACGGGAAAGGTCGGGGTGACAAAGACAGTCGCTGCGGGCGCAATAGGGACTGCGGTAGCGGGTGGGTGGAGGAGAAATGTGGTGGCAGCGGGAGTGGTGGCTGCTGGCTTGATGGTGTAGTGACGGAGAAGAGATCTCGGACGGTCCTGGCCGGATTTGAATGAGTACGATCGAAGCTCTTCCTCGACTCTACAACATTGAGACTCTCACCTAGACCGGAATCCTCGTACGCGAACACTGGCCCATACCTGTGCAGATCTCCAAGCTACCCTCGCTACTTACCCTACGAGCATAAACGACGACATCGAATCTTCTTTCTTCGCCTCCCTCATTAAGCACGCCTTTCTGATATCTTGTTTCGACTTTGGATACACTACACCCACAATTCCGCTCTTTCTTACCACAGCGCTCATCTGATTCTTCATGTTTCTTCAGCGTCGGCGTTTTCCAAGACCGGGGTTTTCGCGCCTTTCATTACGCCCTTTTCGTTGCAACCTCACTGTCGTCTCTCGATGTCAGGACACGAGCAGCTGAATTCCCTTCTCACTTCTTGGCTCAAGATTTGGAGACCATCATGTTATGGTCATGGCGGATCGCAACAGAAAGGATCGGTGGGCTGATGTCTAACACTGAGAGTCATTCGGCCCGACTTCGATATCATGGATGTATGTTAATTATGCGCAATTGAAAACAGTGGAGCAATTAGCATAATCTAGATTTCATCACGAATAGAAGCTCAGATACCCATTCGAGAAGCAGATCAAGAAGTTTGAATGCGACGAAAAAGACTCGCGACAACGGATCTAGGAGACCTGTCCGCTCCGGCCTCAGCCGAGACGCAACGATAGAAAAATAGCTCGCGGATTATATTAGCACAAAACCGTTGAATCATGGAATTGTGGAACCCGACCCCGTTATATAAGGTTGGTAGACCGCTTAATCACACCACAGACAGCACACCTACCCTTCGACCTGCTTACCGCCGGCCTCGCCCGCGCCATCGGAGCAAGTCGGGAGCACACAGCACAGAGTATACTCCGAGCTTCGCCCCTGGCGGCCCTGTTTCGACTTGATGCGTTATCAGCTCAGGAGAGCGGTGGAGAGACGTCGTTGCGGTGAGGTCGCGTAGGAGAGGTGCTGTTACTTTTCCGTCGCGGTTTTTGGCAGACGCGAGCGATCAGCAGCCGTGGACCCTGTGAAAATCCCATCGATAGGCGTTTCGTGGCGCCAGGGAGTCAGCTTTGTGCAAGGGGCCCGCCGGCCTAGAGCTGAGCATGATGTGCTGCTGCATAGGAGTGGATGGTTATATAAGAGGTGGCTTGCTGAAGCATGCTGAATATTCACACAAAGAAATCACTTCGAGCTGCAAAGGACGTGGGCGGTTGTTATTCGACTTCAGGATTGCTGGGCTTATCTGAAAGACTACTACGCTTGATCGAGTCAAGTGCTGCCATCCCTCCATCAACATATCTTGAGTTGAGGACGCCGTATATCAACGACGACGCGCACTTCATGCTGCAGACTTCATCATCTACCTCGCTGTCTTCCTCGCTTTCAACCTCGACCTCTTCTTCATTATCTTCAACTCCAACATCCTCCTCAGCAGCGTCATCACCGCCCGATTCGGCCTCCGCTCCCCCGTCTTCCATCTCATCACCCTCGAAACCCTCAACAACATCTACTCCAACTCCACCAACTCAATCGCAATCATGGACTCCTACGCCGTATTATACCACCCCCCACAACGCCAAGCGCCCACTCCCCCACCTCACCCTCACGATCCCCTCCTCCAACTTCAGCATCCAGAACCGGTCCTACCTGGGCTCGCACCCCCCGCCCACCGGAATCCTCAACCTAATGCCCAACGCCTCGCCGTACCCGCGTCCAACGCCACTCCCCTTCTAGCGCCCAAAGACGCCCCTCCAAACCCCCCGCTCTTCGAGTACCAACCATCCTCCCCCCTCCTCTCCCTCCCCGGCGAACTCCGCAACGAGATCTACGCCCTCCTCCTCGGCACCCCCGGCTCGCTGCACCCCGCCATCCTAGCCACTTGCCGCCAAACCTTCACCGAAGCCACGCCCCTCCTCTACGCGCACACCTTCACCGCGCACGCTTCGCTGCTCACCTCGCTCCCCTCCCTCGCCCGCCCCCCGCTCTCCGCCACCACGCCCGCGCCCGCCTACCCGCCCATCCTTTCCGCGCCGACCATCGCCCTCATCCGCCGCTGGACGCTGACGCTGCGCATCGACATCGACCCGCGCTTCAGCGCCGAGCAGGCGCGCGCCGCCTTCAGCGGCTGCGAGAGCCTCGAGATCGAGGTGCGGCAGAGCAGTTGGGGGGACTGCCCCGTGGAGCCGGCGCTGGCGCTGTTCGGGCTGGTGCGGGGCGTGAAGCGGGTTGTGATCCGGGGGGTTGGGGAGGAAGGGGAGGGGTTTAGGCGGGTGATGGAGGGGCTGATGATGAGTAAGGAGGTTAAGGGGGTTAGTTTACTGGGAGCAGGGTGTGGGGAGGTGCGGTGTCGGCGGTGTGGGTTTGTGGAAGTGAGGGGGCTTTATTGATTTTTAGATTAGAGGGTTATTTTGAGCGTTGTATTTGTATCATTAGAAGGGGATAGAGGATAGATTTGGGGGCGTTATGGGCATTTGTATCCTACTTAATTAGAAAGCATCTCAGTATCGATCTATTCAATGTTTAATCGTCTCAGGAGTGGAATTTAGGTATGACATTGTAGTTAAGTAATCTCGTCACCACAAGTACTACGAAACTTACTCGTATATACGTATGATCAGTCCTTATGCAGCTTGCAACACATACAGCAAACCATATACAGCGGATATGCCCTCCTCAGACTAATTACCCACATGCAGCCTGAAATGTGCAGTAGCCTCGCCAGATCGCCCTTCGATAGCCCGAGAAAAGAGAACACTTAGCCCCCATTCCATCCCATAAATGCCATAGCGACCAGTAGGGTATCATACACCCCCAGCTTCCTCCACATTATAAAAGAGAATAAGCAGTGAGACGAAACAATAACCCGCACCCTACCGTCCAGCATACTCACCATGCTATCCCACAAACCCACCTCAACAACCGAACTGCTCGCACGGTACTCAGCACCACCACCAAAACCGCGAAAGCAACCCCCATGCCATCTCTCACCACACCCACCAATCAACTCACGACTACTCCTCACTTGCTGCCTTGTCGCCGTCCTACTACTTTTAGTGCTTCTTTGCACCAGGCTTTCGCTTAACGAAGACCCTGTGTGACCGAAAATACCAATGAGCCGTTTCCGACGCAATTAACCCGAAGGTTAACAGGCTGACGTTAAAAACAGTGATGTAAAACTTCACATCGTGCTTACGCGCCCTACAGCCACTCGTCGCAGGCGGGTGATCCAGCGAGAAAAAGTACGTCTTGGCTGTCTCGTTCCCGTTCGGGCCCGCGGGATCCGGCGGGTCGCGCTGCTCCGGGACCGCGCACGTCTTCTTCACGTTGTAGGTCGGGCAGCGCTTGCGATAGTCTGCCTGCTTCGCAGGATCAGTCGAGTTGAAGTACGCCTTCACGTAGGAGACCGTGACGGCGGTGTCTGCGGCCGGCGGGCCGCCCGACCACTTGGGGTCGCCGTTGCTCCAGTGGTTGAGCACGAGATCGCCCGGGGAATTGGGGATGGAGACGTTCATGATGTGGAGGCAGTAGGAGTCGGCGTAGAAAGCGACACGGCCGGGGGACCAGTCGAAGCGGTACTCGTGGAAGGCCGTGTCGGGGGAGAAGGTAAGATTGGACTCTACGAAGTCGGGCGTGCCGGAGGCGTCGTAGCCGGCTTGGAGGGAGGCCGGGGTTTGGACGACGAGGTTGACGGCGCCGGTGTTGGGATTGGAGGGGAGGTGGAATTCGGAGGAGAGGAATTCCATGTCGATTTCTTGGGAGTCGTTGCGGAACTGGGAGTGTGTCAGTATTTTCATTGGAGGCGAGAAAGTGGAGGTAGAGATGAATATGGAGACTCGGTGGTATAGGGGAAGGGACATACCCAGAAAAAAGCTCCACAAGTCCCATTGACTTTCGACATCTTCATCCCTACACGGAAACTGCCATACAGGATATCGGTGCGGTTGGCAGAGATCTCAGCGGCCGGAATCATGCTATTGATGGGCTCGCGTGCCCAGAGCTGCAGACCAGCGTCGCCTCCATGGATGCTGTCACCAGCCCACGAGTAAGGATCCTTGAGCGGGTTGGTGACAACGTCCGACGTTGTAAAGTTCTTGCCGTATGGGCCACGTGAGTCGCTTGAGTTTACACTGTATTGCTGCCGTAACCAGTGCGCATCCGCCAGGTTGGTAGAGTGGAGGAAGTCGGTCTCGAAGAGCTCGGTGAAGACGCTGAAAGAACTGTCACCTACGGGGTCAACGGCAACGGAGAAGCCGCACTCGCAGACAGCTGACACTGTGGTAATTTTAGTATGTGTAGGCTGTTGTAGAGAGAGGGCAAGTGAGTAATACCTGATGCTGCGAAGGCGATGAAGAGGCATGGCCAGATGCCAAAGGCTTTTGTCAATGCCCACATCGCTGGGTGGGGGGAAAGCCAGGTAAGGATCGTTGTCGGGGTAGGGTAATGCAAAGAGTGGAGTTCAAGTGCAGTGACTAGTCAGCTGTGATGCAGAAGATGATACTATGAGAAATAGGGCAGTGGTCGCCCCGGGTTTGCTTGCAGGGCGATTGAGAGCTGCGCAGCGAGAACTAGATTCACGGAACTGAGGTTGATGGAATTACGAGGAGAATGCCGTTGCCGCTCTTAGATGTTCGAGGTTGGGCATCCTCGTTGAGAAGGAGCGACTGCGAGACCGACATTGCGCGTCTCGGTGAAATTGGGAAAGCACGTTGAGGCACTGAGCCTGCTAGTATGACCAAGTGGCATCGACGGTTACACCGGCGGGTACAGGCGGCATGCAGCTGCATTGTTTCACGCGCGCGGAAAGACACATCAGGTCGTGCTAGTTACCATCATCGCGAAGTATCACGAATGTTGGCAAACAGAGTCAAGAAGGAAGCTCGCATGAGCATTTTGACATTGTAAGAAATCCAGAGTCGCCGCTACACAGTAAATGGGGGCTTACAGAAATCGACGATAGACTACGCCACGTAGATAACACGGTCCACGCCCGCCGCATAATTCCAATAAGTGTGCTAACATGCACCCCAGCCATAAAGCCCCCCTTGAATGAATGCGCCATGTCGGTCATACCTGGAAACCCCCAAAGACGGAGAGAACTAACGCCAGCACGATCGTATTGCATGAGGTAGATGCGTCGTAGGGTATCATCATAGAAATCCGGACTCGGATAGAAGCCTGAAGCGAAACAATCAATAGTTAGCGACGTCCGGCCAACTCAAACGATCAATCAAAGATTGAGGAGCGATGTGGCCGGATAGAAGCCACAAAGTCGCCGTACCTTGCTATCTTCTCATCCTCGCGCTCGCGAGGCTCAACCTGTAAACTGGTGTCGTACATCTCGTGTACATCGTTGGCCGTTTGCATATTCGTCAAGATGTAGTCCTGCAGTTCGGGGACGGGCTGGAGAGGGTACGGCACGTTTTGATACTGCTGGATGTCGCGGATGACCTCCGCGGTCCTCGCCCGCTTGGCAAAGTTGATGAGGTTGGTCTTCTTGATAAGAGAAGGAATGCCGTCCTCGATAAACGTCAGATCGGTAAGATAGACACCTAGAAACATCAGAGCCGGTCACTACCAATATGCGAGAAAGAAATGTATACCAAAGAACGGGATGCAAGGGGGGTTGGCCTTGTGTAGAGTGTCTCTGTACTCTGCAAAATTCTTCGTGCTGCCCATCAACTTCCGCATGCTCTCCAAGGTACTCATTGAGCGTGCGTTCACGGCTTGCCAGGTCCGGTTCAAGCGATGAATTGGCGCAGTTCCAAACGCCGAGATAATGGATGTGAGGGTAGAGAAGTTATTGAGGGTTCGGCATTTCTACATTTATTAGCTCTGCGACCCAATACTTGATAGCAAACTTACGTCTGCAACATTAACGAAGTGCTTGATGACAATAACTCTGCGTTTGACATCTTGTTGCGTGAGGATCATCTGAGCAACCCAATTTGTCAGTTGGTTAGAGTGTAAAATCAGCGCCTTCACATTCGAAGCTGGGTCTGGCTCGCCGGGAGCCAGTTTCTTCTGCCAAGTCTTCTTCAAGCACTCGGTAGGCCTGACTTTTCCGTATAGCCTGGATTCGATGATAGTGAGTTGGCGTGCAAACTCAGTGGCATCGATGTCCAAGAACTTGAGCTTCTTCATGTGCTTTGGTAAGATTGGCTGAGGTGTTTGCGTATTCAGCGTCAATACGAGGCGCTTCGTTGGCATATCCGGACCTCGGGATCGCTGTTCTACGGACGTCATGAGCGGAGCAGCACCGGGTGTGCTGGTTGTCGCGACGTGGTCTTTTGCAAAGTTGTACACCCTTCCAATCAAGACCCTGGCGTCGTCATCATTGCCTTCCATCCAGTAGTTGTCAAACCAACTCTTGAGAATGTTGACGACTCGGAATCTGATAGGCTTCTGCTTTTTGTCCACCCAGGTCTGATAGTCTTCTTTTGCTAATCCGTAAGGAGGTTGAATGCTCCACCTCTTCACCAGCATCTCAAAGAGCTCCCCAGCCGTGGTGAACGACCGGTATGTGAGCAAGAAAGTATTGTTGAAAGCAGGATCCAATCGATCATGACGCGTGAGTTGTTCCACCAGGCCAGTCAGGGTGCCTCCTCTAAGTTGAGGAGGAGTGGCCTTGTGGTCATATGAAATCTCACCTTCATGATCGAGTTTGAGGAATTCTGGCACCTCTTCCACGTTATTGGGTGCGAGATTCGGAGCAGGAACTTCTCCAAAGAATTGTTGAACCTTCCTACTCTTGTTGTTCATGACACCTTCATTTTTGGAGTCTTCAAGAACAGTACCTTCGCTATATGAGTGAGGCTGTATCATATCTTTCAAGTTAGGCCTGTTGGCTGCAGAAAGTCCCCGATTGTGGAAAGCCTGCATATCGCCCTCCGTCGCTCTGCGAGGATCACTGCTGCGAGTAGACATTTCGGCAAGGGGTATCGCCTCTGAAAGCTGTTGTAGGATGCTATACATCTGATTGGTGCTGGCTTCGAGATCTCTAGTGACCGATCGAACAGCGATTATACGATCCTCGAGAGAGTCTCCGCGAGTCTCGGCCCACTCATCAGCTAGTGGGGCGGCAACGCCTTGACAGGCCACGACTAGCTCTGACACTAGATCATAGATCTTTTGCTTCTGAATGCTGAATTCGCCGAGTTGCTGGCCTTGTAGTGTTGAACCCAGCGCCGAGAGATTGATGGATTCTACTGTAGAGATCCAGGGTCGGAAAACATCGAGGACCTTGCTTCCTGATGAGCAGACGTCGTCTCCAATGGCTTGATGTCTGTAGGGTGTAATGATCTTTTCGCGCACGACCAATTGCTCGTCTAGACGGCGGATACTTGAGACAATCATTTTCTTCAAGTCTTCTAGCCTTTCCAGAAGTTTCGCGTCTAACTTGACCGTGGGTTCAATGAAAGGCTCGTAATCCTCATGGTCGATAAAAGACATTGAAGCTCCTGGATCCCGGTCATCAAGGCCATTGTTCTGCCAATTCCCTCCAGAATTGCTGCCGACGACAAAGCCAGGGATGAGTCTAGGGATATCTTCACCCCTTTGCTGTCTCGCGACCTCGACAAAACCATATACACCATTCAAGACTCCATCAGCTTCTTTCAAGCACTTTGAGTAAGAATCTGGGGGTGGCCAGTCTGCGGCAGCAATGTGAGATGAAAGCACCAGCTTGGAAAACCTTGACATAGTCTCGCGGAAGTGAGGATAAAGGGCCTTGTTCGTCGAAATTATTGATGGATTGCCAGAGTGATTGTCCGTTGTACCAGATCCAGCAGCGAGGAGCAGACGAAGGTGATCTGAGATATCTTCGGCACGTTTCACAAATTCGGATCGGTCACTGTTGCTGATTGCCTGGCGGTAGCGCTCGACAGCTCGTCGCATATCATCCACCATCCTGTTCCACGTAAGAGGAATCGGGTTCGCGTCATCAAAGAATTTGCGAGACATGGCAGCTGGCATGGAAGGGCCGAGAGGGTTGTTCGCGAATGAAGTCGCAGTCGTTCCAATGGGCAATATGGACGATTCCATAGCGGCAAAGCTAGTACCATTTGTGGTATTCGATCGAGAGGTGGGTGAAGTAGTATTCAAGGATTCTATGGAGGTTGCCGGGGACACACCATTCGAATGGAAAGACCGCCTTCGTCGAGGCTGATAGAAGTTGTGTTAGCAAATTTCGTTGAGCATGAATTCTCTGGTACTCACTAGAGAGCCGCGCGAGTTAACCATGCCATTGCCTTCGAAGTCCGACGTGTTCTCATCGTCAGTATCTTCTACTTGATATCCTCCAGCCATGAGTTCTGGCGGAGCGCGAGTTTGCTCGGGAATATAGACATTTGTGCGATCGATTGGCCCATTCTCATTGAGTGAGGCTGGGGTCTCGAGTGGAAGTTCCATTGTGCTCACACCGGTCAGGGTGTTGAAATAGAACAGCCTTCCATCCGGAGTGGCCTGTGGGATCCAAAAAGCAGCTTCCTCCTGCTCCTTGTTTTCGGTGCCCTCGATCGGCAATGCAGAGGTGTCGTTCCCGTTGATCGACTCCGAGTCTGAGTTGGTATAGTCGGTGCCACCTAGAGAGGTGGTTTCAGGGTCCTCCTCAAGAGCTCCTCCATTCCGGTCGTCTTCACCGTCGTCTGTCGGACGCGGCACTACGGCACAGTAGTTGCTGGGAAACCATCCTCGGACACCGTTTATGACTCCGTCCCACCACCCACTCTCCAGTTGTGTTATGACCTGGATGATGTCCCCTTGCCGAAAGCTCAAGCTTGTGCGGTCGTCGGCATCGTAATCGTACAAGGCTCGCACGTACATGCCGCCCGGCGGCGCGACAGTGCCGTTGAAGCCGTTCATGGCTGCGCAGAGGCTCCACGGGGAAGTGGACGTCGAGGCCGAAGATGGCTACTTTGACTCCGCGTCCTGGCGATCCTGAGAGCGGGGGTAGATGCAGAGAAAGGTGTTCTTGAGGCGGCGGGGCTATTGTCGAAACAACGCGACAACTCCTACGATCCGGCTTGTGCGTAATCTGCCCCGGGCTGGCAGTTGGGCTGAGTGGTGGACGCCCACTAGGCGCTCGAGGGCGATTTTAGGACTTCGGCATAGGTTGGGGCGTTAGAATGCGCGCCTATAGAGTCGAGGATACCAAATAGGAGCTCAGAGGGCACACCTTCGACGAAGTCTATGGGGAGGGGAGGATGTGAGTGGTGGAGGAGATTGGCGCCGAACGCTGCCCGCCCCAGGTGTTGTTATTGGCGATTTGGGGATGCACGTGATTTGGGTGGGCAAAAGCGTAAAGGCGCGAGGCCAGCCGTGTGCCAGGCAATATATCAAATCCTTCACTGACCAGGGACAGCATTGATGGGGGCTTGGGGCTGTTGTGCGCTTTGCGGTGCGTATTCACTCCATCTGGTGATGTTCGTCTGCAGAGCACGGCTACGGTTCGCGCCTCTCCCCGCAGCATGAGGATGCGCGGCTTGAAGGATTCATTGTCCCTCGCTCAAAGAAAGACTTGATTGTCGCTGCAGACGCGTGCAGGTGTTTGCCGAGTCCCAGCAATGCTTCACGTGGAAGTACTTCATACCTGCAATACTACCGAACTTCTGCTGCTTTTGACGGGTGAACACGTTCCCTTCACAGCCAGACTTCACGAGCGGCCGAGAGGGAGCGCCAGAGTCCGGGACAGAATGACTCGAGACGGAGGGTGCCAGAAACTTTGTACGTATCAGCACACCTCCTCCGCAAGGCGGTCGGTGTGTTTGCTCCACAACATTCATGAAGCCCAATAAGGCGGGTCGTCCGCGTCTCTGACAAGCACCCCCCCAGGCCGGTCGCAGTAATTATAGGAAAGATGCAAGGAGAGGGCCAACTGTTAGGGAGTTCGACAACCACGACTTCTCATGAGCGTTCAGCAACGTGTTGTGTAGAACAGAGGGCACGATTCAGGATGTTCTTGGAGAGTGAAGAATCAAGGCAGCCGATACAGTCGACACGCGGAAAAGGACCGACGCCTCGAAGACCTAACCTTGGAAGAGTCATGATGGCAATTCACGCATAAAGTTTCGCGTGGAAGCGGCAGCAGCAGCTTGTGACGGTGGCGTCAAACGGAAGAAGCCAATCTCCAAGGACGTGGGTCGGAAGAACAGCCCTGAGCCCAGCAGACAGGCCGCGAAGGCGATGGCTTGGAGTCGCGGAGGCGGTCGACGGGACGGCACACGTGGAAACCGCGTGCGGCGTGGGATGGCTGCGAAGGGCAGGAGGATAGTTGTGGTTGTCTCAATTGTCTCAGCATAAAAACTATGTGTATGTGCATTACTCGAGGCTATCCAGAGATCTGCCCCCATCGTTCGTGTGGTGGGCACATCATCTGAAACCGAATGAGGCGTGTGAGGCGGACCTCCTTTCTCGAGCTCCGCGGAACGTTCTAGCGCGGGGGTGAAGAAGCAGAAGAAAGCCATGCACCGATAGCGGCAATCTGCCCATGTGGTGGACCGGCTGCCGCTGCGCGAGAGGGACGGATGCAGACGAAGGGGTTGCAAACACGTCGTGCCGCGGGCCAGAGAGTGGTGAAGGGCCCGTCGGCGAGCGGGCCTGCGCAGGATATTGACTTCATCCCGCCGCTTGCCCCATGCGAAGGATGCTTGGAGCCCTAGGTACTGCTCCCTAGATCCCCGTGGCCTAAGGGAGCGGGGCTTGCCAGCGAAGCTGTGCCGGCGGAGAGCCTGAACGGTGCCCCTCTCTTCGCTCGGTCCCGTTGGCGATGAGGCATCTGCGATGCTGGATGCCGCGCGAAAGCCCTGCGCGAGAGCCGGTCGCTCCGTTAGCTGCCCTGTCACCGCCTGGGCTGTGGACGCCCTCTTCCCGGCAGCGCATGCAGCTATTCTGATGCTAGGAGAGCGTGGGTGGGTCCGGGGAAGCGATCCGCCAGACTGGACGGGTGCCAGGAACAGTCGGTGGAGGCCGGCGATCGAGCCCAGGGCGAACTTGGGTTGCTGTGAGTCGGCCGGGCTGGCGTCAGGTAGTGGGCTGCGGCATGAGGGGAAACAAAGAAACATTAAAGGGGCAGAGCTGTGAGCCCCTCGCGGGAGCCCCTCGGGCGGGGCGAGAGGAGCCCGATTTTGTCCCACGTCGACGAGCACACCGCCTGCGCTGCAAAGTCGAGGGCCGTCTCTGCAACGGGCAGTAGTTGGAGGGCCTGCATGAACGACTCACATACCGCTCTTTGCTGTAGGTACCTTTGTACAGACAGCGGCGCGGCACCCGAGCCGTCGCACGAGATAAACCGCCGCCAGCTTTCAGCTTCTCGTGCAGCTTCCGAGCTCGCTGCCCGCAGCAGGAACCGCCTGGGTACGCGGGGATGCGAGATACAGACACCGGCGCAAACAACCACTTCAATCGTGAAGCTGAAGCGCCAGTAACACGCACCGCGACGAGCAGCAGCTGTAGAGCCCTGAATGCATGATAATTCACCACGCTGCCCGCAATGCCAGTGCAACACGCCACAGCCAAAGCGGTGTAATGGCACCAGCCACTCTCGCCCCGCCGTGTCGTTGTCAGCCCGACACGACTGATTTTCCCCCTATGTAAAAGAGCCACCAAAACCTCTCGCTCCCTCCACCATCACCCCCCCATCCCATCATCAACACCGCCTCATCTTTCCCAGCCCCAAGCCCGCGCGGCCCATCTCCACCTCACCCATCCACCGGACCTCACCGGTGCTTTGTCCTGTATGCCACTCGACACCACACGGAATGAAAGCGAACAACTGCACTCCAACAACCCATCCAGCACTTCTTTGAAGCCCACGCGCGCTCGGCCGGCAACACCATAGTCCCATCCACGGCCCGAGCCCCCCCGTCCGACACACAGTTCGATGCCCGCCGCAGACATGACTCTCGCGTCTGCCGCCTCGTCGCCCGCCGCGACCCGCAAGACGGCCTCCGCGCCGGAGAAGAAGTACAAGTGCCAGTTCTGCAACCGCGCATTCAGTCGCAGCGAGCATCGCAGCCGGCACGAGCGATCACGTAAGTCCTGTCGCACCCTGGAGTCCCGCTTGTTTTGATGCGGGAGGTGGCGCCGTCGCGAACGCGCTGCGCGATGCGGGGAGAGCAGGACCAAAGTAAAGTTGCTAATGCCCCTCATCAAACAGATACAAAGGAACGCCCTTTCAAGTGCATGAAGTGTCGCAGCACCTTCGTGCGTCGCGATCTCCTGTTGCGCCACGACCGCACCGTACACGCAAAGGATGGTGGCGTGCCGCTGCACAGCGAGGTCAAGCGTCGGACAACCACAAAGGCCCCCGAGGCGGCTGTTTCTGGCCCCTCGAAGACGGCGATGCCCATGGACACGGCGACACTGGAGCAGATCGAGGCCAGCAGCGATGGGATGGTTGACATCGAGACGGCCGCCATGCTGATGACGGACTTCCATCACAAGGCGATGGCCAGCCAGGAGCCGGAAATCGTGGGCGACGGGCCAGAAACGGTCATTTCGCCCAACGGCCCCGCGCTTCTGGAACCAGCCGTCAGCTATCCATCGGGAGCTGTCTCCTTGCCCCAAATGCCGTGGGATTCGATGCTGCCACAACCCAAGTCTAACTCAATGTCGTCAAGTGGAGGATCGATGCAGACTCACCCGCATCAACTCCCCCCGATTATGGAACGACAAATGTCCGGCAGCGATGCCATGGTTTCCTTCCGGTCGTTGGACAACTCAGTGCCCGGAAACGGTATTGGCACACCTGGCGCGCTGTCGCCGTACCCCATGCTCGGCCCTGTGTCGCCTGTCGATTATCGAAGGTCTCCCGGCCCTCCCCAGCACTGCACGACGACGAAGCCGCCGCAAGTCGACTCCGAAGAAGCTTGTGCACAGATCTTTGAGAACATCAGGGTCTTTGACAACGAGACTGCGCTACTTGACACCTTCCGCCTTCCCAACAGGGCTGTCTTGAACCGCTATCTGCACACCTACTTCACGTTGTTCCACCATCACTTGCCGTTCCTGCACCCAGGCTCCTTCAAGCCGTCTGAAGTATCTGCGCCACTTCTGCTCGCAGTGCTATCCATCGGCGCGCTGTACACCTTCGACCAGGACCAGGCGTACATGCTTCATATTGGCTCGAAGGTGCTCATCAACCAGTTCTTGCAGAACAAAGAAAACTTCAGCTCAAGGAAGTGTCCGTTATGGACAATGCAGAGCACGCTGCTGAACATGATCTTTGCCAGCTGGAGTGGCGACCCCAAGGGCCTCGAGTGGGCTTGTTCGATAAAGAGCTTACTAGCCAACGCAAGTTACAGCTCCAACATACTTTACAACATACGCTAACAATCTTTAGATGGTCGCCGGTAACAGGTACGAGCTTAAGCTCCGAACAGAAGCTCGTGGTGGTGCGCAGCCCAAGCATGAGGAGTGGATTGAAGACGAGCAATGTCGACGCACATACTACGCCGTCTACATTTTCTTTGGTCTTCTCACTCTGACGTACAACCACACGCCTGCCATGGGCTTCAATGAGTTCGATTCCTTGGAGCTACCCTCTTCGGAATCTCTCTGGGATGCTGGAGTGTCAGACGAAGATTCCTGGAAAGAGACCCTCGCTGCTTCTAACACTCTATCTTTCCGTCAAGCACATGACAACTTGTTCCGAGGAGAACCAGCCCGTTACAGCGCCTTCGCCACCCGTGTGATGATCAACGCCTTGTTCCTTGAGGTTTGGTACCACAAGCGCAGCCCTGAAGCTCTCCAGGACGTCGTAACCGAGTACAAACTACGCCTTGCTCTCGAAACGTGGGAAAAATCACTGGAACTTTGTGAGCCTGAGACCGTCGTGGTCTCTTTGAGCGCGCCTCATAAGGGACATCCTCTGATTTTCAATGCCATGGCCATGTATCGGAACACTCGGGCCCGCCTTGTTGTGGACTTGAAATCGGTTCAGGAGGCACTTCGCTATCACGACTCCTACGAGGTTGCCGCTGCAATGACTAATGCCAGGGACAAGGTGCAACGTTCGCAAGAAATGCTCAAGGTCATCTCAGAGTGTTTCGATTGCATCGAGGTCGCTGCACTTCAAGGCATCCGCTGGGTTGCGAGAACATCAGCCACCAATTGGAGTATCGAGCACCCACTCTGCGGCATGGATCTCATGGTCATCCTTACTTTGTGGCTCTATCGTCTGGAACATGACGAGGAACCTGCCACTGAGGAAGAAACGGCCATGTATAACAAGCTCAGCAATCTCTTCGACGACGATTCGGCCGATGTTTACGGTGCTAAGCTCAGTTCAACCGTAGCGAGGCTTTGGGGAAGCATGATCGACGAGGTTGTCGTCTGGGGGTATGTCTGATCTATTCTGTAACCTTTCAAGCATTTAACTAACCGTTGATAGTATCACCAAACTCATGGGTGAATCCTTCAAGCTTCATTCGCAAGCACTCGTCGGCTACGAGGACGCCATCTCATCTCGATCCGGGTCTCCCACTCCGTCATTAACATCTCAGGGGGTTCAGGTGATGGAGATGCAAGTTGCATATTAGACTCTAGTTTTAATATCAGCTTAACGACATTTACGTGTTTCCTTAGGTAATTTCCTTAGTACCCATCTTCATCATTAGACTGGTCTTCCACTTTCCGTAATCCCGGGATCTCCTGTCTACTGGTCGGAGCATCGCCGGGAGTTCGGCTTATTTTTCCACTTGCATATACGGAGCGTGGCTTTCTGATTTCGCGTGGTTTCCTACTGTTGGTATTTCGTCTGGCTGTCGGTCGGTGGGCTAATGGCGAATACGGGGTGGGCTGTCAGGGTATCATACACACTCGGGCTCGTGCTCACTCCTCACCTGGTGGTCTTTGGTAGGACCTCTCTAATATCCGTTCGACTCTCATACCCTCTTAGTGTCTTTTTCACAAAAGACACCCTCTGCTGGCTGGCACCACATGTGTGTTCTTCTCCTGTGGTTCTCAAGCCAGCATATTTGCTGCGCAGTAATACCTTGTCTCCTCTCGGCCGTATATTTCCTTTGTTTTTGCTTCTGGCTTCTTCTATTGCATATACCATGTTCGCTGTGCGTTGCTTTTTCTGCTTTCAGCTTTCCTCCTATCTATGCTCTCCTCAGCGTCTTGCAGCATCTTTTGGTGGTAGTTGCGCTCCGTTGATTTGCAAGTTTGGACAAAGAGGGAGTGTATGGGATTCTTCCTGATAGTCGTGTATAAGTAGCTTTCGCAAAGTGGAGTTTTGCTGGTCACGTCGATTTTCTGTGCTTGATGCTGTGAACTGGTTCGTGAAATGTGCAGACCGCAGATAACAACATAGGGCGGTTTCTAGTCTAATGGATCGTGACATAAAATGTCGGCTTGACAGGAGTGAAGACCAAGCCACCTCGTTGTCATTGGCAAGGGTGTTTCAGTATATCATCCGAAATCTGATTGACATTTCCCAATTGCGATGACTTGAATCGCATGTGAGAGACACCGACTTTGCAAGGTGGGGCAACTGTCAGGAGTGGCCCTAAGGGCCATCTAAGCTCGTACATAATGCCAAATTCTTGAGCATGCAAATCAGGCCTCTGGAATTGCTGATGTCTGGATGCTCGAAAATCAGGACCAACTAGCGCGAAATTCCCGCCAAGCCCGCTAGTCCGCATCCAGCGCGCGAATCGAAATTTTGGGACCGCAAAAAAAAGCTCAGCAGAAACAGCTTCGCACACCACGACCAAGCTCCACAACCACGACTCCACCCTAATTCCTGCCCAACCGCGAACCTCCCTCCCTAAATCTCAATCGCCTTCTCTCACAATGGGCAAAGACAAGTCAGAGAAGAAGGACCGGAAAGAGAAGAAGGAGAAGCTCACCGAAGTCAACGGCGTGAGCAAGAAGTCGAAAAAGGACAAGAAGGAAAAGAAAGAGAAGCGCAAGAGCGACGTGACTGAGCTGCTTGAGGCGGGGCTGGATTCGGAGACGTCGCCCGCGCCTGTGGAGACTGTGATCAGGACTAAGGCGAAGGCGAAGGTGGATGAGGATGGTGATGAGGATATGAGCGATGCGGAAGCACCTGTAGCACCTGCGACGATAGTGGGCGCGGTCGTGCCGTTCGCGAACCCGCTTGCCGACGACAAGCAGACGAAGAAGGTGTTGAAGAGCGTAAAGAAGGGTATGTGCTTTTCTCTCGTTGGAGGGAGATGTCTCGTGCGCGGGACTCTCAGATTCTTTACCCATTCAACGCTCAATCAGCTTGCGATGAATATAGCTAACGAGAAGTCTACAGCGGCCAAACACAAGACTCTCAAGCGTGGCGTCAAAGAAGTCGTCAAAGCCCTCCGAAAGTCCGAAGCTGAGGCTATCACGTCCGTCAATTCCAAGAACCCCGCCGGCGTTGTCATCATCGCGGCTGATATCTCGCCTATGGATGTGATTTCGCATCTCCCTGTACTCTGTGAGGACCACAACATCCCGTATATATACGTCACATCGCGCGCGGAGCTAGGTGCTGCGGGCGCTACGAAGCGGCCGACGAGTGTGGTCATGGTGTCGAAGGACCGGCTACCGGGTAAGAAGGGCGCGGGGACGGATGCAGATGAGAAGAAGGAGTATGCAGAGGTATATGGAGGGCTAGTGAAGTTGGTGCTGAAGGCATCGGAGGGCGTGAAGAAGTGAGCAGAGAAGAGGAGAATTTCTTTCTTGTGGGATCATGTCAAAAGGGAGTCGGCGTTTGGTGTCACAGGTACGTAGGTTCACTGTCTGGCTGTGATGATTTCTGAGCCTGGCTAGTGAGGACAGGACTGTCTTACAAATGTTGGCTAGAATTTCGAACGCCTTGTTTTGGCATAAGAAAGCTACGAAGGCTCTCTGACTTGGTAGAACATCCAACTCGAAAAGCGTTTGACCTCATTCTCTACTGCTATTGTGCTTTCCATCATCTACTGATAACAAAAACACCATCTTCATTCGCTCATATAGTTTGGCGCAGTCGAATTTTCTTCACTCTCACGGGAAGAAACACAAGCTCATCCCTTTTCCCATCTACCCAATCACTCAAACCACTTCGACTTCTCCCGCATCAACCTACAAACCTCTCTCAACGTCTCATCCATCTCATCCAGATCCCGCCCATGCATCCTCCTTCCATACGTCGCTGTCAGTATCGCAATCCCATTCCCGCACGCCGCCAACGCCTTCTGAAAATTCTCATTTCTCACATATGCTTTCGCAAGCACATGATACGCCTCCGCCAACCTCACATCCAAAATCCCCTCCGCAACCAACAACTCACACTGCCGCTCCGCCAGCCACATCCTCTTCTCGCAATCCCTGTTCTTCATCTTCTTCCCCGCCTCCTCCTTCAGCGGCTTATCATACGCAAACGGCACCGTCGGCGGCCACTCCAGCGCGCCCGTCACCTTCCTAGGCGCCATCGGCACCGCCATCTTCGGCACCTCCCCATTCGCCGGCTCCGCCAATGCCAGCTGCTTCCTCCTCAACAGCATCTCCGCGCGGTTGCGGTCCGACTCGCGCCGGTTCGCGTTGCAGCTGACGCAGTCGCACGTGAACTTGTACGGCCCGTTGCGGAACTGCTGCGCGCGGTCGTGCGCGGTCGTGTACGTCTGCGCGTTGGTGCAGTAGTCGATGGTGATCTCGTCGTGCTTGCGGATCTTGGTCAGCGCGATGACGCGGTTGTCGGGCGCGGCGGCTTCCCACCCGCCCTGCACGACGGCGGCGTTGGGCCGGCACGAGTGGTTGATGAAGCAGGTTTCGCGGAACACGACGATGCGGATGGCGGTGTAGTCCGGGGTGGGGAGCGAGAAGTAGTTACGCTCGACGCGCGCCACGTCGGTGTCGTAGGCGGTGAGGTCCGGGTCGTCGCCGGCGTAGAGGGAGTCGAAGAGGGCACGGTCGGCGGGGGGAAAGGCGTGGACGGCGTTGGCGATGGTGGAGGTGTTGCCGGAGCGCTCGGAGTCGAACCAGGCTTCCTGTGCGTCGGAGTCCCAGTCATTGGGGTGGACGGTGACGGGGATGGAGAAGAGAGGGGTTTCGAGCATGATTTCGGTGCCGGGCTTGATTTCTTCGACGTCGGCGCGAACGCCGCGGCCTTTGTTGGGGATGGCTTCTACGCGGTAGCGTTTTCGGCCTGCCATGGTAGAGGGAGAGGGGAGAAGGGAGAAGGTGATACCAGTGCTCTGATAGTGCTTTTGGAGATACCGACATTGATATGTTTCTTATATGAGGTATTATATGTGAGTGATGTTTCCAGGCCACAAAGAATCATGATACTTGAGCGTATCAAACTTGCCATGGCGATGCGACGAGAAAGTAACAAGGAGCTTCTAGAGCACTCGAGTGGACGAAAGAAAAAGGCTGAGAAGAAGGCCTATAGGTTACTCAAGTAACAAATAAAGTAAAGTTACTTCTGTGGCTATTCTGGATAGGTGGGTTTTGCTCAAGCGTTCAAGCGTAGGCAGGCTTGACAGAGTAAATGCTCGAAATACTGTGCCATGTTCAGATTCTAGCACTCGATAAAATCTAGCGAGAAGAGGAAAGGAAACGTGATCGGCAATTTGAACAGGTTAGCAACGGAGCACGCCTGGTAAGCTGATTACAAGGAGGTACAGCATGTCAGCCTATAGCTCACCTCCAGTCCTTTATCCACGGCCCTCCTCCCACCTGGAGTACACTCTCTTCCTTGGAATACCTTACTCTCGTTAGCGTCTTCATCATGTCTAAGCCAGTCTTCGTTCTCCTTCACGGCGCATGGCATAGCCCCAAATGCTGGGATCGCCTCATTACTGAACTCGAAAAAGCAGGCTACTCAGCCTTTGCCCCCGCACTACCTTCCTCTGGATCTAATCCTCCCGTTCCGGACTGGAATGCTGATATCGACATCATTCGCAGCACCGTCTCCGATCTTGTTCAGAAACATGACGTTATCATTGTCATGCATAGCTTCAGCGGTATGACTGGTGGCACAGCCTTGGAGGGACTCGACAAAGAGGCGTGCTTTTCTAAAGGTCTCAAGGGCGGCGTCGTGAGATTAATCTACATGGCTGCTTTCCTCGTGCCGGAAGGATCTCAGCACTCTCCTCATGGCACCAGAGACAACATGCTGCCTGACATGAAGAGTGATCTCGATATGTGGCCCCTCATCGCCTCCCATTGACAGCTTCTGACTTTTCGCACAAGCTGGCATCGTAACTTTCGCTCCTGAAGGTGCAAAGGACATGTTTTACCAAGATTTAGACGACGATGCAGTTGCCGAGCTGGCGAAGGACCTGCAGCCCCAGAGCTTCGGGGTGTTTTGGAGCACAACAACATACGCCGCTTGGCGTTATGTTCCAACGACCTACATTGAGTGCACGGGAGATAGACCTTCTACTCACGCTGCTGCGCAGTATCTGCTTGAAACGGCGAAGGCGAGTGGAACACACAAGATCGAACGCATCATCAAAGTGGACAGTGGTCATTCTCCGTTCATCAGCAAACCTGAATGGAGCGCTCATACTCTTATCAAAGAGGCTGGTGGACAGGTCTAGATGAGTGGTAAAAGTGAAGATAGTCGAGGAATTGAGATGCTAGGGACTTGCATTCTATAAAAGACAGAAGAGGGAATGATTATAGAAGTAAGAGAAATGAAGCAAACTCTCGCAAATCATACCCTTGCAGTTCACCTAGCTAGAGGAATAATGATGGAGAAGATCGGCTGACGAAAAGGATGTTCAGTGAAAGCGAAAGTGGAATGAGTGAGGGGCGGAAGTGTACCGCTAAAGCGCTGTAATTCTCAACAGTCACGTGCCAGAAGTGAGAGAGCGCGTAAAGTGGCACACGGGGTACTTGCCCGCCCCTCCTCCCAAATCCCACGCGCATCTCTTTTCACCCTCGCAATCCGCCCCAGATCACTAGGACAGCATGATAACAGTCGCGCATACACCATGGCTGTCCCAGAACTCGATATTCTGAAACCAGTAGACCCTTCCATCTCCAACACGGACGATTACGAGCTATTCACGCTGTCGAATGCGCAAGTCTACAATCCGAAAACTGGAAAGCCGGCCAATCTTCTCGATGCATATGTAGACAGCCCGGTTACAGTAGAGGGGAAGCTGGACCCGCCTCCGCGCGAACAGCAGAAGTACCGTAAGCGCATTCCCGCCTTCAAAGCCGATTCAAGTACTGACGCAAATGTGGCTATAGTCGTGCGCCGTCCATATAGCAAGGGCGTCACCATCGAGGTTAAAAATGTGACGCGCTTTGCTTGGGGTCAAACGCTTAAGACCAAAGAGATTATGATATGGGCGCTCGGACGCTCAGGATGGCTGGAAATTCGACCTTCGCGCGTCTACCGGGACAAGTACCAGGAGATGGTGGAAGCGATTGAGATCCTGTACTTTACGGCAGACATATATTCACAACCTAGGAAGAGAGGCGGAGGGCCCAGTGCTGAATTGCTATTTCAAGAGGTGAGCTCTCGATTCTTTGACTGCGATGGCCATGCTAATGATTTGCAGTACGCGGAGGAACCCCGTTTCCAGTGTAAAAGCAAAGAGGAAGCTTCTGAAATCTTCTATTCCCACAAGTCATTTTTAATGGAGGCCATGCTCAATCGATCCGAGGGCATTGGCTGGAGTAATACGCCTCTGTACCAGCATTTGAAGGCGCGGTTTCCGGTACGTGGCAATACTCGCGCATCTGGCTTAGGGATAAGAATACTGACCCCGGAATAGGCAGACTTCCAAGCGGTTCGCGATAAAATCAGTGAGAAGAACGACGCGGGCTCGCAGAAACAATCCAAAACGAAACCTAGGGCCGCCACCTCACGATCCGCCCAGCCGCCCAAGAGGACTGCATCGAAAAAAGAAAAGCCTCCAAACGTGCCCAAAAAGGATGATAATTGGTGGGAAGCTACTGCAATATGGGAATTGATGCAGAAAGCATTTGCGCAGGGTCATTTGAAACCAGGAGAAGTGACGGTGAGCAGCATCGCGAAAGAGATGGTCAAAAAGTATTCAATCGAGAGCGAAGGGCAAGCAAACAATTATCTCCGGGTTCATGGATCTAATCTCCGATTCATCATGCAACATCCGAAACGGAAGACAATGCTTCATTTCGTTCATGAGCCTATTTTCGAAGAGTTGGAGTCCAATACTTTACCAGCAGCTACCATCAGAATAGCCTCGCAGCTTGTGCTCGTTCCACGAAAAGCGCCTTTAGACCAAGACTCTAGCGAGGACGAGGCAAGCGACCAGAGCTCCTCTTCCGATGACGGAACGCGTAGGCATCGTCACTCTCACAAGGGCAAATACTCCGGCCTAAGACCTAAAAGCAGCAAGGTAGCTGGCAAAGGAAACAAAGGCAAAAAGGGGAAGACTACAGCGCCCGTTCCAATCGTCAATGAGCCCGGCGAAAGCGACAGCGGGGATGGTGAACCCATGGAATTGGAACTGTCCTCCCATGCGAAACGAAAAGGCTCTGTGGACGAAAGTTTGGCCAACCCGCGAAAACGAGCTGTAAGCGAGAGCAACGACCTGAACTCGCCTCCGTCGTCTCCATCTTCTTCTGCTAGCGAAGCAGTTGGTGATCCTCTACCACTGCGCTGGAGAAACTCCAACGCCAATTCTGTCAAATCTACTAGTCCTGCATTCCTGCCATCAATAATATCGAGTCCTCTGCTGTCGTTTGCAGCGAATGGGCCGGGAGACTCCTTTATATGCACTTTCGACGGCTGTGCACACAGGGTCTATGGCGCAAGCACGGAAAATGGCAAGGCCCTCATCAAAGAGCATTTTCAGGAGCACGCTTCTCGGCGACAAGAGCAACTCGAAATAGTGATCAGCGAGGAGCAGAGATCTAGGTTGCCCGTCAGGTCGGTGCCCGCTCCCATATTCAAGTCGAAAGACCATCATCGCTAATCTTGTCTTATAGCAACTTGATCAAGCGGATCCGCGAAATGACAGAGTCACAGCAGACGACATTCCACCTCCCAGGTATGGCGGCTGCTTCGCCCATTCCTACTGCCATAGAACGGCGGTATTGATATTTCCCTCGACATCTATTACTTCGCATCTTTCTTTCTACAGAGCTTTCTATGATACCTGGAGGTTGATTTCATGGCGTTCGGCAAACGGCGTTTCTTCGTGGCCAGGGTGGCCCAGTAACACTTGCGAACGGCCTCAGGTGGCTGTTGTGACTTATATACAAAGGAGGGGATGCATTACGGAATGATGCCTCGTGGCGGTGGATGTCGTTTAGGGGTGAGTGGCACACGAAATTACACACTGATTCTATTGCTTATGGATGTATACTGTAATACAGTACTGGGTCACACGTTTGGGCACACGGATATATCACTGCTCCGGCTCCACTCTTGCTCGCTCCACCCCATTGTAAGGAGTACCCCTGTCAGCAGGTAGCAGCTTCGACAAAAGATAGTCTGAGTGCCACTACATTGGCCCTTACATTATCCTCTGAATTTTGAAAGCCTATCAGGGTACCACAACCAGTCGCGTGTGGCGCCCAAGCTTACGTCTTGGTACTGTACGTTTATATGAAAAGACAAGAAGAGACCTTGACTGACTATGATCCATCCCAGGGCAATGTCGTACTGATAATCTAAGTTGGGTATATGCTGATATAAAAATATAGTGTGAGCGCCAAATCTCTGACAGCCTCATACCTCCCTTATCCGTTTTGAGAACCAATAGTGCTAGTATCACTCAGGTGACGATGAATTACGCGCCCTAGGTCTCTCATTTCCCTTTAGCCGCCCATCACCGTGATTACCCCTTTGTTCGCCTTTGCCTCGCCGATTCTTTGTTCCCCGCCCATCAAAGTGCTTTTGAGCTCCTCCGTCTCCTTGATGATCTCCATTACCAGGCGTCCGTCCCCCAGCGTCATTCTCCCCTACTACAACTTCTGTTGCCTCCCACCCCTCCTTCTCCATTGATTCTTCCAGCATGCCTCGGATTTGAGGTGCCCACACTTCTTCTCCCTTTACCAGCTCGTCGGATTCGAACACGTTCTGGCCTAGAGTGTAGTCGCCTTGGCGGGATCGGACTAGAGTAGACATGGTGCCGTAGGATGATACGGCTAGGCCGAGGTCGTGGCAGAGACTGCGGACGTAGAAGCCGGATGTGACGGTCATGGTGAGGCGGGCGGCTGGTGGATTGGGTTTTGGTCGAGGGGAGGGGTCTTGTGATGCTGAATCTGTGGGTTTGATAGGGGCGTCTTCTGGGGTAGGCTTGTTTTCTATAGATGAAACAGGGCTCTTGGAGGTCTCCGGTGGTGCTTCACTTGGATTTGAAGTACTCTCAACAGGCAATGCGCCTGACATGACAGGTTCTGGGTCCAACTGTTGAGTTCGGGACTTCTTGGAATCTGGTTGAGCTTCCGAGACGTCCTCGTCTTCACCATCCCGTAGTCTCTTGTAGCCCTGCTTCAAATCCTTCGCGTTCACCCCCATCAACTTTTGCGCACCCACCTGTGCCACCTCATCCACCTCCTCGACCGGCCACTCATACTCATGGCTCCCCCCTTCCATCCACTCCACCATTTCTAGATTCAGTACCTCTACTTCCCTCGGCTTGATCTCTGGCAACTCACCTCCCGCCCTCGCTAGCTCATACATCTTCTTGCCGTTAACCTTCAGGGCGCTAAACACACTCGGCTTCTGCATAATCTTCCCCCGGAACCCCTTGAGCGCCTCCTCTACTTTCTCTCGCGTGATATGCCCATAATCGCCCTTGCTGACCACCTTGCCCGTCACATCGTAAGTGTCTGTCGCTGCGCCGAATAGTACCACGCACTCGTAGCTCTTAGTGCACTCCAAGAACCGGCTTAACAATTTAGTGCCGCGGCCAATACCAATTACGAGCACACCTGTCGCAAGTGGATCGAGCGTGCCCCCATGCCCAATTTTAACCTGCAGGTTGTTGAACTGGCGCGGTTTTGCATTCGCGGCGCGCAATTTTGCACGTTCGGTGACGAACCAGGGGCGGAAGAGGGAGGAAGGGTTGAAGTGGGCTTGGAGGCGGCGGATTACTTCGGCGGAGGAAATGGCGGGGGGTTTGTGGATAGCTGTCGAGGTTTGATTAGAAAGTTGGAGGGCTTGTGGTTGCAATTGCGGGTGAGACGTACCGAAAACGCCTTCTAAGACCTTTTGGGGCTCTTTGGAGGTTGTCATTATGGCGCGGAGGAAGGCAGGTGAAGCGGTCATCGCAGGTTCATGCGGTGATGGGTGAGCAGCTTTTGGAACTGTGGTTAAGGTGCCGGAGGTACTTCGGGCCGTGAATGTATGCTTATACGGAGTATTGGGGCTGCAGACCATCTCCTTCTCATCTCAACTCAATCGTGACAAGATTTCCGAGATACTGCTCTTCTCATTGATGTGAGAACGGTGCTATGCTCTCTACCATTCATCGACTGAAGGCGTGAGCTAAGATGGGTCAAATACGCGCTGCCTTCCTCGCGCTCTTCATTTTCTCCGCCATTGGCGCTATATTACTAGAAAGCGTCTCAGGCCATATGCAAACCCGACTTCAGCTTCTCAACGTTCATGATTATGAGTTCCAGCACTCGGATTTCGAGCCCAATGTTGCCCGGCCGCATCTGGACTATGAGCGTTGTGCTCGATTACACAACAAGATCGTCGAAATAGGATGGCGAGGATACAATCCTGGCAAAGATCCGTCTCTGCGCAGCTCTCAGACCTGGTGGGAACGCTACGGAGAAGATGCCAAAAAGCTGCCATTGCCGATTTCCGTGATCGAATTCCTTAAGCTGGCTGAGCTTCCCGAAGATGATCTATCGTTTACCTTCCAATTGCGCGGCCTCTCTCATCCCTCGGAACTCTGGAATGGTCTCCAAGAGCTAGGCTATGAGGCCACTGAGATCGTGCTTTATAGTAGTGCGAATCGAGAGAGCCAAGGAATGGGCCTAATCTTCAATCACGAATTAAACCTAGCAGTATATTCGCCAACTATCTTCGACCACGCAAGGAACGAGGCTTTATTGTATCCACTAGAGACAGCATTGATGATGTACCTTAGTATGACCAACGCTGGGAAAATTGCTGCAGTACCAGAAGGAAAGCAAGAAGACAAGCCATACTCCACACCGTGGGCATGGCAGTATTACGGTGAGATGGACGTCAAATTTGCCGTGGACGAGTTTACGAACCTTATTCACGCTATCATCAATCGAATCTCACCGGAGGAGAGGTCGAATTCTATCAAGGAGTTCCTGGACCCCAACAAACGGTCTCCTCTTATCGACACAGGCACCTTGCACGCACTCAATATGCCAACAAGCTTTCTCCGTCTTTTCCTCTCTCGTGCGCCGAAACCGCCGTTCTCCTTCGTAGCACCCGGCCTTACAATACCAACACGCTCAGCTCTCTCACGTCTTTTCGCCTCCATGCGAGTGTTCGACATGTACTCCGACTCGACTTTCAATAGTCTTCTACCCCCAACACTTCTTTTCCCCTCCAACCTCACACTCACGTCCCCTCCGAACGCTTCGTTATCGGGAGCTTTCCTCTTTGGTGACCCTCAGACGACGCTAGACGGAGTCACTAGCGGCCTCTACATCGTCTCTCAATCCGAGCATTACGAGCCTTTTACGAATGGCGCTAAGCTCATTCTTCCATTCCCACTAGGCGCCAACGGCTTTGCGAAAAAGGCTAATTGGCAACCTATCGGATCCCAATTTGTCCTTTCGCAGAATTACACGGATCTTTATCAGATGGGGTCGAATTCCTTCATCGAGAATCATTCTATCATGCTACACCAGGTCTTTCAGAGCTGGCGACTGATGGTGGAGCAGGGGGTCTGGGATGTGGATGACAATGGAGTCCAGGGGGGTATGGAGGGATGGAGGCTGGCGGATGATGAGAAACAGTGGTGGAGATTTAAGATGGACGACGCGCTATGGTAAAGCAATGAACGCAAATCACTTGTTTGAGAAGAGGATATGCTGAACTGCGCCATGAAGTACGTGAAGCACTATGATAGATATCTGCATCTTACTACAACAATAAGGACGATAACCCCCAGTAAGCGCCATAAACACCCAACGCAATCGCAGTCCAAACACCTAGTCCGTTCATCACAAAACTTCTCATGAGCCGATTCGCCGCCTTACTATCATTAACATGCGGGAAATCTCCAGTAGGCCTCTCTTTTCCTAGAAAATCGCACAAGGGCGCCCACCCATCCGCCGCCTGGAACTCCAAAAGCCGCTCTTTCGGTACGATCCTTCTAACCTCATTGTTATGCTTGAGATAAAAATCCGTGGTCCGGACACGCACTCCGTACTTCTCGAACGTTTGCGCGTCCCAGAGGTTATTCATAATGAAACCAAAATGCATCTCTGGGACGAAATAGACGAGGTAGTATATGGGTCCTTTGTCGAAGGCTTTGCCTATAGAGCCCACTACGGAGTCAAGCCAGGCTTGGGGAGACTTTCTCATACCCAGAACGAACTATCAACCTTCAGTAAAGAGTCACCACTCTTTGAACCTCGGATCATTAGCAATGTTTCCCACCTTTGCATCCGGATACATCTCCACCCAGTCTTCAACGAAGAAGCAGCCTGGTCCGTCGACGATAGCGGAGTAGCCAGACACGATCTCCGCAAGGATATTTTGGCGCACGGCTTTGTCGCGCGTGTTTATTGCTTTTAGCCACATGGGGCCTTGAATAGATGCATTGGGGAGGAGATGCGGGATGGTGTGGTAGCATGGGTCGTAGCCTAGTATCTGGAGCCCGGCTTGGAGGGAGCTGGTCGAGGTTCGGGGGAGGCCGGCCTAAGGGGTTGGCTTCAGTTGCAATGGAGAGATACGTGGTATACGGAGGGACTCACTCCAATGACCTGTAATCCCTTGCCTTGTTTATCAAGGCCATTAGCCAGTTTAGCCATGATGTTTAGGTCTGTATAGCGAAGTAGTATAAAAGTAGAGGTGTTGTTTAAGCACCACCATAGGTATGGGCATCAAGGGAGATATAACTAAAACAAATATTCCCCATCCGGAATATGCGTACGCCATCGGATACGCCGAACCGAAACACTGGCGCCGCAGCTATGGAGCTTACTTGGGCGGTTGACTAAGCATATGGAGCTCATAAATAGATATGTGCTTACTTCGAGGGGATGCGTGCATGGGTAGTGAGATAGTGACAGGGATTGGTAGCGGTGGTGAGAAACTAGGGGCCCATTGACGCCCTTTGAATTTGGAACTTTAGGACCTCCCCATTGGTAGAGAATCTGCTAGACAAATTGATTGTTCAGAGCTATTCCAAAGGCTCCTGAGAATGATATCAAATGGGAAGTTTTTTGACTACCGCCCCAGCTTTTTCAGTTCTAGATATCTCAATGGTGGGAAAGTAAGCAACGTGAAGCCAGTAGCAACCCACAGTCCCAGATCCGCACCATCTTTACCTACCAACTTTGCAACAGGTCCGACATACCATGCCTGGTCCATGCTCACTATCGCTCCTACCCAACCGATCAAGAATGAGGCGAAGGCAGCAAGTCCGGCTGGTACGCTTTTCCAGTCATGCCAGACGTCCCAGTCAAAGCCATCATCTTCATGCTCTAGTTCCGGATTACGAGACCGTAGTCGTTTGATACGTGCGGTGCGAAATAAGACCTGTTCCTCCAATGCAATGCACACGAATATCGAAACCCAGTACCCCATCAGCGCAAGAAAGTTCTGAAATATGTCGAACAGCGAGTTGCGTCCACCAATCGCACAGGCCGTGTAGATGGCGACGATGAGTAGGGTAAGAACCCAACGGGGGACTCGGCCAACGCGACGATCGAGCATCTGAAGAACTAGTGCTGAGGAGTATGTTGCTGCGATTTGGTCTGCAATTACACCAAGTGCGATTATGACGCCGCAGATCGAACCAAACGTGCGGAGGCCATTGAATCCGGCGAGAATGAGTGCTCCTTGCGATTCATCGTAGGCTGTCGCCCAATCCGGATTTTGCGCAACGCCACTTGCGAGGCCGACGCCGATGAGGTAGGCGAAGGAGAAGGCGATGATGTTTCCGAGGTAGGTCGAGATGAACAAGGCCCTCTTTGAAGTGGTGGGCGAATAGTATACGAAGAAGTCGGCTGCAATAGTAGACCACGCCAGCGGCGAAGAGACACACAACGATAAGTAGGATAACCTATGACCGATCACAGTGGTAGAGTCGCCTTTGGAAGGCGCAACGGTGTCGAAGTTGGATCCAGCGCTTCCGATGAGAACGAAAAGAACTAGGACTTGTGGAAACCAAGCATAACGCTCGTAAGCGTGGAACGCTTTCATGCCAGTTACAGCGACTATGAGTGCAATGATGGAAACAATGACAATCCCAACTATGAGAGACATACCGCCGCCTTGTACAGCGGAGAGAAGCTGGCCAGTGATTATGCAATTAATGGTGCCGTATCCAAGCATGATAACCAGACTAAGTACACAGCATAACTTGCTTGGGTAGTAGCCCATGAAGTATCTAGCAATTATCTAATACTGGGGATTAGCGACATTGCTGAAAGTATGTTATAGAGCTTATACGGAACATTGTATTTGGATAAGTAGCATACCATGGTTCTATTACCGCTCCGTGGTCCCCATGTGCAGATATACGCTGGCCCAAGGCTGCCAATCAGGGCTCCAAAGACGGCACATAATGCAGCATCTTTCAGACTCAGGTCAAAGACCAACGGTCCTAGCATGGAGAGTACGACAGTATTTGCGGTCAAGTCGCAACTAACCCAGAGTAGAATGACGTCAAGGATGAAATACGAGGTCGTAGCCACCGGTTGCCGTTCGGATAGCGTAACTCGAGCGATGCCTCGAGATTCCAGGCCTGTCAAGGCCTCAAATCTGGAGTTCCATTGCTTGACGGCTTTCCAGGTAGGTTTATGAGACTGGTCTGCTGGCGTGTTGGGGCTATCTGAAGGTACTGATATAGCTGGAGGGCTTCTTTCGTCAACACATCTTTCGAGATCTTTTGAAGTACGTCTTATCTCTTTTGCCTCCGGGCCTGGGTCCTCATCGTTCATTATCGATTAGAGAGTGCTGAGAATGAGAAATGATTATGCCGTTCTTATAGTGGTATCGAGATATATAATAGAAATTAAAGCGAAGGCCTCTAGTCGTAACGATTACATGCCTGGTCGTCGGGTCATCAGCTCATCAGAGAGACGCCGGGCGCAATTTTCTTGTCGGAACATATTCATGTCTGCTGCCGGCCCGTGCCTAGGTAAGCGTTGTGGTCTGGACGTTATGTGGTTATGTAAAAGTCGATACGCAATTTTTTACCTGATGGAGAGATGGCGCAGAGTGGGGAAAAGCCAGCCGATGAGCCAGGCCGTGCTCCAACACCAAAGCCCCTGCAATCACCTTTCCCTAATGTTTCGACTTCTGCGATTGGTTCAATGGAGGGGAGTCTTCCTCGCGTCGAGGTACCTATTTACTCCATTTGATTGCAAACACTTCCGAATGTAACTGCGTGAATCGGTTTTTGTTAGACACTACGTAGACACTGCGCGGCACCCACTGCTGTCGCTTTTTACTTCACAGACACAGGCTGTTGGAATCCACGAATAGCTCATTTGCTATTAGACTCTACAAGGCATTGTGAGGAGCCTCTATCAAATACAGTATGTTACAGGATGCATCACGAACCGCGAACGCGACAGCAGCTCTGGAGTCCGGCTATTCAAATCCGCTATTTGGATTTGGTGGACAGTATCCCCTCCTCGTCAAGAATGCGGCAAACTTATGTTCCACGCGTGCAAACTTTTTGATAGTCAGCTTTATACGTTTAATCTCTTGTCAACGACCTTACGAAGCTCTTGTCCTCGACAACACCATCCTTCACCCAGAACGCATGCCCGCCCACCAAATTTGCCATCATGACGTCGGTGAAAAGCCTATCTCCTACCACAGCGATTTGAGAGGCACAAGTTACGCCAGAGTCTGGGGCACTACGGAAGTAGTCAAACACTTCTTCGCGGCATCCAGGTTTCTAGATTGAGAGCGTCAGTCGTGATGGTCTGTGCATTTCTGATACGTAAACCGGCTAACTTTGGTCTTATGTCGGAGAACTTTGACTCCTGTATTGCGTTCAAGGACGTCTGCTTGCTTATATCCCGGATCGGACCCTGTCCCAGCTGTGTTGGAAACAATCAGGAGTCGGGAGCCAGGGTAGGCTTTGCGGAGTTCTTGAAACTTTTCCTTTGGCATTAATTAGCTACGAGATCCTTTTCAAAGAAAAAAATGTTTTTCATATGAGCTCAGGAAGGGACAGATGAAACTTGTTGCGCATCCTGATGAAGCTGTCTCTTGTAATTTTGACAGACACGAAGCTAGAAATGAGGACTAAAAGGAATAAATTGCATACATTGTACGGCTTATAGACTTCGTCGGCATGTGGTACAGCAAAGCAGTTATCCTTGTCTAGGACTACCGCCCTGATATCCACCTTTGCTTCTCCATCTCTTGCTGCAAATGCCCTAGACAACGGCACTGGCAAATGATTGAACGTGGAAACTGTATGATGAGGTAAGCACAATGCCGGATCCCTGATCAGCCTGAAAACGTTCAGCGTCCCCGAGATGTTCATAGGGAATGGTGTTCGATTACTGATAGGTAGAAAAGGTGAAGGGGTGGAGCTCCGAGTTGGGATGGATGGTGGGAGGTCTTGGCGGCAGCGGAATTTAGGCGCTAGCGAATTGAGCTTCGGCCTCACTTTCAACACCTTTCCAAATTCCTCCACATTCTGTATCGACCTTCACACCAACCTTCGAGCTTCTACAAGACCCTCTCTACCACACTGCCCGACTGATATACCGACAAAATGACTAGTACAATCGGCATTCCTATCAAGCTGCTCAACGAAGCAACCGTGTGTGGACCCCGCGAATTTCCTCTCAAGCGCAAGCGCAAATAGCTGACAACAAGTGCGGTTCTAGGGTCATGTTGTTACTCTCGAGATCACCTCCGGCCAGGTCTACCGCGGAAAGCTTATTGAAGGCGAGTCTCTGGATGCTGATCCTTTTTGAATATGCACTCGAAGCTGATATATTTCTCGCGCAGCCGAAGACAACATGAACGTCCAACTTAGAGACATCACCGTTACCGCGCGCGACGGCCGTGTCTCCCACCTCGACCAAGTGTATATTCGCGGCTCACACGTGCGCTTCTTCATCGTCCCGGATATGTTGCGGTACGCCTGGTCACACTAGTCCTTCCCGAACGGTACTGGGGATTTTGCTGGACGAGGCTAATGGATAAATCAGGAACGCGCCCATGTTCAGGTCGAGAGGTACGAGGGGTAGAGGTGTGGGTTTGGCGCGTGGGAGGGCAACGGTGAACAGGGCACGTGGTCAGAGAGGTGGACGCCCGTGAGAGGAAGCCAATATCGCGACTTAAGATACTATGCGCTATATCAAGGCTGAAGCAGAGGGCTGCTATGGACGAAGGGCACCTTCACCCACATCGGATGGTCAACACGCGAACAGCGGGGAGATGATGGCATAGCCAGGGCGTTCGGCGCACTGCCAGGGAGGTCCCAAGTCTTTTGGTCTACTTACTGGCCTCATTCATGGCCTCAAAAATCGAAGGCACTCTGCAAATAGCACAATTGAACGATATTCAGCCAATAATCAGCTACAACTTCCTGATATCATTTTGGTGGTGGGGCATCTTCACTCGCGCCAAGACCACCGAGCTCTCCGCAAAAATGACGCCTCTTCGACCCTAACAGCATTCCACCAGTCCTCCACAGCAATGTGAATAATACCATCTATCTGGTCCCAAAGATGGAAATTGAACATCCCCGCCGTATTCTAGCTGTCGGTGCCCCCGATTCCGGCGTCCTCCATCTTCTCAAGGGTCTATAACCTAGCTCACATACCTTCTGTAGCTCTTCTAACACCCCACAGATCTTACCGGATCGGCTCCCGACCTCGTGACAGATTCCACTGCCGGCCTTTCACACGAGTGGAAGCTGGAGACACGCTATTATACCGCTACCCTCCCCATCTGGATCGACGAAATACCGCATATCGGCGAATGGCGGGAGGAGTTTGTGAAGCCGGAAGCGCAGGAGGTGGTGAGCGTGTTGGGTGCTTGGGTATACTGTTTCAGGAAGCCGGTTAAGGAAGAGCATTTGGTAGGTAGCGCTTGAATATGGATTACGACACTAGGCTGATCAAGGAATAGGACTCTGTGAAGGAAACACTGAAAGCCATCGCCGATGTGGTGGAGAAAGCTTGCGGATATAGCTCCGACTCCGTGTTGCTGGCAGTCGCCATGCCACAGAGCACGACGCCACATCTGGAGAGGAGCTTCGAAGAGTGGGAAGAACTCTGTTCGGATTTTGGGTTCGAGTTCGTGGATTTCGAGGCGAAGGGAAAGAACGAGTTTGGAGGTTGGTGATATTCTATTCCACTAGCTTCGTGCTCGAAGCTGACATTCCTAGAACGTGTCGGCCTTCAACGACTAAAGGAAGCACTGGAGACGAATGACTGGGCTGGTGATGGGGAGGACCTCGACGACGAGGAGGGGTTCGAAAGCACATTTGCCGCGGAAGAGGCAGAGATGAATATGGAGCTTTTTGGCATGAAGTCAGCTGTTAATGGGGATGAAGATGGAGCAGATAAAGTTGATCAGGTTGATGACTTGGAGCATATGATGCAAAGGATGCAAGCTATAAAAGGTGCGTCAGTTCTAAGAAATCAAAATGCAGCATCCAGATCACTGACACTATTGAATAGAGAAGAGTGAGGGCATGCCAGAAGCCGAGCGGAAGAAGTTTGCAGCAAAGGCTGTTAGCGATATGATGAAGATACTATGATATGCATCACGGCACCCTGTTTTCCATGATCATTTATTGAACTTCCTTCGACTACCGAACCAAGCCCAACCGACTCCCATATTAGAGCCGAAACTTTGCAAGCTATGGTAGCTTATACGATGGCTCGAACAGCATCCCCATCCCTATGGCGGACAGCGCACTAGCCAGAAACTTCTCCGTGACAGAATACTTATGAAGGCTTTTGTCCCAAACAGATCAAGAAAGGGAAATCCATCGTCGTTTCCGGTAATTTGCCCTCAGCTTCGACCTTCTTGGAGAATGTGTACGCGGTCTCGACCTTAACATTTTCAAACCCAGCTCTCTTGATCATTGCCTCTATATCACCCCTCTTGATCCCATGACTCTCCACGCCCTCTCTCTTTGTCGCTGGATGGAATCTTATCGCCTCACTACCAAAATCTTCATAGTCCGTCAACGCAATCCGACCTGCCGGTCTTAAAGTCTGCATCAGGATCCCTAGAACGACGGAAAGCCATGGGAGGTGATGAAGGGTCAAATGGGAAACCACGAGATCGAACCTGTACGGCACATCGTGACCAGACTCTCCTCGTCTAGTTGCAAGAGCGGCCGCAGCTCCTTGAACATGCACGTCATCTGCGTCTTGCACAAGGACGTTGACCGCAGCTAGGTTGGCGGTTTCGGGCTTAGGAAGAGCGGCGACTTTGGCGTTGAAAGCATCGATCATCCCGTCTGCGGTATCAACGCCGACAAGTGAGCGAACATGGGGTGCTAGCTTGAACGATACTAGGCCGGTGCCACAGCCGATTTCGAGGACGTCAAGGTCTGGTCTAATTGTTAGATAAAGGATTTTACTTGCTAGCAAGCTCATACCTTTAGCCTTGCCTTCAGTGAATGCCGGCACGTGATGCATAATACTTTGGACCGCTTCGTCGCAGGTATGCACATGATCTGAATTCGAATCCCATGCTGCGGCTTCAGCGCTGAATCGCTGGTTGTTAGCCTCCGTCATGGCTCGCGAATCTGTGTAGGATAGATGGGGCGAGGTCGACAGAAGGCTAGAGAGATATGGTAGTCCGAAATCGCTCTCGCTTCGTTGAAGCGGGGAAACGGAGCTTCTTCTGACCTCACCTCTTGGACATTGACTACTACCGACCCAAAAAATTCAATTCAATTGCCTACAGCATTTCTGAGATACTTCGTGAATTTATTGATGTGTGCCGAGAGCATCGCAAAGTGACGCTCTTCGAGACCTCTAAAGGTCTATTGACATGCGTACAGACTGGAGAATAGTATACTTCATGGCATTCGAGAAGCGATATAGGGGATCTCATCTTCTTCCTAATTCTCACTACTCCTTCTGATATCAGCCATCAAGGAATCGTTGTGCTGATTTCGGCGTCTTCGCGCTGAGTGTCAATCGCAACCGGTTCGATGTTCGCCCTGCTATTCTCAGTTTCCACCAGAGGCCTGCTCTCTAACGTCATGATCTCTCCAATTCTCTTCTGTACCTTGTCATTCAGCCCAGCCATGGTCTTGTCCGGGGTATCCTTTTCCCCATCGTGCAGTAAAATGTTGAAGTGGGGCCCAATCGGCTTTCTGGACTGAGGTGTGCCGTGATATATGATCACACTTGTTCTGAATCTACCATTCTGTTGGCAGAATGCATCGTGGACGACATTGATCCGCTGACTATCCAATCTTCCAAAGGAGGATTCGAAGAGGAATGCCAGATTGACTTACCCTGTTAGTTGTAATGATGATGGGGAAGTAGAACACATACCGACAAGGTCGGCTCTTGAAGGAGATCCGAATCTCGAAGGAGGTTCCGGTATCACCTCACAGCCGTCGGAGCATGTCGTCTTCGGGCAGGGGAACTTCGTGCAGGTTAGACATGACTATCGAGATGTGTGTATCTTGTTGAGTTTTTGGGGATGTGGACTGATCCCGGAGCTGGGAGCGCGGCTCTAATACTCTTCTAATGTTGCAGAAGTAGCAGAAAGAAGGCTCTAGTTATAAGCAAACTTCTCTACGCCTCAAAGAAGATTGATTGAGCGACCAGAAGTTCGGTTGTATTGCATCCATTTGTTGATGATTTCCTCTGGCAGAAATCTATGGAGACTGCGTTGAAACTGGGTAGCAAACGACTGTACATCGATGCCTCAGCACGGAAAGACCGCAGCTAGGACTCAGCTACATACTTGGAAGTAAACCCTTTCTGACAGTAACATTTCGAATTTCAGCTTCACTCGCACCCCTAACAAACCCTACTGAGTTCTAAACCCTTCTAGTTGTCGCATGAATCCACCCCCCTTCAATGATGGCAAAATGAATTAACTCGTCGAAGTCTCAGCCGACCTAGTCTCCGCTATTCCATTCAAACGTCAAACGCTCGACGTCTTCTAAGTCTACACGATTTTCAACAGCCGCACACACCGCCATGTTCACTTAGCTTTGCGTCTCTCTGCTGGACCCCGCTAACTTTGAGAGATGATACCATGAACATGCTGTGCCGCAGCGCTGGCCAGACATCGAGCCACGTCCTTGGTCGCGAAAGCATTGTCTGCGGACACTAGCTCGGTGCATTTTTTGTGAGCCATGTGAACGACGGAGGCCCGCATATAGGTAGGTTCCACTAATGAGGGAACAAAGATGGATAGACGCAGGGTCCGTCTCTGGCCCGCTAAGGAACATGACCAGGGTACTCAAGTTGACTTGTACAGTAAGCGATCAGGGAGAGAGAAGATATCGTGACTGCTTAGTGGACGACTTACAGACGAGTCTTAGCATGAATTCAGGCGATTAATTTGAGTCTGTGTTATACGCCGATAGAAGGTACGCTAACCGAACTGTCATCGAGTCTGGGTAGGGAGCTGTGGTATACTTAGGTAGTTGGGATTGCTTATCCGTTTCTTTCGTGAAAGGTTCGGCTCTGGCTGTATTTCCGGGCATCTTTGCAGTTTTGAGATGGAGAATGTGGTGTAAGTGATCTTTTGATGAGCAGCCACGAAGTTGATGTGAATGCTTGTGTTATTGGAGTACTTACGGAAAGGAAACGAGCCTATATCTGAGCTACGCAAAAAGAGAGTAATTGTCTCGTATAAAACAAGAAGCTACATTCTAGACTTGCTGGACAAGGAAAGAAAAAGACTGTTTCGAGCCAGGCACTCCGTCATCTTCTAGGATAATGACTATAACCAACCCGACATCAAACGCGTATCCTCTGTAGCGACCTGTGCACTTAAATCGATCACAGAAATAACAAACCATCCATAATGTTGGCAGTTGTATTCTTTGTTCCAAGCAATCGAAGTAGATCAAACCAATGAACTCGGCAGCGACGATGAACATACCAAATATGCTTTCCTTTGCAAGAGAGTGTGTTGCCAGCGTGAAACTGCGAGCACAGACTCTTGCAAGTATCCGTACCGCAGACCGCGCCTAAAAGCTTGAAGCCGGAAGAGTATGTTTCCCGTTCTTTCTAGGTACCTTCCCGAAACTCTCATTTCGTTTGCATGTCTCCGTCTTTTCATGCTGCACCAGACTCACCGCATTCTGCTGCTTCTGCTCTTATGCTCAAGAATAGAGCGCGCCCCATCACACGAACTCTGTAGCGTGTCCGTCTCACGACCTACCCTTCGATGTTCCAAGGCCTTCACACACTCTCTGGCAACATGGAGAGCGACCTTAGCGCTTCTGGTAAGTAGTCGCAGTCTTCCGTTAATAGTCATATTCTGATATCCGCAGTCCAATCCAGCCAATTCATGGCTCCGAGCTCCACCGTCATTGGCGAAGCAACCGTGTACCCACGAACCCACGAATGCGATGTCTGCAATGGGCTGAAAGCGCGCCCAGACCTAATAATCAGCCGCCTACTGGCCTTGATGGAGGCCGAGAGGACACTGACTAAGCTGGGGAAGATGCAACTAGCGCGTAAGAACCACTTACGTGGAGCATGGAAAAGGTGACACACTAATTCTAGAACAAGCTGTCTCGTGTGCCACCTTTTTTCATGCCCGGCGTGCCACAGTGGGAGATCTGAAACTCTATAGTAGACGTGCTGACTCTACCTTTCTTTCAGTCAATTTCCAAGTCCTCATCAAGCACGCATGGGAAGTTACCGACCCAAGCTCGATAAGCTTGATCTCGATATGTACGCCTTGCGATCGAACTTACTTCCGGATCGTACGTACGGAATGGGGCATCTTTCAGGTGCTCGTGGAAGGCGATAAAACCAGTCGGCAGCGTGCACTCCCCGAGTTACTGAGAAAGACGGAGGCCATACTCTCCAGACTGTCGCAGACACCACTTTACAATTGAGGATCAGTTAGAGGTCGGCCGGATTGGGGAAGCAGAATCGATCAAGGCGTCTGCGATAGACCTCGCCGGGTGGCACAGTGACGCTTCGGATTCTGGTAGAGATGAGAAGGCGACCAGACAGATTGATGCAGGATTCTTGCTCTAAGACGAATAGCGAGTGCGTTTCGTAGGCCTCTTTCACTATATCACCTCTTAGCTTGAGAAAACAGCCAAAGCCCATGAATAGTAGTAATCAATCTGATGAACTCACCACTTCGGTTACAGAGACCTGCCATAAGTTTGTGCACACCGGTTTGCCACTGCTTGGGGTGCCTTGAGGGGCTTTTAAGACTCGAAATCCGATGTCAAAGTCGATGCAGTAGAGATTAGCCTGCCTTTTAACTGACCGACTACCTCCTAGCCGAGGCACCCCTCACAGTGGTGTCAATTGGGCAAGATTGGAGCTGAATAATGATGAGTCTGTGTGCCCATACTGATGGCATAGTACTGTACCTCTTGACCTATTTCTTGACTTACGTGGGTGCCATGGTTCCGTTCTCCGAGGGATTCTGCGTGCACCCTGCTGACGCTGTCTGGGGTAGCCTCGCGAGCTTACGAGCTGTCCAAAATGCCGAACTTCCCTCTCATTCGGAAAGCCGAAAATACTGTAAGGCTCCTCATGCAGCGTCAAACGAATGTACGAAGATCCATGACGAGGCAATGTAAAGTGCGCAACAGATCCATTCTCGCATTCTTCGGGTATTGTACACACCCACAAACTCCCACATCGCGCCCTACACTTACGATCTCTTACACTTCTATACGCTCACAGCTTCCTCCGCCTCCCTGCCCCCCTTCCCCCTACCACAGCCTCACTAACCACATCCCTCACAACCCCAATCGGCCCCACCACCCCCGTCACTTCATCTACTGTCCCACCCATCTTCCGAATCATCTTCTCTCGCGCAGCCTGCACGCTCGGGTCCTCGTACAACAGCGACTGCGAAGGCATGTACTCCTTAGGAATCGAATCCTGCTGCCCCTGCTCTTGTTCGCCACCCTCATCCTCATCAACGGCCTGCTGGAGCTTCTCGATATCAAGTGAATTCGGTCCTGAGAAAGACGCAGAGGTGGATGGATTTGATGTCGCCGATGTCGCGCGGCCAAGGAGCCCGCGCTTGCGGCGGCGGGAGTTCGGTTCTGTAGGCTGAGCCGCGGAGGCGGCTGAAGCGGCTTGCTTCTGAGCGAGGAGGGTGATGATGACGGAATCGAGGGATTCTTGGGCCTTTGATGGTATGACGGAAGCGGGAGTTGGCTCCTGTTCTGCGGGTTCAGGTGCTAAGGTGAGCTTGGAGGAGCTATTTGTCGTGGAGTTTGAGTGGGCGGAGTGGATGGATGGTCTGCGGGGTGAATTGACTTCTGGAGCTAGTTCTTGCAGCGGCGCGGATGCGGAGGCGTCGAAGGGGAAGGTGGGGGTCTCTTCGGCGTCGTTTGATTCGTCGTGTCCTGCGGATTCGGGTGTTGGGTTGGATGCGACGAGGTCGAGGGTGTTGGCCCTTTTCATGGGCCTTTTGTCTTTGGGGGCGGGTTTGGTTGCCCCCTGTGGCTTATCCGCCGTCGACGGCTGCTTAGTCTTCCTCAGCTTTTCTTTATCCTCCTCGGATAGAGGTGCGGTGGGTTCTTCTACAAACGGGCACGGGGCCTTGTTTGCTTGAGGTGCTCGACATGCTAGTAATATATATTTGCGAAACGGAAGCTTTTCGCCAGATTCAATACAATCCCGGAGCCAACTGGTAGAAACTATTGGAATGTTGTTTTCTCTCGCGTATGTGAGTTTTTCTTTGTGGGGTGTAGGGGTGTTGGAGATCACGACCGATGTTTGTGTTGTCAGAGTTTCTTCATACGTTGCGCCTGAGCAAGGTTAGCGCGAGATCCAAAAATCAAGAAACTCTGTGGTCTTCCTACCCATGAGCCCCACAGTCTTTACCACGTGAAGCAGATCCGTTCCAGAAAAGCCTGTTGAGTTTATGACCATGCTGTCAAACCCTACGTGGATTAGTTATACCGAATTGCCGTCCCAAGGAGGCGGCGACATACCTTCAATGCCAATTATGGAGAATGGTCGGCAAAGAACGTCTGAGTGGTCTACCAATTGCTTTCTGTGTAAGCATTTCTCAACCCAGAATTCCGTCACCCTGATTAGCTTATCGGCTGGTTCCGGCGGATCCGGCACACTGGTCAACGCAAGTTCATGCGGCACGATGAGGTAGCCCTGGCTCAGATCATCGTCTGATTCTGAGTTGAGGTCCACGGATTTTCGGATCACGGCGGCACCGTGACTGCTCAGATGTTCTACGAGAATGGATGTCTAGTGGAATTAGCTAACATTGCGACACTGCATACGCTGACATACCTTGGCATCGTCAAAGGCATGGATAAACACCACGCGTCCTTGGAAAATCCTATCACGAGGTCTCAACGAAAGCCCACGTAATGGTGGAGCCATATCGGTAGTTGTTGAGCGGCCGTTCTTTGGTCCCTCGGACTGTGCCGCTGCACCGGGGTTCGCATCGACCTTCTGTACAACACGACCTCTGTCGAGAAGCAGATTATCGTGACTATCATCCACGTGGGCATTCCACTCATCGCTTTCGGTCTGCTTTCCGGAGAACCCCCCAGCGGTGATCTCTGTCCAGATGGACCCATTTTGGCCCCCCAGTCTCGAGCTGGCTGCGCGGCGTAATTTTCTTCGCGGGTTGGGATCAAGATCTGATTTTGCCAGGTCCGTATCTCGGCTTCGCTTCCCCAATGCGACGGATGCATTGGCGTTGCGGTTCCATGCGCCTCTGCCGCGCTCCTCCGGCGGCATGCGTGGATCATAATAACCTTCTTCCAAAGCCATGCCCCTCTCAACGCTCTGCTGGAGCCATTCTAGCGCTACAACTTTTATCTTCCATATCTTGGCATATTCGTACTTTTTACCACTAGCAGTAGCCGCGATGAGATGCGTGACACTCTTGGTGAGATCCCCATGGTATTCCGCGCCGTGTTGTTGGACCGTTTCCGCGATGTACTGCCTTTGGAGCACTGCTTCGTGTGAGCACATTGGCGCATTAAGACTTGCTAGGCAACTCACTCTCATCGAAGCCGGTCAAGCAGATCTTGAGGCCGTCGAAGGTGGGGACGCGGTGTTCATGCTCCAATGCTCCCACGTCGGTATCCCCTCCTTTCATCCAAGACTCGCGCACAGCCTCGAGCCATGTTGAGGTCACAACCACGACGTCGGGCCTCTCTTTGGCGACGTACTTGTATTTGGGGGTGTCGGTGCTGCCGATGAGGAGATGGGTAACGTCGGAAGTGAGGTCGTATTTGAAGGTAGCGCCCATCTGGACCGCAATCTGGGCGTATTCATCCTAGGCGTTCGGTCAGAGTTGGCTGGGAACCTGCAAGGCGGAAACAAAGCACATACTCGCTGCTCGACGGGAATTGCGGTGCTGCACAGAACAACACCTGCAAGCGGCGCCTGCGCATTGCCTGGTGAATGTTAGCGGAGGGCGAGAATTGGGGGCATGTTCAACCTACCGTGGTGTGCATCCCCGGGCATCGTGAGCTGTCATAGACGTAAGAGGGGGTGTATTGCGGGTCGGGGAGGAGTGGTCTGTGGCGCGGGATCGCGTCGCGTTGATCGTGTTGTTCTCGTCCCCACATTTCCGAGTTGTGGCTTGTTGTAGTGAAGAAGTCACGTGCCCGAGATCACGTGCAGAAAACAAGCTCTTTTCCAGGTGGCAGATCTGCATAACCTCGGAACGGCCTCCGTAGCTCGATCTCGCCGTCCGATGGCGTCTCTACTGTACCATTGACTCATTTTTCATCATGCCACCACGGCATATCTCTCGCGAAGTGGCAATTTGGAATCAGCTTCACTTTCTAGAAGCTAGGCGAAGCTACGGGTGTCGAGGTTTCCGCGGTCGAGGCTGCAATAGCATATTAGGGCGCCCAAAAGAAACTGCGAGATTCGCAGGCCAACATGCAAGACGTCTGCAAGACGTCAGCAACACTAGGGAAGACCCTTAATGCGCGTTAACCCTACGGGAGGCGTTCGTCCTAAATCGGCACCCCGGACGTGGATCTTGTCGATATCTGGCCGTCCATCTTCCCTCTTTGCCCTCTAGCCGCGACGATAGAGCTTGGAGGGGTGATCTGACAACCATGTCTTCTGCCCGCGATCATGGGGATCAGTAGCAGTCGCAGGCGTGAGACTTTAGTGCCATGTGCCTGTCTGTATCTCTTGCATATGAAGATAGCAGCACTGCACATGACCGGACCCCGCGGGAGGATTTGATGCCCTCGGGACCCGTCTATGCATCCACTTCCCCGGCCTCTTCCAGATATCTGCCCCTCCATGGGCCGAGTGTGGCTCAGGCGTCCTCGTCAGCTCTGTGCCGGCACTGCTCGGCCGCGCTCGTCGTGCGTGAGGCAGCCGACCGTGTCCGAGTGGACGCTGCTGCACGGAGTAGTCCCGCGCAGCACTAAGCATGCTACAAAGGGTACCCGCCGCAGAACTTGGATACGACGCCCACTGTTCGCCACAGGAATATGTAATGCCTCATAGTGATGGAAAAGTGGTGCAGCCATTGTGTCGCCTCTTAATGGCCGAAACAGTCGTGCCTTCTCTCCACTCACAACGATCCCCAGTCATATGTAGGCAATGCCTCACAGGATCAGAAAAGCCTGCACTGCTGGTGTGCCGACTATTCCGGACCGAATGTTTTTTTGGCCTGCCCTGCTGCGGTCAGTTCATCGCAGTGGGCCGCATCCATGCCAACGGCCGCTCGCTCGTGACATCATTGGCGCTGCGGGCGCTGAGTGGCCCACGGCGCTGCTGACTACGGATGCTTGATATCCCCGCGCGCAAGACAGTGCAGCCCTAGCAGTGTTTGACTTCTCTTGGGCGCTTCTGTTTCGTCCACCGCGCCCTCGCGGCCACTGACAGGCACGCTGCCACTTGCCGGATCGCCCAGCGCTCGCCGCGTCATCCGGCACTGCCCTGTCCACTCGCCGTGCGAGTTGCTCCATTCGCGTCCCTGACTTCCGCCCATCCTGGCCGTGATAGCTTCTGCCTGGCCGGACTTCCTCAACCCTCATGTAGGATCGCCGTGGTCATCCTTATTAACCTGCTTTGAGCCAGGCGGCATATGCCCTAAGGTGCTGTTGTTTCTGCCAGCACACCACGTCCTCCACTCCCACCGCATCCTTCCGTCCCAAGTCCTGTCATCCTTGACCGCTCCACGTAGAGTGCCCTGGCATGTGCTTTGACTCCTCGAATGACGGCCATGCTCGTGCCTAATACACCATACTGACGTTCCTGTAAGTTGCTGGCTCATTTCCGCTCACCTGTTCGCCTTTGTTCCCGCCGCAGTCGAGCCGTGGTCGACAACCCAATGCGCTGCGCTGGGATGATGGATGCATCTGCCCGTCTGCGACACCCCTTTGTCTAGTTCGCATGACTATCGTCACACAAAGCCTTTTGTCCCCTTGTCTACATGTCTTTGCGAGTGCGCGCCTGTCTGCTTGAAGCCTGCTGCGTTCTGCTCGTTCGATTGCCGTCAAGTCGAATCCACGCTTACCGGCCCAATTCGTTATGACAGGATATCTCCCAGTTTACTCCGAGCGTGGACGACTGTCCTACATCCCGGATAACTTATATCAACCGCCCGGCGCTCCCTTAGGTCTCTTTCAACCCCGTAGCCGAAGACCCCACCGAATCCACATCGCTCACGTCCCCCCCGAGTACACCATCTACCTCAACAAGCAGAAAAAGCAACGCACCGTTCGCCGCAGAACCATCCTCATCGAAAAGCTGGCGGGACCACGAGAAAACGCGAAACGATTTCTGAGGTCCTTCATAGCCTCACCAATCCACTCCGACGCACAGTCCGACCACTCCTCACACCGATCGTCGATAGCTAGTGACATTTCAGGCGCGACGACTCCCAGTCGGAGGTGGTCGCAGACGGATACCATGCGGACAAATTCGCGGGACGTGGTTGGTGGTCCTGTGAGCGGGATCATCAACCGACCGCATCTAGTCGAGTCGGTTCGCACCAACTCAGGCCGTCCTGCAAAGAGCACTACGAGCAGTGTCGTCCGCGCAGTACCTGAAGAGAAGCCCCTTGCATCGGGAAATGGCATCAACGTGTCGGTCTCCCTCGCTGAACCAGTACTCTTCCTTCAGGGATTCGAGCACTCGGAGCACTCGGAACGAAGTACCGCTATGCTGAGGGGAAGCCTGCGTTTAAATGTCACAAAACAGTCCAAGATAAAGGCCGTTACACTGAAATTTCGCGGTAAAGCTGTCACGAAGTGGCCCGAGGGTATGTTCTCGAAGTTCGCCCATTTGCCAAACTGACGTCTGCTAGGCATTCCTCCCAAGAAAACCGAGTTTGAAGAAATAGACACCATTATGAGCCACACGTGGCCGTTTTTCAACGCACAATTTCCAACCGCGGAGGCCAACACGGGTGCAGATCACGTTGAGATCTACAAAAGCTCCAACGGCTCGAATTCCACGCTTCCTGTCATTCCCAAAGGAAGAGGCTCTCTCGATGTCTTTGGAAGGGATTCGCATAACGCGTCATCCACGAATCTAACCTCGCGGGAGGCTAAGCGACTTTCACTGCAAGTTAACCAATCAAGAAGTTTCGGCAAGGCTGAAAGCTCGACCAACGGTCCTTCAGTGGCACAAAAGGGCTACAGAGTCTTCAATGCGGGCGACTATGTGTACAACTTCGAACTTCCACTGGATAGTCACCTGCCAGAGACAATCGATGTTGAGCTGGGCTCTGTCAAGTATGAGCTAGAGGCCACGGTCGAACGCGCGGGTGCTTTTCGTGCCAATCTCGTCGGCAATAAAGAAGTCACCTTAATCCGAGCACCATCCGAAGGATCACTCGAGCAGGTTGAACCCATCGCCATCAGCCGAAGCTGGGAAGACCAACTGCATTACGACATCGTGATCTCTGGCAAATCGTTCCCGCTAGGGTCACAGATTCCAATAGCCTTCAAGCTTACTCCACTCGCTAAAGTGCAATGCCACAGGATCAAAGTATTTGTGACGGAGAACATCGAATACTTCTGCTCGAACAAGCGAGTGCATCGGATGGAACCAACTCGCAAAGTGCAGCTATTCGAGAAGCGTGCGGATGGGCCGCCTACGAGTGCATTTCCAGGAAGCACAATGAGAGTGATTTCTGGAGGCGGTGTGCCGTATGCCCAACGGGCAGCAGCGTCGAGAGGGGAAACTTTTGCTCCGCAAGATCCGGGCAATCTTCTCGGCGATCTCAGCTCGCCTGAGCTGGGCATCGGGCCGACTGAAATGGAGTTCAACGTGCAGCTACCCAGTTGCTCGAACCTCCGGGAAAAGGAAAAGCTGTGTAAACTGCACTTTGATACGACATATCAAAACATACAGGTGCACCACTGGATCAAGGTAAGCTGATGCTGAATGAGTCATAAGCGAGCGCTGGCACTAATGATTTGTAATCACAGATTGTGATGCGCCTCTCCAAGCCTGATACTACGGATCCAACAGGCAAGAAACGCCGTCATTTCGAGATATCGATTGACTCACCCTTCCACATTCTTTCTTGCCGAGCGACACAAGCAAACACGGCATTGCCGGCTTATTCGTCACCCGAAACGGCAGAAGACGAGACTCGGATGCCCGAGTGTGGATGTCCTGGAGCGACCACTCGGCGCACATCCCCGACTTCGTTCGTTCCAACCCTCAACTCGTTGAATCAATCACGAGGAAACAATAGTGCAGCACTTGATCCGATATCCCCGGATCTTGCACGGCCACAGCAAGCTCATATCGGCGGGCCAATTGACAGCAGCTTGCAACGACCGATCCACTTGATGCGGGTTCCCTCGTTCAATCCGCCCGCATTCGAAGATGGGGACCCGCCTCCACCGCTGGAGACACCTCCGCCGGAGTACGACAGCATTGCATCGCCTACAAATGGACTTGCAGACTACTTCTCGCGTCTATCGGACGCGTACGACGAAGACAGCGAAGGCGAGATTGGCGGGAGCAGGTCGCGCGTAGAGATTCCATTGACGCCGGGCAGTCGTGTGAATAGGAGCATGGACGAGCGCAGGACGTGGCTGCCAGTCGGGCACTGAGCAGCACAGCTGGAAATAGTACAAAAGCAAGGAACATAACGAACGTGATGACAGCATGTGAAATGAAGAGCTAGTGTTTTCTTGATGACGAAGGGGGGATAAAGAAGAAGGGTATGCTGGACGGCGAAATAAGGATTGGGCAGCACGACAGGGTTACGTTTTGCATCAGCATGGGCTCGAGTCGGCGGCGGCGTTTTTTACTGGGCGGGCCCGCGAGAGGCTCTGGCGCTGGTGTCTTGGATTTTGTTTTCTCAAGACTGGGGACTACTGGGATGGTTGGTGTTGAAAATAAGGGCTAGCCTCGTACACGTTGTACACTTCCTGGACATATACTCAGCTGCGACTTGCATATCTAGGGGCTGTCATAGTATCCAGATATATATCTGGCATTTTTCTTGATTTCGACAGACGGCTCTGTGCGTGGTTGACTCGTGAAGGTCTCGCCAGGCGTTGTTTGTGCAACTCTCGCCATGTTTTCGCTGGACGAAATAGACTTTTTGATGCATGTCGTGGCTGCAAGGCGCATAGCACATGATCTGGACGGTGAGGCTCCACGTCTCCACGTCTCCACGCAGCTGGACGCTGGCTGTTGCACACCCCACCTGGGCACGCTCCACGCGAGGACGTTCGTTCGCTGCGGCGCGTGGTGGCTGCGCGGAAGGAAGCCAGAGGCGCACTAGGCTTTTTCTCACTTCCACCAGAGCATACCCTTGTTTGTCGGCCCGATGGTGAGTGTTGACGGGGAGGATGGATACGAGGTGCGGCAGTGTCTCGGGAGATGGGGATTATGAAGCATCTCGTTATCTGCACGTCGACGATAAGTACGTACATACGGCTATCATGGCCTCGTCGTCTGCCCCGCACTGCGCCTGTCCAGAGGTTTCTCGGCTCGCCGTGCTATTTGCGTCGGACGTGTTGGCGGCTCGGCGTGGCCCCAGCAGAAAAACATCGAGCCGTGCCATTGGCGACGCGAGCGCCCGCCCCGGGCGAGTCACGTAGGCTAAGGCGCGTGCCAAGCAGCGACGGCGGACTGTGAAAGTATGAAACCGAGCAGATCCCCAACACGTCAACCACGACTGCTGTACCACAGACCCGCTGCGGCGAACTGCTGCTGAAGACGGAATATACACGCTGAAGCGGCTCTGTTGTCGCGGAATTGGCGCAATTGGCGGCGAAAGCGCGGTTGCAAGACGCCTCTGATCCTTGGTACGGCTCCATCTCCAGCTCAGAGCGGCATCCCGCCCTCTTTTCGCGCGCCGCATCTTATCGGTCCCAAGCCTCCAAGACTCAGCTAAGACGACGTTAACTCGCGCCCCCAGTACGAAGAGTCTTCCGACAGCCTTCCCGTCGCCCTCCGCTATACCAGACCCATCACCCGGCGTGCCAGACGCTCCTTGAACAGCACCTCTGGGCATCCACGTCCCCCCGCACCCACTGCTCCTCCCCAACCTCACAATACCACCTACCACAGCCTCTACGGCTAAAGGAGCGGCGACTGGGCGCATCCTCTGAATACATGCAGCGAACCCCGAACTACACGCATCTGTCACCCGCCGTCGTCTTTGGCACACAGGATCCCGAGCCTCTGCTGCCCACATAGCCCTCCCACGTTGCGCGAACCCGCGCGTCCTTCGCTCGAACAAACCATATCTGCACAATACGTACAAAAGAAAACAAAATGGCGTGGGACCACCTCTCCATCACCAAGGCCCACCTGGTCTACATCATCCTGGGCGGCTTCACGAGCCTGTTCATGCTGTGCTCCTCCGTTATCAAAGAGCGTCTCTACATCGGCGAAGCCACTGTAGCGACCATCTGCGGCATCATCTTTGGCCCACACGCCGCTAACCTCATAAATCCACTGGACTGGGGCAATACGGATCTGATCACTGTAGAGTTCTCGCGCATTGTCCTTGTCGTGCAGTGTTTCGCCGTCGGTGTCGAATTGCCAAAATCATACATGGAAAAGCACTGGAAGTCGGTCACGCTGCTCTTGATCCCCGTTATGACCTTTGGCTGGCTAATAACCAGTCTGTTCGTGTGGTGGATGTTTGGCTCGCATCTGGACTGGCTGGACAGTCTGACAGTCGCCGCGTGTGTGACCGCCACGGATCCCGTCCTGGCCTCCTCCGTCGTGGGAAAAGGAAAATTCGCAAAGCGAGTGCCAAAGCATTTGCGAGACTTGCTGTCCGCTGAGTCCGGATGCAACGACGGCATGGCATTTCCTTTCATTTACCTGGCCTTATATCTCATCCGGTACCGCCCGGATGCTAACAAAGTCTCCTTCCACTGGTTCTGCTATACCATCCTCTACGAGTGCGTTTTTGGTTGCTTCTACGGCGTCATGGTTGGCTATCTTGCCCGTCGAGCAATTCGCTTGGCCCACGAAAGGGACCTCATTGATCGAGAAAGCTTCCTTGTGTTCTACTTCGTTCTCGCTCTGTTCTGCGCTGGCTCAGGCAGTCTCCTGGGAATGGACGACCTGCTCGTTGGTTTTGCATGTGGTGTGGGATTTTCAAACGATGGATGGTTTCTCGAGAAAACGGAAGAATCGCACGTTTCCAACGTTATTGATTTGCTGATCAATCTGGCCTTTTTCGTCTATTTCGGCACTATCATTCCTTGGGAACAGTACAACTCTCCCATCATTGGTACCTCCCCGTGGCGCCTTGTCGTCCTTGGCCTTCTGGTACTCTTCTTCCGCCGCGTACCTATCATGCTTGTCCTGAAACCAATCATCCCGGACATTAAGACATGGCGTGAAGCGCTGTTCGCCGGGCATTTCGGCCCCATTGGAGTCGGTGCTATTTTCGTGGCCATCATGGCAAGAGCGGAACTGGAAACCGAATCAACCACGCCTCTAGCTGTGCTACCAGAGGCTGGATTCGAGCATAGGAACATCCTCGAGCTGATATGGCCAATCACCACGTTCTTGGTCATCGTCAGCATTATCGTCCATGGCAGTTCGATTGCCGTGTTCACGCTTGGCAAGCATATCAACACCCTCACGCTCACCCTATCATACACGCAAGCTAATGATGACGGACCGGGTTGGATGGATCGTCTTCCCCGCATTCAGTCACGCTCCAAGTCTTCCATGTCACTTCGCAGACCTTCTGATTCCGACTTCGACGAGAAAGCAGACGCTTCTGGCCCCGGCCTACTCCCGCTCAGCACTGCGGGGCAGTTTCTTCGCCGCCAGAAAGAAGACGAGCCTTCGAGCAGAGCAAGCTCCCTGCGTCCGTCAGTTCGCCGGAGGAAGTGGGATCAAGGTCTTGGTCCTGGAGGACCTGTATCTCAATCAGCCATTAGGCCACAAAGGTTTGACCGAAACCAAGATGTGCCCGAGCTATCTCAACGAGATTCTGATACTCTTGCTATAAACAGCGACGAGAACGTGGAATCCGGTGAGAGTTCGCTCACGAAGGAAAAGCGTGCCCGTTCAGGCTCCCCCGAGGAGGAAATCTATGAAGAAGGTGACAAGACCGTCATCGAAGACGAAGAAGGAAACGTGCTAGGTGTCAAAGATAGCCATGGCGAAGAGGGAGCAGAACGTCAACGCCACGACCAGCAAGCTGCGCGTCGTCTTGGACGCGAGAAACGCGTCGAGGATGGTGTCGCACAGACCGAGCACGGTAGTGCACTAGAAGAAGCGCCCGGTAAAGCGGTAGAGGGTATCAAGGAGGGTATTGAACACCCAGCAAAGGGATGGAAAGACATGCGCAAGCGAATGGAGTCCTTCTCCGGTATTTCAGGACTCCGTCCTCAGACTGGCGAGCCTCAACAACCTCCCAAGGCGCACAAGCCTGCCCCAAAGCGCGGTCCCGCTCTCGCATACCAATTCGGCAACACCATCATCGTGGAAGACGAGGACGGCGAGGTCCTAAAGAAGTACGACATCCCTGGACCCGCGAAACCAAAAGCACCAGACGCCGGACGGACGCTCCAACGCCTCAAGAATATGGGATCCTATCTCGGCATGCCCGCCAAGACGGCCAGTGAAGCTGCAGAGGGCGTAGCAGGCGCCTCGGGCAGTCAAGAACAGAAGCACACCAACGAAGATGACGACGACAACATCCGCTTCACCGTCACCGCCGGCGGCCGCCGCATGAGCAAGCTCGAATTCATCCAACAGATCCAGAAAATGGACCCCAAGTCGCGCGCCCAGCTCGTCGAGAACAGCGACGCGCCCGAGGATGTCAAGCGCGAGGCCCGCCAGGACGCCAAAGAAGCAGCCGCTGGCCGCAAACGTGCGACTACAGGAGGGTCAGCGAAGATCCCACCGACCGTCGGCGAGCACCACGACTCGATGCCGCAGATCATCCAGACCCAGTCGCCCTCTGACACGCGCAAGAAGGGGCCAGAGGGCCACATCCTCGTCGACTCGGACGACTCGGACGTGCCCTTCCACCCCGTGGGCAAGAGCCTGGCCGAATACTCCATGGACCAGCCGCACCGCGAGACTGGCGCGCAGAGGAGACGTCGCGTCGCTGCCTACCCCTTCCTGCACTCGCCAGCCTCCGCCGACGACAACGACGACGAAGCTGATGACGAGGAAGCGAAGGAGACGCCGGCGGAAAGAAGGCGGAGGCTTGCGGCGCTCGGGCCTGCGGACTCTGGCAACCGCGAGAGGGAACGCGAACAAGATCGTGACGAATCCCCCTTCGCCCCTGCCTCCAACGCGCAAAGCCTCTCGGATATCGACCCTACGGCGATCTCTAATGCTCCGAAGAGCCATATGGACGTCGGCGAGACGGCTGCTGAACGACGACGCCGTCTCGGCGCGCTGGGCATGGGCGAGCAGGGCGACTCTGACTCCGAGAGCGGAGAGGAAGAGGTCGGTGATCCGCTCGCGACTAGGAGGGGCGAGAGCGCGGGCAAGGGAGCGGCGATGACCACCGCGGCGCAGAGGGCGCCTGGGATCAGATTTGCGGAGTTGCCAGAGGGCGGAAGTGTGAGTAGGGGACTGGCCACGCCGGCGGGGAGTCGGCCCGTGAGCGCGAGCGGAAGTCAGATGCAGAATCCCACCGAGGGGAGTGGTGGGGGGAAGGAGGGGGCAGTGGGAGGGGGCTCGAAGGGGGTGAGTGGGCGGTTGAGATGGGGGAAGGATGTAGGGAGGAAGGTGGCGGGGAAGAGGTAATTTATCTTGGGGACATATGGGCGTTATTTTGGCATGGGATTTCGAGACACGAGGCATGGTTTATTCGGTGGCATGGGTTTTAGAGAGGAAGATGTTGGGGGGATTTTGGGATGCATGAGCGAGGTGAGGCTGAGGTTTGCATGGGTTGGGAGTTTAGATGAAAGTAGGTTATTGAACTTTATCTGAGGTCGCTGTAAATGTCTACTCTACGCCGGTTCGCGTTTTCTTGGATCTGTGCTTGCGCTTTCGTTTCTTCCTCCCTCCCTCTCTTTTCTCCAAGGCTTGGGTGGGCGCTTTATTTCTCGCGATGGAGAGTTGATTGTGATGAAGCTGGGGTGTCGCGAGAATGGGGTGTAACGGTGTATCATTTTGTCTTATCTGTCAACGAAGAAGAAAATGTTTTTTTATAAAACAGGTGGGACGATGGGCAATCTTGTAAAGGAGCAGCGTCGATGGCTTGTGAAGAGGCGGAAGCGCGCATGGTGCCGGCCCGAGAATGAGCTATGACGCCGCGTCGATGTTCCGAGAATGAGTGGAAGTGGAGGAGTGGTTGTTTCTCGCAAAGCTCGTCGGATGTGAGGGGAGGAGAGATGGAAAGGGTGCGAGGAGCGGTGGTACTCTTGTCTCAGGGGTTGCGTCGTTAGTCACGTGCTTCTCATCCTACGGCTTACGGTGAATTCGAAGATTCAAACTTTTGCAAACCCGTTTTCAAACTTTTGCAGACTCATTTCTAAACTTTTGCAGCCTCATTTTCAGAGTTTTGCAGACGAGTTTTAAACTTCCGCAGACACATTTTCAAATGTTTGCAAACTCGTTTTTAGACTCATATGCTTTTGCAGATCCATTTTCATTTTGAAATCTTTGCAGATACGTCTTCCCATTGAGACAGTGACGGAGGCATGATGAAGGAGGACGGCGATGGGATAGTGAGGCAGTACGATAGCGCGCAGGTGAGCCTAGGACGCTGAGAGCGCAGACGGACACATGGCGGGGTTGGCGTTGGACAGCGCTCTTGTATCGCACTTAGGGCAACGAGCCTGTATCGCAATTGAGCACATAGCAGTTCTTTTTGCCACCGTGAGGTCCGGGTTGGGCGTTTTTGCATTTGATGGGGGCCTGTGTGAGTTCATTCGTTAATAACTGTGAACGAAAAATGAAGAAACACAGGGAGGCTTCAAGGTGCGTTATCCGGAAGAAGAACAGTACAACAGGTAGTGAAGTAACGTCAACCTTTTTCTCCCACATCTCATGCCTATCTATAATACCGGCGTCGCGTAACTTGATAATGTGAAGCTCTAGTCCTTGACGACGAACTCAGGTGGCCTTTCCCAGGAACAAACGGGTCACCACAGACATTGGCTACGAAATGAAAGCAAGAAATAACGACGCAAACAACACATATAGTAAGATCAAAAGGCAGACAATCTTAACCAACGCCAATAATTCCTCCCCTAAACACGCCTTCAACCGATCCGCCAGCCCATTCCTCTCCACCACCACCGGAATATTCCTCTTGAACAACTTCGCCGTCAGCTCCACCCGATCCGCCTTCGCCAGCAGATTCCCAATAGACTTCTCGACTTTTTCGCGGAGCCCCTGCACTGCGTTATCTGCGTCGTCAACCTTGTGCCTGTAAATCAGCATGCCGAGCCCGCGCGCGCCCTCCCCCCCTCTCGTCTTGCCGCCAGCCTGGACGACGGCGGTGCGCCATCGCCCATCCGAGCCCATGTCTTGGGAGGTTATGATGTAGAGGCTGGACGGGGGGGTGTTGCTCCATACGTATTCAGCTAGAAAGCCGAGGTTGACTGAACATTGAGTCGTTAGTACTCTGGCATAAAACATCAAAACTCAGAAGCGGCGCATTGAATCTGAGCTGAGTCCTGGAATAATTGAGGACGCACCGACTAGCTCGTGCCTTGCCGTGGCGTCTAAATTATGGCATTCTTTTGCTAGTAGCTTGTCAAACCGCGTCAGAACGGCAGACCCTGCGAACTCGGTGCTGAACGGCTGTTTCTTGTCGGATTTGGAGCTCGACACTCCGAGGATATTGGGGATGAGTTGAGAGAATCCAGGGGAAGTAGGAGGACTGCGTTTGGGTGCAGGGGTGCTGGCAAAGACGGGGACTTGGCCTTGGAACGTGCCGGCATGAGAATGGGGTCGGTGAGCTTGGGGTGGCATTGTGAATATGACGCGTACCTATGTTGTCTAGGGGTTCCGGTTGGATTTTGTTTGAGATAGGTGGGAAGCTGACTCGGGGTGTGGTTTGTGTTAATGGTGGGCAACAAAGAGAGGCTTGAGACACCGCATTGAGTTAGAAAGCTGGAAGAAGCTTGGCATGGACTCTTGAGGGTTTGACAGGAACGAAATGGAGAATGACAAGGACGATTGCGAAATGGTGAGATTAATACTGAGGGGAGAGTAGTTTTAGCTGATCGGATGAGTTGTACGAGTTTGAATATGACGTCTTCCTGGGTATCTATCAGCGAAATGAAATGTAGGCCTGCAGAGAAGCTTCTCGTTACTCTTTCATTGCCTAGTTTACTCATCTCCATCAGTGAAGTTCTGTGAAACAGTTTCTGAACGATCAGTCCCTATCATGATATGAATACTCTCGCCTTTCGTAATTAGTAGTGATTACTACCACGAGCGCAGAAGAGTCGGATAGAAGAATTCCCTATGAGCGGGATCATGACCACTTCTTAGAGTTGATTTCCTAGGATATGAACCTGAGCAATCGCAACTTATCTCAATCGAGTCGACTCAGACCAGCGAGGCGACTCAAAGTGTAAGTTCTAAATCCTTTGGCACAACTACCGTCGGCCCATTCACCCATGTCTCGTCCCTCTCTTCTTCAATATCTTTATCCAACGTCGGCCTCTCCGGCACCAAAAACGTTACCCACGTAGTCGTCGGGATAGCCGCCACAAACAACACAAATGCCACAATCAGATTCGTCATCGGCTTGATCTTCAACGCACCAACGCCGTTTGCTAGACACGAACCCACAGACTCGATAGAGCGCAGAATACTCACCGTCAGCGTGAGCGTCTTGACATCTTGATCGAAGCTACCGATGAGCCAGTATACGAACATGTAGTGGGATTCGTTCATGAATCGGAAGAGCACGTTGACCGCGAAACCGCGACCGAAGCCTGGAAGAGCCCAATCTAGCGTCACTTTCGTGGGTGAGTTTTCATAGAGGTGTTCGTTGGAGACTTGCCATCCGAAGAGGGCAAGTAGGATCACGACGAAGAAACCCCAGACTATTTTTGCGAGGGTAGGACGCTTGAAGTATCTTAGGTCGAAGAACCAACCCCAGAAGACGTTTGCAGCGGTCGCCGCAACACCGGAAGTAAGGGCGCCAAGTGCCCTCGAACGGACGGAGAAGTATTTTGTGAGGTAAATTCCTTGATACGTTCCATTCCAAATGCCGACGATGCAGATAGGGATGAGGAGAAGTATCCTCTTGGTCCTGAAAAGGACGCCAATTTTGCGGATCTCGCCGAGGAAGTTCTTCGTTTTGGTGGGATCGGGTATTCCAGTCCCGTCAGAGCGGATGATTTTGTGTGGAGGAGAAATCAGGAGTGCGAGTGGGAGGCCGAGACATTGGAGGGAGATGAGTACGAGGTAGGTCGTGTAGCCTACTTTCCCGCGTTTGTTTTGCTTCACGTTCATGGAGAGTTGAATGGAGGAGCCGATGAGCTGGCCCAACTCGCGGAGGCCTAGCCATATTCCCGCTATAGACAGCGTTATTAGTATTTTACTCGTTATGGGAGTTGAACAAGACTTACTTCCTTTGCCTCTGTCCTCTGGATGAGGGTATCCAAGCGCCACCGCGCCCTCAGTGGCCCATAAGGCCGATGCGCCAACGCCGCACGTGGCAGCGCCTAGCCATACAAACCACTGATTGCCATAGCGATTGTTCACATAAAGTGAAGCAGAGTATGGCGCGTAGCCCAACGTCCCAATGATGAGGATAGGCTTGAGGCCGTATATGTTTGCCAGAGCCCCGAAGATCACAGTACCGAAGACCATAATTCTGCAATACTCGTAAGCTGGTCGCCAGTTTTACACGGGGGCTTTTGTATTCGACCTACCCAAACGTGATCGCGTTCGCTCCGTTTACGAGGTATGGCTCTTGTTGGCCTCCAGCTCCGGTGTCTGGTCCTGTGAGCTACGTCTTGATAGGATCGGGTTTGGTCATACTATTGAGAGCGTTCCATATTCCAGGCTGCGTGAAAGATATCAATCCAACAACGATAACACTGAACCAAGGACCTCGGTATATTCTTGTGAATTTGGAAGTCGGCCGGCGGATTGGGACTTCGGATGTATCGCTGTTGCCGCTGGACTCCAGGGCATTTTGTCCTTTGAGAGAAGACGACATCGTACCAGAATCCCGGAACCTAATTCAAAGAGAGACTAAAACAGCCAAATTGAACTTAGACAGAATTTCCACGTTAAAGATCTGCGGTTTTCGCCATAAAAAATGCTTGGGTGCTGGGTATATTTTATACATCTTACCCAATTAGTATTCGCATTGTGCCCCACTGTAGTCGTGCTCGTGCAGCTCCAGTCTTTTGGAAAATGTTTTCGCTCCATGTCAGTTGATAACGTCGGCGGCCTTCTGCTTTGTATCTAGCACACCGGAGTAAGTGTGAAAAGGTAAAACGCTCAGTCGTACGTGGAGTTGAGTGCATTCCAAGCAAGTCGGGCTGACAAAGTAATTGCGTGCTGTCTAGAGTGCATGACGATCATCACATCGCGGGCTGTCACGCGAAGTTCAGCCATAGGTTTCGTTAATCCGACGTAGCTCATAGAAATAACTCAAAGCTTGATGAGATTTCTGCGAAAATAAAGAAATTAGACCCCACTATGGCAGCGCAAGTCCAGCCGCCCTTGGCAGCATCAGCTTCCCTGGCGTAAGATGAATTGCATACTTGGAAAGAAGACGCCTCGTCTAAGAGAGTACCATACGTACCATCAATCCATCTCCCACCACCCTTCCCCGCAGATACCGAGTTTCCTTTGGCTCTTTCGCCGACAGCCGCAAATATCCCTCTTTCCGAGCTCGTCGCTTCGATACGGCAATTTTCGTCTTCAGGATCGATCAGGCGTCTTCTGAACGCACACGGCGCAATATACTTCTAAGACCTGCGCCTCAAGTCCCCGGATGAGTTCTCTCAGTTTGCGCATGCCTTCGGTTGGCCTGCTCACGAAGATATCGGCAATCCAGTTCGGAGGACTATCCACGCTCCAAATGTTGCTACTGCAAATGAGGGCCCGAATACGCAACCGGTGTATCCGCATAACGAGTTCGGGCTCAGCCCGCACTATCCGCAGTACGTGTTCTTCTTCTGCATGTCGGCGCCGGAGACGGGTGGAGAAACGCCGATCAACCACTCGGTGATCCTTCATGAGCGTTTAAAGGAACGAGTACCGGGTTTCATCGAAGTGCTTGAGAAGAAGGGCGTGAAGTATCAGCTCTTCTACCCCAACCGACCACGCGACGACGTCTCCTCTTCCGGAACATCTATTCTCCAATCCTACGGCATTCGTGTGCTCGACACCGACACCGTGGACGAAGCGCGCGAGAAGGTCGAAGCGGAAATCCGTCGTCTCCCAACAGCCTTCTGGGTATGGGAGAACCAGTCCGAAACTAATCCCTTGGGCGATCTCCGAGTATGGCAAACGCTCCCTGCTTTGCGCCGACACGAACAGTCAGGACAGATAGCCTTCTTCAACAACGCAGTATCCAGGTACTTGAATGCAAAGGGGAGAGGGACGTTAAGAGCTCCGCATGTTGACAGTAAGGGAATGTATTTCCCGCCCTGCTTTTACAGCGATGGAGAGCTGATTCCGGACCAATTTCTGGAGACAGCTGTAGAGATTATTGACGAGATCAAGGCAAAGGTGGCTTGGCAGACGGGAGATGTTCTGCTTCTCGACAATCATCAAGTGCAGCATGCTAGAGAACCATGGACGGGGAGCCGAAAGCTACTAGCTAGCTTGTGGGATTGATATCGCGTTGGAATAGCGCCTCGCGGAAAGGTTGTGGATCAGCAGCGAGAAGGATAATTAAGTCTTATAAGTCCAAACCATATAGAAGCGCTGCCTGAAAACATTTGAAAACGGATCAGTCAAGCTTCTGGAATAGATGGAGCTGATATCTCATGTTCTCCAACTCGATGGGATACTTCAACCCCTGCGGTAATCTGAACCATCGTGATTCGTCGCTCTCCAGTTTCTCCCATGATGCCGGGTCCTCCAGAGCAGCTTTTCGTAGCAGCGTATGATCTAGGAGCCATTGCATCGGATAATTTTTCTCGCTCCCATTCAACGATATTGTCGAGTAACTCCCCGGGCTGTCAACGACAAGGAGGTAAGCTCCTTTCTTGATGCACGCTGTCATTTTCAGTAGCAATGCTTGCGTCTTAGAAAGAGACGTCGAGTAGAGCTCGTTGAGGGTGAACATCAGGGTGACGAGGTTTGCGTCTTGAAGGAGAATGGACAGCGCGGGGACATCGAGGTCGAGAAGATCCTGTTGATGGCTAGTCACGTGGAAAGACGAGGTCTCGAGTAAAGGTTTGTTTGCAGTTTTGGCGGCTGCAGAGGCATATTTGTATATCGGAGGTGTGGAAAGCATGCTGGTGTAGAGGGAGTCTGCCACCGGGCCCCAATTGGCTATGTCCACACAGTGGACATCAAAGTTCATTACCCTCGGGCGATTGGAGGCTTCGGTTGTCTGGTCTGGTAAAGCAGAACCAACTCTCACGCCGCTCTGTCGGCTCAAAAAATCTAAGAAACCGCCGAGGGCGGTGACTTCGGCGCCGCCTCCGCCACCAAAACATACGGCTTTATAGGAAGCCCTTGAATCCCCACCGTCGTGCTTATTGGATTTGAAGGCGTGTTTGGAAATGTATTCGAAGATTTCGAGGTAGCCCAAGGCTCTCGATGAACTCCAGCGCGCTGCGTACACTTCGAGATAATCCTGTCTTCCAAACGCCTGGGCGAAGTCCCGGTTGAATAGATGTTGCTTCACTTCTTGCAGCAAGGGCGCGAAGTCAGACTCAAGCAACTGCGCAAAGGAATTCTTGAAGATGTTGAGAAGCAACTGTAGTAGTTCGAATGGAATTGGGCCCTCGTAGTCTTTCACTGGCGGTGCGACGTTGACGGCCTTTTTGGAGGCCTGTTTCTTCTTGTCGGGTTTCTTCCGTTCCACGTTCGAGGAGTCTCTCCAGGCTAGGTTTCCCTTTGGTCGCCCCATATTGATAGGGAGGTTGATGGAAGCTGCGTGTATTTTCAGGTGCAGAGCGAGCGGAAGTTTCTGTCTGTGGCCGGTACAAGATGTACTGTGAAAAGCTCTAAAATAGCTCTAACCCTAGCGAGCTTAGCTTTCCGGTCGGCTCAACCTCCAACTCATCTCTGCTCAGCATGCCAGCTATCATTCCATCTCTCGACACAGTTGACAAGGTTTCAAGAACCTGCCCGCCTCATATCTAGCTCTGCGCTCTTGCTCCCGACGGCGCCACCATGCTGAGGGCTGACTCGGTCGCAAAACCTATCAATCCCGCAACAAGCCAGCTTCAAAGCCCCTAAGTCTTGGCCGGACAGAAGTTACATTTCGCAGTTTTCTGGAAGACACTGAAATACCAAGCTGCGCTGTCGAGCGCCCTCGCACTGCCGACTGATCGCAGACTTGGCGGCCCAGCCTGATCATGGTACTAACGCCTCCGCATGAAGCGGGAATCTCGGGGATTTCGGCGGGAGGGGGTGAACTGTTGCTTCCTCAAGCATCTAGCAGTCAAAAATGCGGGTGCCGAAAGCTTTGAACCTTTGCCGTCAGCTGCAGAACCGCGGCATTGGGCTACCAGAGCTCAGTACACGGCATCTCAATAAACTCATCGCTCCTCTCGCTTCTCAGGCTGTACCTACTCTCAAGACCTAGGGATTGCACCATGTATCTTCGTTGTGCCTCGTAACCGTCTTCATTCAAGCGGGATGTTCAATGAGATGCACACCCGAAGCCTTCGACCTGCATTCGATCACGTCAATGAAGCTAAGCAACGCAGTTAGAGCTTGCTTCCACGTACAAATCCTTCCCATTGGCCAGACTGCAAATGCTTTGAATCAGACGTCTTGGCCTTTGATTCTTTGGCTGTTTGCGGGACAGGGATTATATTGGTGGTGGCTATGCTGCACATCACATAGAATCAACGTGCGGTATTCCAAATGGAGACTCTTCAGACCTAGTTCCACTCACGTAGTACAGGGCCTTGCTGCAAGCCTGTAGCTTTTCGTATGTTTTGATTTGACAAAGTGGGAAGTCATTTGAATTGCCTTCCGCTGCTTATCCTCAATTTCTTCTTTGTTCTCACGACTAATCCGTTTGCGTCATGTTCCGTGGGAACCCCCCGGCCATCTCTAGTCACATCGATCAGTCATTGCTTTTCTACCTTGATTATCTGCTGAAGGCCTGGGCAACTTGTAGCTAGCGCAGGGCGCAGCCTTTACGTGCTTCCTCGCGTGCTTCGATTGTCAAGGTCCGAAATCTCCGCTCCAGCCAGAGCTCCCACCACCCTGAATCATCTTTGAACATACAAATACGATATAAGATCCCAACTAGACTCCCCAATCACCTCAAAGCTCCCTCCAAATACCTCATCTCAGAACCTAAAATGCTTGTCTCAACCTCTTTGCTCCTCGGCGCTCTGCCATTCACTCTAGCCGTAGCCCAGTATGGCTCCCCTAAGGATGCTCCTAGCTCCTCTGCCACACCCACTGCCACGGCATTGGCATCATCAAGTACCCACACCATCGAGGTCGGAAAGTCTGGTCTTAGCTTCGAGCCCAACACCACCACCGCAGCGGTCGGCGACACGATCGTGTTCGATTTCTATCCTCAGAACCACAGCGTGACCCAGTCGTCATTTGAAAAGCCGTGTGAGCCGCTGAGTAGCACGAGTTTCTTCAGTGGCTTCATGGCCACATCGTCCAAACCCGATGTATATCTGCTCTACAGCTCTCCACGTTGAAGATCGATGTGACGGGTAGCTAACGTTGACAGACGAAAACTTTTACCATTGCGATTGAGAACACCGACCCTATCTGGTTCTACTGCTCGCAGAACTCGCCCGTCGATCACTGCAAGGCGGGCATGGTCGGGGTTATAAACCCTCCGTGAGTCCCCCTATATTCCCTACCCGAGACCTTATACTGACTGCTTGATACAGTACCTCCGGCAACATATTATCTGCCTTTGCCGAGGCTGCTGCAAACACCAACTCTAGCATTGCCCAGCCATCACCTCTTGGGGCTGTGTCTGGTACCCCGTCTTCGGCCTCGCCTGCCGCCGCGACCTCGAGCAGTGCTGCTGCAGTGCTCAGCGTCTCAGCTGGGACCGGATTTATGGTCGCGATGGCTGGGTTCATTTCTGTACTTCTGCTTTAAGGCTAAAGTCGCTAAGGCTATAATATTAACGAACCCGAGAGCGAAAGGCGAGTCTATATAAGTATTTGGACTTAAGAGGTCGAATATATCTAGAGACGTTAACTCGTTCGCGAAGGCAGTATATAGTCTTCTATAGGTATATAAGGCTTAATATTAATCGCATAATTTCTATACTAGTTCTTATAAGGCTGGAGTCTTATAAAGGTTAGGATTTTATAAATACTAGTATTTTATAAACGATAGCTTAGGGTAAAAGGACTACTAATCGTACACCCCCTAATTCCTAAACGTACACCCCTTTTTTACTGCGCGTACACCTTTTTCCCCTCCTGTCGCTTTACTACCTTCTAATTGGCTCGGAGAGCCTGGAGCTTCCTCCGGGCATTTACCCTTACGTTTCTCTACACGTAATACTATATATAAGGCCGTATATAATACTATATATAAGGCCGTACGTAATACTATATAAAATAGAAAGGCTGTATAGCTATACCTATTTTATATAGTATTATATATAAGCTTATATAGTCTAAGTCTAAGTATAAGTATAGAATAGAATTCTATTCTAGAAATACCTATATACCTAATAGTATACTAAACCTATTAAAACCTTACCTTATTATAGCTTCTTTATATTAAGCCTAGCCTTATAGTATCGCCGCTTACACCTACTTTTTATACTAATCTATATACGCCTTAGCCTTATACTTATATTAATACTCTATAGGCCCTAGAATATTTCTACGGCTTTTTAGCCGGCCTAATAACTTAGCAGTGCCTATAGTAATACCTATTAGGCGCTAAGACCTTTCTAAATATACCTATAGAGCTGTAATCTATTATAGAATATCCGTATAGTTATCCTTTTATTTTACCTAAAGTTAAGGCTAAGCACTATTTTACCTTTAAGCTTATACTTTTTTCCGCGGTACCTTATTTTTTATACTAGGCGGCCGGCTATACTTTTTAGCTATAGGTATTACTATAGGTGCTACTATAGGTGCTGCTTATAATAGGTTATCTTTTCTATACCTTTAAAGTGTTTTATACTAAGGCAGGGTATAGGTAAGTTATTATTAGGGTGTAATAGTTTTTAAAAGATAAGGCAATAATTAATTAAGGTTTAAAACGGGGTTATTACTTCTAATAGGTAGTATTAAAGTTTTAAGTTAAATATAAGGTTTCTATTTATATAAAGGAGCGTTCCTTTATATAAAAGCTCTATTCTAAAAAACCTTTTTACTTATTTTACTTTTAGAGCTCGCAACTCTTAAGCGCCTTAAGCCTAATAAGCGCTCGTTCGGCTCTATACTTATTTCTCTCCGCGAGCTTAATAAGCTATTACGTAACCCTGTTCTTATAATATCTTTTTCTTAGATTATTCCTATTTACTAGCAATCTATAGAGGAATTTAAGATCCCTATACGTTTTATATATAACCTTTTTAGTTCTATAACCTAGTTCTATATAATTAGTTTTATCTACTTACTTATCTCTATAAGTGCCTCTGCGCTTAGGTTATTTATATTACAGGTTATAATACTCGCTTCCTTTTCTAAAGCTTTCGGCCCGAAAGTACTTCTATAGTAGGGTTTTAGATAAGTAGCTAGTAATACCCTATCTATTAGGCTATTATTATACTACTCTGTTTTTTTCTTTATAATATCTAACACCTTAAAAGCTAAGAAATAAAAAAGCTATTTTATACTTATTAATTATATTAACGCGTTTAGTTTAAAAGTTATACCTTATTCCTAGTATAAATCTTAGGGTTTATTATATATAGTTTCTATATCTAATTCGGATTATTATACCGCCTGTGTTTAGGCGCAACAATTAAACTATAATATTGCTGGTATTTCTGCAGCTGCTTATAAGCTAGTTACCCTTACTATTACCTTTCCTAGTTTTTCCGCTAAGCTATTTAGGGTAAAAGTTGTCCCGCGATAAGGATAAACTTTATTATAAGGAGTTAAAAACTTATACAACTTTTTTTTCCCTTTTAAATACCTAGAGAGCTGCTATAATAAAGCTTAAGCGTCTGGATTTTTAAAAGAAGCTATTGTATAAGCATAGTAAGGAAATAATACGTTAGGGTTTTAAGATTCTAGAAGAGCTCGAGGAAAATAATTAGAAGAAGGCTAAGTAGAAAAAATAAAAGCGTGCTAAGCAGGAAGGCTTGCCTTCTGCCTTAGAAACTGTTAGGTATTTTTCTTTTTTTTTAGGTATACTAGGCACTGCTAGCTGTCCGTTCTATTACTATATATTCTAATTATATAGCAGTAGTATTCCCTCTCCGGGTTCCTTTAATCCTTTCTAGTTAAATAGTGCGCTGTTGCCGTTTTTCTAGGCTATTCCGGATTCTGGCGGTAAAACTGCTGCAGGAGTTCCTAATAGTTTGCTAAACTTTTAACCGGTTCCTATATATTTTTAGAAGTGCTGTATCCTTTCTACTTAATTAGGTACTTTTTTTACTAACTATATTATCTGGAATCTAGGATTTACTCGACCTTATATTTATTATTGTCGTTAACTTCTATATTATTTTCTAGCTTAGCGTTTAGTAGTGCGGGTTCTAGTAGTAATATATAGAAAACCGGGTATATTTTTATCCTATTAGGTAGCCTAAGCTTATAGTTTACTAGGCTAATAATATCCTGTATTTTAAATAGTCTAATCTTAATATAGTCTAACTTTATGCTTAGTTATTTTATTTTAATATTTTTGCGGAGTAGGTAGACTCTATCTCCCTTTTTAAAGGTTAGTGCAATACTCTGGTATTAGTTATAATATCTTACTAACCTTAGTATTAGGAATTAGATATCTATTAAAAGTTGCCTTTATAGCTCTTTAATATTTTTAACTAATAGCAGTGCCCTTTAGGCCCTTATACTATTAAGTTAGGGTTTTTAATACGCTTCTAAATTAAAACTATAGTTTATAAAAAAGGGTAATACCTTTATTATCTCTATAGATGCACTATTATAGGCGAACTAGGCTATTAGTAGTAGTAATACCTAATTATTCTACCTATAGTTAATATAGTATTATAGGTACTATTCTAAAGTTTAATTAAGCCTTTCTATTTACCCGTCCGTCTAAGAGTAAAACGCTGTAGAAAGCTTATATTTTATCCCTAGTTATATAGTAAAGGTCTGCTAGAATTTCGATATAAAAAGCTTATTTTAGTCTAAAATTATTTTCTAGGGTAGCCTATAGTTGCTAATAATATACTTTAAAAAAGCGTAGGCTAGATCTTCTGCCGTTAATACTTTTTAGTAGGGGATAAAGTATGCGTATTTAGTTAGTTAGTCCGTAACTACTAATATTATATTATACTTTATACCTATTATAGGTTTAATAGACTATAGTAGCTTAACTATAAAGTTCTATATAATAGATTTCTATACTTTTTCCGGTATAGAGGGACTTTTTATTAGTCCGTACAGTGCGTATTATACCGACTTATTTTTTACGCACTTATATTTGTGTATAATTTTCTCCGTTATTTTCCGGAGTCCGGGGAAGTAGAATATTCTTACAATTCTTTCCCGTGTTTTTTCTACTCCCTAGTGCCTGTGCACTAGTATACTATAGAATTCCTTAATAAGCTTTTTTTATAAGGTTTTAGGTATAAATATCTTATTTTATAAAGTAATAATACTATTCTAAATTTCTCTATACTTTTAGTTTATAGGTTCTAGGCGCAAGCTTTGCCAGTTATAACCCGCTAAATCCTGGCTTTCCTAATCTACCTTCTATGCTGCCTTAATTCGTTTATACTACTTATTATCCTCGGATCTATAAGTAACTACTGCTTATATATAGTTAAATTTAAGGGTTCCCGGACTAGTTTCCTTAAGTATAGGTTGCCTAGTTTTCTTAGCTCCTTCTATATAGTCCGGCCTTCTGCTAAGTATATCTATATAAGTATTTTTAGATCTCTTTTAGTATATAATCTTAAAATTAAAGGTTCCTAGTTTTTCTAACTATTTCTTCTATTTCCTATTTAACTTTTTAGTTATAGTAAAGTATATTAGATTTTTATAGTCTGTATATACCTATACTATATATACTACCCCTTTAAGGTAAACTTTCTACTGTTTAAATACTTCTATTATAGCTAACAGTTCCTTATTATAGATATTATAGTTTAGCTTAGCTATACTTAGCTTCCGTAAGTAAAACACTATAGAATACAGTTTCCCTTATTCGTCTAGTTGGTTAAGTATTGCTCCTACTGCCTTATTTAACGTATTACTCTTAATAGTAACTAGTTTCTGTGGGTTAAAAATTGCTAATACTGGTTTTAAAGTAAACTATACCTTTAACCTATTAAATATACTCTATACTTCTAGGGTCTATCTATATTTAATATTTTTTCTAGTAAGTTCTATAAGTAGCTCTATAATTTTTAAGTAGCCTTTAATAAACTGCCTATAGTAATTAGCTAACCCTAGGAATAACTGTAGTTCCTTTAAATTTGCGGGTTCTAGCTATTCTTAAATAGAGAACACCTTGCCTTTTTCTATTTTAATCTGTTCTAGACTAATAACGTATTTTAGGAATCCGACTCTCTGCCTATAGAACTCGCACTTATCCGGGTTTACTATAAGGTTATATTTTTTAAGTTTTTTAAGTACCTTTTATATATATATCTTATATTTATTTAGTATTTCTAAGTATATAAAGATATTATTAAGGTATACTACTGTAAACCGATCTAGGTAGCCT